CAAATGAGGATGCATAATTTTCATCGTTCATTCAGCGTTTTTCTATAAAAAAAACTTCGATACCGGTTTAAATTCTATAAATAGATAATGACTCCAAACAAAGTAATAAAAAGGTGAAGAATGATAAGAGTATTATTAACTCGTTGACTAAACAGTTTTAATAATTTTGTTTTTTAACAGCAAGTATATTAAACCTAGTACTGATTTTTAGCGGTAATAAACTTACATATAATGCTTATCAAATTATGTCAATTAGACACTTCAAAATCTTGTAGCCTTATACAAGTACGCGTAAGTAGGCACGTTATATCATATAATTATATATATATATATAAAACTAAACTAAAATATATATTTAACTATTATTTAAAAAAAATGTGTTCATCTAAATACTATAAATGGATATTTTGTTAACAAATTCATTTTAAAAGAAACAATAACAATGGTATTTTTGCCAGTTCTTTTCTACTGAGCTTGCTTGCTGAACTAGACAGTGGGGTAAAAAATTGAGGTGCCATACGTGGCAAAAACTATTCTTTATGAATAAATTTATATTCCCTTTGTATTCGTTGAAGTATTTTTTATTTCGTAATAAATAATACCAAAGGAAGTTGAATAATTGTTCACTACATTTCCAATAAATTCTTTGAGATTTTTTTAAATATATTATGTATATCAACTATGTGTTAAATAGTTATGGAATGTTTGATAATTCTACTCTTAATTTTTTATTTTATTCCAATAGGTACATTCTTTTTAAATCCAAATACGAATGTAATATTTTCATACGTCAAACGTCAAAAATGATGAATTTCCTTTATTACCTGGGGTTACTTTTAAAAAATATGAATTATATCGAGGTTCATTCCTTTATATTAAAGAAAGCAATTTATATTAATTTAATGCCAAAAATATAATAAAATCTCTTACCATAAATTAACTTATAGTAAGAGACTTTTATAGAGGGAAATAATGAGTTTTGAAGTATATGCTTATTGTACGTAGGTACAATAAAAACGCATAAACCACGTCCTCGTCCTGTGACTGTAAGGTAATCTGATTATACTAATGTATTCATGGATTGTTCACAGCGCAATTAAAATAAATTAATATATGTAATTTGGATGTGGAGCTAGTGAGAAAGATAAACAGAGCAAATGATCTGATTGCAATTATTCTCAAAAAAGTAACTATTTATTTCAAAATGTAGTTGAAACAATTCTAGAATTAGTACCGAATGTTTGTTTGTACTCGTATTACCCATCGACCATTTTTACCACATGACCAGGATATGTTATTTGACTCAAAAAAATGTAGCCTAAGTCCTTTTCTACCTCTGATACTACGTATATGTCAAATATCATGATAATTAATTAAGCATTAAGGCAAGCAAGGATAAACATCGCTATACTGTGCATGATATTGTCGCAGAAAAATCAAAACATACAGTTGCATAGGTTTACTTTACTTTTCCTGTAACATTTTATCGTGACAGTAAAATTGTATTGGATCAATATCATCGTGCCGTCCTACGGTAAATTAGGTATAAAGACGCCTTATAGAAACATGATATTGCCAACGTCAATTCAATTCACTGAAATAAAAAATTGTTGGCTCTATAGAATCGCCTGAATAAATGGAATACTTTAATTAAAACATTATTTAAGTTCTTTGAAACGACTAAACGCGTAGGTAGACGAGTTAATATCTAAATAGGCACCTACCTATTCCCTAATATTAAAAATATTCTACTTTTTATCCAGTCTTTTAGTTCTATTTATGTTTTAATTATATACCTAACTGATAATATAACACATAGAATTATTCATAATATATGATAAAAATTATTTACAACATAAATACTATTTTTATTTAAAAAGCTTGAAAATAAGTCATGTAACCCAATTAGACATTTTCAGAATGTATTTCTGTCTTTATTTATTAACTCCTCACAAAAAATAGCTGAAAGGATTTCGATGAAACTTTTGAATTTAGTATAGAAAATCAGTGCACTTCATTAGAATAATGTAGTGAAACGAATCACGAGATACAGATTGATCCTTCCGTTATACCAAGTCATATAATATGTAAAATCTCCCAAGTCATTGTTTTTACAAAAAGTTACCACGTGTAGAAATATGTAAGTAGTACATAATAGAAAAAAAAATACTGTACAACACTTAAGTACTTACATTATAATTATATACTGAAAAATTTCCCCCGAAGAATGCAGTCGAAATTTTTAACTTTTTTTACAAACTTATTCAAGTTCACAGAAGAAGAAAACAAAATTTGTTTTTATCTTTCAATTTCGTTCCTCAGAAAAAGTTGTTGAGTTTCATGTATAGGTACTATTAATATTTTGAAATTTCTACACTGTGTACGTATATATATATCATTTCATGGAAAACAACTTGTAAGCGATACACCATCTAATGAATAATAATGATTGACCACCTAAGTATTTTCTCAACATATATAAAGAATAGATACTAATATTTAATTACAATATATACAAAAACATTGTATTTGTAACTCTTTACATTGCACATACACATACGAGTATAGTAGGTATATCGGTTGATGACTCGCTCTGTCTACGACACGCGCACTTTATGGGCTTAATATGTTAACTAAATGCAAATAACAACACGTGTATACTGATATTGTACCCTCGTAGACACTCATAGCACGAATAATTTTCCGTCGGGTAATAATTCACGTTTCATATTATAAATTACGTCGGAAACTCAAATTAAATGCATAGGGGACGATGCAAACACGGATGATGGGGAAAATAATAGAAAGTAGGTAAGTAGATAATTTTTATGTGAATTATAATTTAATATCTACGTTCTTGTAGTACGTTCATCCATTAACAGTATATACTAATTAAATGCTTACCTACATTATATATATATATATATATATATATATATATATATATATATATATATATATATATATATATATATATATATATATATATATATATATATATATATATATATACCTATTTAATAAAAAAATTAAGTATAATATTAAAAAATATATAACTAGACGATAAATGGCATATATACTAGATGTACATGTATAAATATAACAGATAGAATAAGTTTATATTCTCATTTAATAAATTTTAGTAATAGAAGAAGTATATATAATACGATTATATATAAGTAATACGATTCATTTTATTTACACAACATTCTAATGTAGAGGTAATCTAAAACTAATCCATAAATTGTAGTGCTTTTCTATGTCTCGCCTGATACGACTTCACGACTTGTAAGCGCATACGAGATACGAGTCGATTAAGAGTGCGTGCTCTGAATCGCCATTTGCTCATTATTCTCCTCCACCCTATTCATTACTCGCTAGCTAAATAACTAATGGACGACGCCTTAACACGTCTTACCGAAAGCAGTTAGTTTCAATGAAGTCGCATATGCCACATCATTCTGAGCATTTCGCGAATTTAAACCGGAGAAGCGTTAATAATATACTTGGTTAATAATCGTTACACGGATACGACTGGGAATTTTGTGAAAATTTGTACTTAATTTTCGTATTAACTAAATTAAGAGATCATAGATAGGCCTAAATAATGGCAATAAATCAGATTTAATATTTAATTACCACGCATTAATGTGATAGATTACGGAATAAATTAACCATTACAATAAATCCAATTATTCTATCAATAGGCGCGGTTTGTTGGTTATTGAGCGACTTTTACTAGATTGCTTTATTTTACTGATATATGTATATATTTTTTACTTATTGTCATTGATAATATTAGCTGATCAAACCTTGTTTTACCGCTTACCGCTATCTACTGAATTCATTTCTTCTTATTGAGAAAAAAACTATCCTTTTAAACTTAAAAACTATAATTTCCCAAGTTAGAGCAAACAAAATAAACATTAAAATCAGTTGAACAACTATGAAAATTTGTATGAATAAGGATCATGATATGATCATGATTTTTATATTAAGATATTACTGAAATTTGCAACGAACTGATAAACCATCGAAAGGAAAGTAATAGTTACTGCTAACTAGTAAGCTATGTTTTCCTCACTCTGTACTATAACCAACATAATAATAGAACAACAAGTAAATAAAAATCAATAAGACTAGTAAATAAACTAAACGAGGAACCCACACACAAAATAACCACTACATCATCTAAACAAAGATACAATTTTTTATATTTCTTGTATTTTATGAGCCCGTGAGCTTGTTGTAACTCTGGCAAAATATACTATTAATATTGGTGTTACTCATGTCTATAGGCGACGGTACCTGTTATCATCAGGTGAACCATCAGCTTCTTTTCCATTTTAAATAGCCCAAAAATATTATTTGCCTAAATCTTGTATTATACGCTAATCATCAACATCATCATCTTCCTACTCTGATCCCAATTATTATTTTGGGTCAGCGCAATATGTTGTTTATCATACGGCAATATTTATATTAATATTTTGTAGTATCGAATTTATCTGAATTATTTATATAAAGAAAGGAGGTCCTTCTTAAGTGAACTAAACATCAGCCCAGTGAATCCTCATTCTTCATTTTATGTTTGATATATATATGTATGTATATGTATGTGTGTGTTCGAACATTTTAAGAACAATTTTCCTTTCATTGCTAATAGTTTATAATTTAACTACTTTTGAGTTCCGATAAATATCCTAAATACGATTTTCACTTTAGTAATTTTGATACGGTATCAGCCATACCCCAATTGCAAATATATTAGACTGAGTTTAACGATGCATGGTATATTTTCTGAGGTCAAATAGTCTACAGTCACAGTTGAAGCTGTATCTAAAAGCTCTAAAGCTAACTAGCTAGGCACTACTAATTATTGACATTTAATTGTGTCAAATAGCTATTATATATTTCATTTACCCACTTAGCAACTTGTCATTTGTCCATTAAAACCAAACGACAAATTTTTTAAATACATTACGTATAGCGTAATTTAGGGTATCTATTTGCAGTACGCTGGAACGACGATGGGAGGCGCCACAGGCGCGCGTGTTCCAACAGCGGCGTCGCCAGCCAACACCGCGTCTTCATCGTCCTCTAACACGGGCTCGGCTGGAGGCACACGTTCCACCAGTCTCAGCACTGCGCCGCCACCACCCGCCTCTTCTGCTTCCACTACCGGGGCCGCCGGCGAACAACTCAGCCGCACCAACCTGTACATCCGTGGCCTTAGCCAAAATACCACGGATAAAGACCTGGTGCAGATGTGCCAGATGTAAGTAATGTATCTCAACTCATAAGCTGTCTAATACTACTAGATATATCCCGTGACTTTAGTCGCATAATTTTGTATAAAATTTATCGTAAGATAAGAGTTCAAATTCCTTTATATATACAAGTTTTGTATACCAGAAGGAGACTTTGTACAAAAGTCGTTTGCTTGGACACATCTGTCCCATTCGTGTTTCTACCGTGAAGAAATTGTTTTTGTATGGCTGTGTTTCGGTTTGAAGGGTGAGATATGGCTGTGAATTTACAGGGTACAGAAGAATAACATCTGTGTCATCAGGAATGGCAACGCATGGGGGATATCATGAGCGAAACTGTATACTCTGTTATGTCCATGGTACTGCTCATGACTATAGGTAGGCGACGGTTACCACTTTCCATCAGTTGAGCCGTCAACTTGTTTGCCATTCTAAGTTGCATAATTTTTTTTTAAAAAGTTTTATAGAGTAAAAGAAACGCCTAAAACAATACTTTAAAATGTTTAATATTAGTATTTTAATGCCATCTATTTTTTTTTTCAGGTATGGCAATATTATTTCAACAAAAGCAATATTGGATAAAAATACGAATAAATGTAAAGGTAATCAACATTCACTCCTGCATTCTTCTCTTACACTATCATAGCAATATAAGTTGCCTTTATATATACGTCATGTACCTACTTCTAGTAACTAATCTGTGCATAGATATTTCACGTATGTATATAAAGTACTTATTCTATACTAATTTATATTCCTATACAAATAGATTTTGCATCAGTAAAATTATTCGTAACTGAATTATTTAATACAATATTAATATTTTCTAGAATACCATATACCTTCATTAAACTAATCCATCTATGGTGAGACTTTTTTCCAATATATGCACGACACTAGATACATATAATTTGGTTCATATTTATAATGTTCTCATAATTATTATCAATTACGATATGTATGTTTATTTCACATATGTACCCACGTGTTATTTTCAAGTAGTGAATTATCATCTTCGCTATATTTTTTGCACTTAAGCACAGATAATTCTGAAATGTAATCGTTTATCAGAGGATGCACACTATTTGTGTCTATTTATCACAATATAATCTTTTTGTATCACATTATCATCACGCTCTTACTGTAGAGAACTATTATAGTCATCATTAGTTACATTATATCTATCAGATCTATTTTATAGCTGTTTGTTACATTTGAGATCTTAGTTAACCTGTTTAAGCAGCATGTATCATCAGACTTTCTTATTAATTATATTACTTCAGAAAGCCCATAATTATAAAGATATTTCGCTTTTGTTCCTACAGGTTACGGTTTTGTAGATTTTGAAACGATCGCGTCAGCCGAAGCTGCAGTGAAAGGATTACAAGCCAAAGGTGTTCAGGCCCAGATGGCTAAAGTGGGTATCTGGTTCCTGCGTAGACTGAACCGTGTACGTTGTGCATGCAAGTAATACTATTATGACTAACCGCCTGCCCCTAATCCGCTCTCACAAACACCTATAATTCTACTACAATAACAATAAACCTACATACTATATAAATCCCTAAAAATTCTATCAAACCCTTTTCTTACTTACAAGTCATCCTTTTACTTTCCTTGCCAATGCAATATATTTCTATCCACTGACCACGAAAAGAAAGTAGCTTGAAGAGAATAAACAATTACCTGCCTTATTTTCAAATAAGTACCTTAATTTACCAACTATATTTTCTAAATATTTTTTTTTATTTAATTTTCTAATTTTCAGGCTATTTTCTTTTTTCCTTTCAACTTAAGATCTAACCAATATCCTTTACTTATAGCTTTAGTATTTTACCTTATTTATATACTTAATTGATCAAGTGCTGTAATGCCTAATTATTACGCATTACGATAAGCAATATTCTCTATTATAAAGACTAGATTTGTGACACATAACCTACTTATGCATCATAGCATCAACATCCTTACCCTTAATGTTCTAGGTGGAATTTTAGAACAATCAAATTTCTTAATGCATATTGTTTGTTTGATTCAATAGATGTGTGACTTTACTTAGATATAGTAGGCTCTGTGTTTAGATGGTCAACGTAAATGGGAGAGATCAATTGATCCACGCTGGTGGTACCACCCCATATACGCCTCATCATTATTTTATTAATTTTGGGAAATGCCAACAGTGATAATTTGGTATGTTACCATTATATCATATATTCTGACACTATTGTGTTGTAAGTATTTAGTCACTACAATGGTACGCAAATACGATGCAAATATAACGCTTACTTAATTCTATATCTCGAATATTATTTCATCTAATTAATTCTGTAATATTGTCGTTTGCTTCAGCGTTATAAAATATATAACTGTATTACCGCTATTGGGCTCGGGTATACTATGCTTTCGATATTAAATTAGAGTGTATGCGACTTAACTAGCTTCATAATCTATGCTGATGTATATTATGCCCATCCCGTTGATAACACTTACCTAATATTATTTAGTACATTAGATCAATCTGCTGGTTTACGTCAGTGCTGGCTTCAGTGTCTAGATAACTTGCGGGCTTCAAGCTAATTATGAAATACTTATTCTGTGGAACATCCTTCCGTTCTCCGTTTATTGTAATAAATGCTTTGAAATAAATGACATCTGTTATCCTCTCAGAACAAAAAAAAAAACAAAAATGTGCAGGGGTGCTTGTGTGCAGTGAGTGTATTGTCATTGATTATTAAATGAACTAAATGTTGCTCTGCCTGCTTACCACTAATCACTGAACACAATAACAGAGAAACTATTTGACGCTGAAAAAGTATGTTATACATACTTTTTTTAAGCTACGTAAAAACTTTTTTTAAGCTACGTTTTTGACGCTAAGTAAAAGAAGTATGTTACACATACATTTTTTACTAATTTAATTTTTTTTTTTTATTAATACCGTGATATAGTATAGTTTGAATAACAGCCCTCTTACTAGCACATTGAGATAGCTGACTTACGAAGTAAATCAAATATAGGCACCCAATAAATAGGGTCCAAAGTTAAACCTCTAATTTCAAACTTTGCAATAGATAGTTTCTCAATTTTGACACAACTGAAATTAAAATATGTTTACCTCATACAAGGTAAATATCAGAACAGCTTCTTCACCTTTCGCCCCTGGATTTTTACAGCAACAAGAGCAGGATCCCACCAACTTATACATGGCGAACTTGCCGCCACATTTCAAGGAGAATGATGTGGACCAACTGCTCGCGAAGTTTGGGCAAGTTGTATCGACGAGGATCCTGCGTGACACTCATGGTCATAGCAAAGGAGTCGGCTTCGCAAGAATGGAGTCGAGAGAAAAATGCGAACAAATTATTCAAGTGAGTTATCCTTATTTTCCAATATAATATTAAATCTGAATTTATAGAAATGTAATTCTAAATAAATTAGTGGAAATATTACCAATATATTTATAATTTGAGCAAATTGACGATGAATAATATTACAAATATTATTGCATCGTCAATTTGCTCAAATTATAGGCCTTTCGTCTGTTTTAAAAGTACTTTATTGGATAAATTGAGTTCCGAAAAGGAATTAATTTTTTTAGATTCCAACTGACACCCACGATTTCGCCATTTCATCCACATGCATGCGTTACCACATTCTCTTAACAGTAACCTCAGATGAAATAGCCACAGTCATTGCTGTCGTCGTTATAGCCATTTTTGTGAACATAGTGAACGACCGAACTTGGTTTCAAATGTAGTCAACAATTCGTCAAGCGCATTTAAAACTCATCTTAATTTTTGAAACACTGTCACCAAGAAATTGCTGACATTAATCATAGAGTTATTGATTTTGAACATTTTTAAATTACATTGAACAATGTCTGATTTTTAAATTCCAGATGTTTAATGGTAACGCAATACCCGGTGCCAAGGAGCCTCTACTAGTGAAGTTTGCGGATGGAGGCAATAAGAAAAAGGCGTTATACAACAAACAGAACGAAAATAACGGCAGAGCGTGGCGTGATAACAATGAATCCATTACGCAGGTAACATGCAGCACATAATACGTGATTGAGAATTTTCACTGCCGTAACCGTCACCGTGACACTTATCTGCTATTAGAGGAAATGATTGCTAAATTAAGCTATGTACCTCAATGAGGTCATCGGCAGGTATGGATGTGGTAGAAGCAAAACTAAAAAATATTGAGAATGAATGATAAACCATAAACGTAATATAGCAAACCTTATATATATATATATATATATATATATATATCTGTCACATCTATCTCTCGCAGATATTAATCTAGAAATTAAATCAAGTTTTTGTTATATTTTCACAACTTCAAATACCTATATATTTATTTCTCTATTATCCCGTAAGCACAACTTCCTGTATCTAAATGATCGACAGTATACAAAGAGGTACAATTTTTATAGTTTTACTATTTAGTGTAGGTCATAATGATGTGTGCGCAGGCGATGAGCGCAGGCGGCGTGTATGCGGGCGGCGTTGGTGGCGCGGGAGCCGGTGGCGAGTGTGCCGGCGTGTACCGCGGCGGCGCCGGCGTGTACAGCGTCACGGCGTTCCACCACCCCCAGCTGCATCATCACCACCATGCTGCGCACCCCACCGCTTGGCTGGCGCCATACCCAGCGCTGATACCCTCCGCACACCCCGCGCATCACGCCGCACATGCAGCCCACCCGGCTCATATACCTATCGACTCCGTGCCTAGCCAATACGTAAGTATACTACGACAATTAAGATATCAATACTATGAACAACGACATAAAAGCACGTATTGTGTATAAGCATAACGAAAATTGCATTACGGCGCTATAATAATAATATTTATTTAATCAGACTACATAAGGCCCACTTTGTTAGTTATAAATTGACTTAACCTATGTTAGTAAATCAGCGGTCATGACGCTCTTGCATTAATAACCTGTCCCACCCAATATTTTAAGATGGGACAGTCCATTTTACCAGAAATTGTCTTCAGGACACTGTTTGAGCTAACACGCACCCTACCCAACAGCGAAACAATTCGTTTGCGCCGTATTGCGTAAAAATCATCCGTACGCTCTCGTGTAAACATGTGTGACGCACTACAGTGACGGGATAGCCCCAATAGTGCCCTGAAGGCTTTATTATATTCAACTCGAAGAACATTGTAAGTTTTTTAATTATAGTTGACCCAAAAGCTACTCGTGTAGAAAACCTGACAAAAAGCTTTAAGCAAGGTTATTTTGACATGTTTTGTACACCTAGCAAACCTGCGGGCCAACATATTACTTCTAACTGCAATGCTCGTTTTTCGAGTTCTATGTCCATCTTTCAAAGTACTTGCAATAATGTGACCGAGATATTTAAAATCAGTTACCACTGCAAGTACATTTCCATTAAGTGATACTCCGCACTCAATCATACTATCAATATGCTATCTCAAAAATTTCATTTTGATATTACAACTAAATTATTATTCTAAGGACTAATATGAACTAAATTTAAAATGGATTCGAGTCAGAACTACTTTAATTTTTGACAGTCTGTAAGAAAGATGATTTTCGCTTTAGCGAAACCTGGCCTGGTGAAATTGGTTTGCCAAAGAGGAGGTATATTTTAGTTTACAAATAAATAAATTTAAAGTCAAATATTCGATAGTGAAGATCGGTTGTTGTTGAGAGGAAAAAAAAAAAACTACCCACTAACATAAAATATTATTGCAATAATTACAGCTCATAAAATTTATTTATTATCATATTGATAATATATTCCAAATAGCTGTGCGAAACTAAACTTATGTATTTTCTTAAATAACAATACAATATTAGTAATCCATAGCCATTGCTAGATATCATATGACAAATTAAGACATATTTACTGTAGCGGTAATATATAAGATTAATTATTTTTTTTGTAACAGGCTCTAAAATCTTCCCCGTCTGCTGCTGAAACTTTACTAACAGACAATGTTAGCAAGTCATCAGCTGTATTTAACTTTAGACATACATCATCAGTAGAAATAATGAAAATATTCAAACAGCTTAATAATAAAAAAACAGAGGATCTATGGGGTATATCTGTTAAAATACTGGATAGTATAATGGAAATTATTGCGCCCTCTCTTGCTTTTATTTTCAATAAATGTATAGATGAAGGTAAATTTCCTAACATAATGAAAATTAGTAAAATCATACCGCTTTTTAAATCTGGAGATAGGAGTGACCCAATAAATTATAGACCTATATCCATACTCCCAGTACTCAGTAAAATTTTTGAAAAAATAATCCTTATGCAACTTGTCAGTTATTTCAATTTAAATAATTTAATCCACAATAGTTAATTCGGTTTTTCCAAAGGTCGTTCAACTACAGACGCAGGTGCAGAGTTGCTTAGACACGTATTTGCTGCATGGGAAACGAAAATGGATGTGATAGGTGTTTTTTGTGACCTTTCTAAGGCTTTTGATTGCGTTGATCATAATACATTGCTAAAAAAACTTGCTTTTTATGGCGTCAAAGACAATGCTTTAAATTTAATAAAATCTTATCTATCTGATAGAATACAGAAAGTGAAGATTAGCAACGCTACGTCTGACGGGTCACTTGTGCAAATGGGTGTACCTCAAGGATCTATTCTCGGTCCATTTTTATTCCTAGTTTACATTAATGATCTCCCATATGCCATGCAGGATAGATGCGGCATAGTATTATTTGCAGACGATACTTCATTGATTTTTAAAGTTAATAGAATGACTAATAATTATGACGATGTAAATAGTGCTTTGCGGCGTCTCCTACACTGGTTTACAACTAACAATCTTATGTTAAACGCTAAAAAAAACAAAATGTGTTAATTTCTCTCTGTCTAAAAGTTTTAATACTAATTGCAATATTAAATTAAATGACGAATCTCTCGAATTTATAGAATCTACTGTCTTTCTAGGAATCACACTAGATAATAAAACACAATGGGGTGCACAAATTCAAAGCCTTGCAGCGAAACTAAGTTCAGCAGCTTTTGCCGTGCGTAAAGTTAGACAGTACACTGATACTGATACTGCTAGATTAGTCTATTTTAGTTATTTTCATAGTTTACTCTCTTATGGAATATTACTATGGGGAAAAGCGGCAGATATTAAGAATATATTCATATTACAAAAACGTGCCGTTCGAGCGATCTACTGTATGAAAAGTCGTGACTCATTAAGAGAGAAATTTAAAGAGGCAAATATTCTCACCGTTGCTTCTCAATTTATATATTCAAATATCCTATATGTTCATAAAAATCTTGACTTATTTCCAAAAAACAGCAATATTCATAATATTAATACTAGATTTAAAGACAAACTTGCTGTCCCCAAGTATCGTTTAGAAAAAGTTAATAGGTCTTTTATGGGAATAGGTATAAAAATTTACAATAAGATACCAAAGGATATGTTGGAATTACCCTTAAATAAATTCAAAACATCTGTTAAATCATATTTACTGAGCAAAGCCTATTACTCACTAAACGATTACTTGAATGACGAGTGTGCATGGCAATAGTTGTTCATGCACTGAATTTTCATTTAATGTTAGACATAGACACCTATATAAATATACATTGTAAATAAACTGGCTTTAAAAAAAAAAGTAATTCAATTGAGTTTCTTGCCAGTTCTTCTCAATTGGATCTATATACCGAACTGGACGGTAGGGAAAAAAATAAAATTATAATGTAAAAATTTGACGTTCATAAGCGGCTAAAATGTCCTACATGAATAAATGATTTTTGAATTTTGAATTTTACAACAGTAATGTATTATATATAGGAAATTGCACTTTAGAATTAATCCAAATATTATATGAAAATATATATAACATGAAATGTGTCATTTGTACAAGATATAAGACGTTATAACCCATGCTCTATCCGTCAACTTTATGCCCAAATAGTCAATACATAAATAAACTGACTAGCGTGCCACTAACCTAATGACCAGCGCTACCATTGCGGAAATAAGAAAATCAATAGTTTATGTATCGTTGAAACGCAATTTTGGGGGTCTCTCTACTACCTCTCTACGGGGGGGGGGGGATTGTTAGTAATGGTGATGTAGAATGTAGGGACACCGTTAAGCGGTGGAAATACGTTTGTCCTTACTTCTGATAATGAGGATGAAGCGATTACAATATTTAAGAAGGTACGTGCACTTACTTGAAGGAATCTCATGCGCCGCACTGCTTTCCACCTTTGACTGGATGCTGTTATAAATTCTTGATTGGTAGGCCTACACAAATCTTTAAATACACAATATTTTATCTGTAATTTGATGATCTCCTAGATCACTGTTCGGTTATGCTCTTGATTCGCGACGGTACGTGATCTCAAGCCGAGTGCAAGGACAAGTTCACTAACTGCCCTCCAACTTAATAATAATGTAATCGCTTCATATCCGCGAGGTGTGGACATTCGATTATGAATCGAATAATCCATCGATTGAAGCGCCGTTTGGGACGATACATAATTCCGCCCACCAAAATTCGATAGTAATTTTCTTAACAAAGACAAAAACGATACTATAACTTAAGATAAGATTGAATACAACGATATGATACATACACTACTTGTTAATGACAATATATAATTAAATAAATAAATATATGATAAATGAGAATAATTTACTAGAATGGTTCATTTGGTAAAGGACATAGCTTTACCAGAGGTCGCGGTTTTACTTGATTTACGCGATCTTTAGGATGGTCACTCATGAAAGATTGTAACGGTTTAGGTTGAATTTGAAAACAATTAATGCATTGCGATAAATAGCGTCGAATGACGCGTTTAGCCGATATTATCCAAAATTGTTGTAATATTAAGTATTGTGTAGTATTTATACCACAATGACAATTGTTCAAATGAACCAATTGAATTAATTTCGATGTAAACGAATTATTAGATGGTAATAATGCTGGATGTACCTGATCGTATGCGAGTTCAGAGCGAGAAATTCTACCGCCCACCCTGAGCACCTCCTGGTTATCAATGAATAGACTGAGCTTACGATATGATTTAGGCAACGATTGTTTAGAACGAATTTTCTCAATTTCGATAGAAAGCGACAAGGATTGAACATATTTTACGAGGATTGTGAGAAGTGATTGGTGTCGCTCATCGCTTGATAACACTGAATCTGTAGTATCAGATTTTCGAATGACGGCGTAGGCAATTTTATCAATAATAGCATCTAATGATAGATCGCTATTGAGTAACTCCTCTAAAAAAGGATCGAGATTTGGATTAATCGGTGCGGTTTGTTGATCTAATAACGTGATGTTTCGTAGTATAGATATTATTTTATCATAAATTTTAGTGATAGATGCAGAAGATGATAGCCACTCGATGTGTGGTTTACGTAACCATGTGGGGCCCGCCCACCATAAAAAATTGTCAACAAGTTGTTGAGGAAACTGGCCTCGTAAGCAAATATCTGCGGGGTTGTCATGTGTGGAAACATGTCGCCACTGATCAATAGGTACTATACTTTGTATGTGGCTGACTCTGTTGGCAACAAATGTAGTCCACTTTAATAAAAGTGCTCGGAGGATACGTGGTATGTTTAGTTTTTTCAAAGGAGCGACGTGAGCTTTGGAACACACAAAACGGGTATGTATACGATCACTATTGTCTGTAACACGTAAATTAAAGACAAAGCCATAGGCCTTCTTCGAGCTATCACAAAACCCGTGAAGCTCATACGATATTGCGTGATCAACAGTACAACGACGGGGTACGATTAAATTTTGAATGGATGGTAACTGTTGTACATAATTTGTCCACATACGAACAATATTGTCAGGTGGTGTTTCGTCCCATGCTACGCCAGCTACCCAAAGTTGTTGGATTAAGATTTTGATGTGAATAGTTACTGGAGAAAGAAATCCCAACGGGTCGAAGATGCGACTAACCTCACTCAATATGGATCGCTTGGTACAATCTTTGGTAAGAGGTTGCACGTGAAAGACAAACGAATCACGCAGTGGATCCCATTTAAGACCGAGAACCTTGAGTGTGCAAGATTGTGCATCGATAAACGATTTAGCTTCCACAAGACAATGCTCTGGTGGAATTTCTTCCAGCAATTCTGGTTTGTTACTAGCCCATTTTCTTAATTCGAAATTGCCAGATTTGAGCAAAGCGATAACCTGCGACTTCAACTCGCGAGCTTGGAACATAGTATAGGTACCAGTAACAATATCATCAACATAAATATCGCATGTGACGGTTTCTTTTGCTAGAGGAAACGAATCCTCTCCATCTCTCGCGACCTGCTGAATAGTACGACAAGCGAGATAGGAAGTCGAAGAAACACTATAAGTTGTGGTTGCGATATCTTCTTTCTCACAAAGAATATTTTCAGAAGTATACGACCTAGCCTGTAGTACACTATCGAGTTCCCAAAATTGTTCAACCAATTTCACATGATGTTCTGACTCAACATTCGATTGCAACGCGGCCAATGATGAACATGATAACAAAGTTTTGCCTAATAATAACCAACCAAACACTGAATTAAATGCTTGTGGCTGCGATGGACCGCCCTTAATGCGTTCGGTAAGGAGCGAATCCGCGAAGACGTCTGCACCAAGTAACAAATCCACAGGGCCGGGTATATCAAACCCAGGATCAGCTAGATTTAATGATTCGATGTGTGACCACCCACAAGTGTTTAGTTTTGCAATGGGTAGATCACAACAGATCTTGGGAATGACGTGCATGTCATGTTCAAATGACACTTCAGTGTTATTTGCCGATAAGCTTCCAACAACACAGCGTACTATACCGCTAGTTGCAGCTGACACGTCACCCAAGCCTTTAATTGAATAAGAAGAAGAAACTAAATTAAGATTCAAACGATTTACTGCTTCTTCAGTAATAAAATTATTCTGACTGCCAGTGTCAAACAATGCACGAAAAGTTTGAATGTTACCGAGACGGTCCTTTACCGTAACAATCGCTGTTGCTAGCAGCACAGTTGTATTGACACTCGAGTTATGTGTCAATAATGATGCAGTATTGACCGATTTTACTGTGTCCTTATGTAACAAAGTATGATGTTTACGCTTACATTTCTGACAGGTAAATACAGAGGCACAAGTTTTTAACTGATGCGAAGATTTCAAACAATTGTAACACCATCTTTTGTCATTAACTATTGCCATGCGTTCGTCAATAGATTTATCGATAAATGATTTGCATGAAGCAATCGAATGAGCCTGGCCACAATATGGACAACCTTTTGTTGAGCTGGCAACACTAGATGATGCACTAGTACCCTTGGATTCATTAGTTGCAACGAGTGTGTGAGAAACATTTACACGCCTTGCATGCATTCCGACATGAGTATTCGACGATTCATGATGATTGTAATGCGGTTTATTTGAGTCGGTAAAGTGTGTATCACGACTGTGTGCTTCGCATTTCGAGTGTAAGAAATCTCTAACTATTTTATAAGAAGGTATTTGGATATGTGAATACTTTTCCTCAAACTCACGACGTGTCTTAGTATCAAGTTTCGATAATAGATGATAAATAAGAACAAAATCCCACTCTTGAACGGGTAAATTTACCTGTCGTAATATATTTAAGTTCTCATCGATCATGTCTAGTGAGCGACGAAACTCCTTTACGTTATTAATTTTAAATTCCACATTTAAAATTTCACGCCAACAGGTAAACGCTAAATCACGCTTGTCCCTATAACGATTAACTAGTGCGTTATATGCGTCGATATAATATTCACCGGCTACAGGGTAGGCTCGTATCAACGCTAAAGCATCGCCTGAGAGTGACGATCTCAAATAATGAAATTTTTCCAAATTACTTAATGAGGTATTCTCGTTTATTAAATAATTGAATGTATTTATATATTCTGTCCAGCATTTAATATTGCCTGAGTACGTGGGAAGAGTGACCTTGGGTAATTTTATATGTGAAGAACTGTTCTGTTCCGGTTCATTCCGTACCTTAGGTTTAGTATATGTACGTTGCAAGGCTAGAACATTAAAATACATATCATCAAAACTCTCACGAACACCCTCATCATCGGACTCTGAATCATCATGTAAATCCAGAATGAGGAGATGTGCATTCTCGAAATCGGTAGAAATTTTCTGTAATTCATTACAGTACGATAAAAATAAATCCAACTTAGTTGCATCTAACTTCGCGTCATTGCCTATTTGCAATGCCTTAGATAAACGATTAAACGCGATAGTACGTTTTCTTCTTAATGATGGCAAATCACGAGTTGTGTATTCTTCATACTTCGATTTACTGCGCTTTGACAGACTAAGTTTACGTTTATTTGTATTAACAGACATCGTGCAAAAACGATCAATTTATAAGTTGTTTACAAATTTAAACAATGAAGAACAAGTCTATAAATAGATTCGAGATTGTTCGAGAATCGAAACAAAAAATAAAAAAATATTAATAATTTGAGGGTAAATGTTAATTTCTATAGTCAACGGAACTTTATGTAGACAGAATTTATTACGAGAATATTTTATCAATAGAATATTTATAATTCCACAACAGATATTAAGTTTATTTATATATATCTATAAGATTTCAATATTAAATTCACTATAAATATTACTAAAATATGCACTAGTTACGAACGAAATTCCTTTTGATAATAATATTTTACAATAATATAACTTGTAAACGAATAAATTTACAGAGTCGATGAAAATATTAATATTAAGTCACCATTAATTTAATATGAAATTTGTCTGTTTGTTTTGTTCACTAAAAACTTAGAATATTACAATACTTTTCCTATAGTAATGTGTATTCAATAACTATGTGAACCGATAAGTAGTTATATAAGCACGAATTAAATGAGATTGCTTATATGATTTCACAAAATTAGTAAATACCTATACAATAGATGGATGATCAATTTACGATTTACGTTTAATGTTCGTGTAAGCCGATAAATTATAAAAACACCGATATAAATAAGATTGTTTTTATGATCCTACATAAACATTAAACATCGATACAATGAAAACTAGGAGGAACGAATAAATCACTATAAAATAGTAAAAATAAGCCTACTCAATGCACTGGCAATGGCAAAGTTACAATTCCGCGCGGACTACCCACTTGTTTCAGGAATGTGAATTCCGATTTCTAATTAAGGTTTTAATGATAAAATATGATTTAAAATATAACGAAATTAATAAATATGAGTATTAATTTATATGTAATCGGAATATGTAAAGTCCCAATGCAACGATAATGATCTATACAGCCGATATTTAGATATTACGAGATTTATCTCCCGGGTTTCGGCACCAATAAGACTGAGAATCCCATTGCTAGCAATATACCCAACCAGGTCGACCTCCTCGCGGTTCCCCCTGGAAACTATCATGGTCAATTCCTAATGAATTCATCATGATGGGCTAATGGGCCTGTTTTCATTCTCATCTATCACCTTTCACTGGTGCTCCGTCAGCGTATCTCGTTAGCGCAGGCGGAGTTATCATTCCATTTTCACCCATCAAAAAAAAAACTCCCTCTCTACAGCCATAGAGGTCGACGACGCTCACATGTACCAAGATTCACTTCTGCAAAGTGATAACAATGAAAGACGATTATACAGGCGTCTTATATGTCCACATGTACAAATCCACCCATCACGTATCCGCATGGTGTGTGGATTTTGAAATGTGACAATAATTAAAAAGTATATCTCGATATAAGTATAGACAAATTGATCCCTAGGTTTATATATGCAACTCGTACAAATTTCATGTGCACTGATTTCATAGTTTTAGAGTTAAACATGATTAAACTGTCAATTATTTATATAAATAGACAATTCAAAAATATCACCTAAACACTAATTTGTTTCTACAAATAAAATATAATATTAAAAATATTTATATATATAATAATAAATAAAATATTGTGTAGTTATGTGTGTACATTAACCGAAAGATTTAGAAATACCTGTATTCGTGATACCCTAACGAGTGCTTATATAATATGTACAAAGTCCGAACTACGAAGTGACTAGAACGCAATTTTAATATATAAATTTTATATAAAGGCCTTTATATGCAGAGGTCACCACTGGTAACGGAAAAAACATTCAGTCAAATAAAAAACTATAAAATGACTGATGTGTTCTGTTTTCCAGGTAAACTGGGACAGCTTAAGGCCGGAAAGTGAATTATACGTGAGTGCCATATAAATTTATATAGAAGCAAAACGCTCTAACCTTCCGAGTCCCATTGCTCACGATCCGTCATTCTTAATTAAATCTCCTTGCTTTCACATGCTATGCTAAAATATGTTGTAACCATGCCACATACGGTCGTAAACTAGCTTATTGTTAAATGTAATAACAAATTGTCGTGTTAATGTAATATCTAAGATCTGGGCAGACGAAGGACATGTTTACACATCTTTCATCTTTTCTATTTTATCGGTCAAAAAGTCGCTAATGATTGTCTCTCGTGTGTGCAGGCCCTAATATCACATCGTAATGATTGATATTTTGCTGGTATATTGATGTATTGTTGTAATTAAAGAGGTTAACATATACCTTATAATATTTCAGTACTTCCCGTCGCATCCGTACCAATACTTCCCGGGTCCGACGCCACCCATCATCCAGATGCCGATGGAGAGCGAGCATGCGTCGACGGCGGCGTCACCCGACGAGGCCTACCAAACTTACCCGCCTCCCAAGTAGACCATAAGCCACACTGCTACAATCCGTGCTGTACACGAGCCAAAAATCAAAGTAACTGTAACTACAATGTTAATTTGTTTTAATTTTAATTTGCGGCCGTTATAGACTTCATCGAAAGCTCCGTTGGTGCGACCCGCGTTCGCCCGCGTCTCCTAGCTACTAAGCCTAATTGTACTTTGTGATTATCGCCTCAACTATTTATTTTGAGTGAGCTTCGTTTCAGATCCTCTTAGTTTACGCTGGATGTTCGATTCGCTGTGATGTTTTGATGAGGTCTTTTGACGGTTCGGGGAGAGGATATAGATAGATATAGATTACAATCTGCAATTTTAAATGTGTTTTTACATTATTATTTTATTATTGTTTTATGCAAAATAAATTTAAGATGTTAGAGACAGGATTGGAGATATGGACAAGATTATTTAAGCTAGTTAGTTATTTATTTTAGTATAATATAATTTCATTACAGAAATTAAAATATAGCCTCGTCCTCCGGATGGGAAATATTGACAAAATTTTACTTCTCATCAGTGTCATAATTAAAACTATAAGAAACCTGAACATTAATTGAACAGATTGAACATATTGAACAAAAAAAATGTGCAAGAAACGCTCAGAATCTTGTAAATACGAGTATATTAAATATCTTCAAAAATGTCCTTAATGGCAAAAACATTTGTCTTCAACATCTGCCATAACAAGGAAAGCAATATCTATAAGAGTCGGATAGGTGGAAATGGTCATATCATGTGGAATCAAAGATTTATTATAACAAATTTCTAAAGAGTAATGAAATATGATTTATCGTGTAAAGGTTAGGAAAGATGGTTTAGCGTATCGGGTAGGTCTTGTACGATGAATATATTATCACGGGGATTTAGAATCTTCCGTTAACGTATTTTTAAAATACAAACGAAAGAGAAACTATATTGTCATGTTATAGACAGTGCGCAGCTTTGCGAAGGGGAATGTCAACCATTACCATTTTCTACGACATTCGTAATTCGGCATGGCTGCTACTTCCACTTGTTGGTCGTGAATTATGTTGTATATGTATGTATGTTTAAAATGTGTTTGGCATGGTGCTTTAATATTTTATTTCAAAAAAATGGTACTATAATACGTATACAGTATTAGCTATTTTAATACTTTCAAACCTACAATTTTGCCGGCGTAGGTTCTCAACATTCGTATGTTTTAATAATTATAATTTAAACAAATTGTTCATATTATATATTTAAAATATCATTAAAATTATATTGTGCCTGGACATCATGGCTCATCGAGTCACTTAGCTATCACTCAGCATCTCTGATGGTGTCAAAAGAATTTACTCAAATATTGTGTAAATTCTTTTTTTTACTGTAACATAACAATGAAATGTTATTTTCGTCTAAACATCACAATTAGCTTAGGTCTTCTCCGCTAGATTTTATTACTAATACAAGAAAGCAATACACAGAAACTTCAAAAACTAATATCGTTGCCAAACCCAAAACAGACTGAACTTATGTATACCTACTGTTTCACATGTTTATTTTCATTGAACTCTTACTCCTGCATATATAATTAGTGTATGTAGGTGCATACTATCCACAGCAACAGTAATAAGGACATGGACAGATTGATCGGTCAACCGCCAGCGTTCCGTCGCTGTTCGGTTAGAAAGTTGAGTGATGACGTCTGCGCTTGTAGGCACAAAAGTGCTGTAATATGGCAACATTTAGCAATAAGCAGTTGTATGTAAAGTCTATTTATACAATTTACGAGTCTATACAAATTTTTGTACGTTGAAAACTCATGTTGAATACGTGAATAAAGAAGTGATCCTTTTTTGAGAATCATGTACTGAATCAACTGTAGTAGTTATTTTGTAGGCGGTCGGCACATTCCACTAGAAAGAAAAACTTCAAACAAAAATTCCACGATTGATTTCCACATTATACATTGTAATGGATTTGAAATCCGAAGTGTATTAACACCTTTTTGGTGTAAAATAACACTTTTTGTACCATCACGTAGGTTTTGGGTACACTTTATGACTTTATATAAAATTTGATATTTTTATATTGAATATATATAAATTATACATGGATATGTATACATGTATATACATTGTTGATGGGTACGAGTAAAAACCTACTATATCGCAACTGTTTAATTCTATTTTGGCACGTCAGAGTTTCATCAGAACCAAAGTATACAAATCATTAAAGTCGAGTAAGAAGTAGGAAAATATTTATACAACTCAGGGACTGAAGACTAGTTAAATGTTTGATATATTAACTGTATTTTAACTGACGATTAAGCGGTAATCACTCCTCTTTATTCAAAACCTGTGTACATACTGAATATCACAATACATAAAATATGAATAGCAAACGACAGGTTTTGAATGAATAAAGTAGATTTTGAATGAATAAGTAGATCTGTATCTGTTTTTCTTTTTGTTTTATTTTCAGTCATGAAAAGGCTGTTAAATCTTACTATTGTTAAATGAATTATTTTTTGACTTGTACATAATTTAGCTCGTGAAATTGTCACTAATTTATGTAAAAAAGTTTCACGTAGAGGCACTACAATGTAATGTCCAGTACTTAACAGTAACAACAGCAAATTGCAAGCACATAGCTCCATAGACTAGCTGACTGCCTGAACATTTGATTGAAACAAGTCAACGGCGCATCGGTTCTTGATCAAGCTATACTCACGTCACAAAGGCTAAAGAAAAGTGAGATTTTTATTAGTATAACGTTTGATGTAACGTAATGAACCATAATACTCCGTAGATCAGTATTATTCTTGCATAATTTCTGATCAAGCCAAATTAATTGAACTGATTATAAACCGCCTTTACTTCTTGTGAAATATGAATAACCATGAAGTGCAATGTAGTACCGAGTGTTGCGTGGTACTTAGTTAAGTAATTTGATCGTTTAGTGTTCGACGTACACTGTGGCTTCCTGTAAAAAACAGTCTTCCGATAGATATTTCCGGTGAACTTTTTGCATTTAAACCAGTATATTTAAACATTATTTATTTCACTCATGAATATGTGTACACCCAATTATTGTTCGTGTCGTTTTAGAACCAACCATAGTTGTCCCATTCTCTAAGAGAAATATTATTTTCATTCCAATACTAATCGTTGTTCCTTTATATATATTAAAGCAAATAATTAGAATAAACACACCAACTTAAGTGACTTGTAACATAGCGTGGCACCAACCCTATAGTATAAAAATAACCGACAAGAGCGATAATAATTTAGCATGAAATTATTTTTCTAATGCTTTCCTTCCATTTTAAGCAATAAAATTAATTTGATGGTAGTGCCTTCAGCTTTCTTTGTAAAATAATGATCAGATGAAATACAATATAGCAGTTGCATGTGCTTTATTACACGATATTTTTACAGGTAATAGTAAACTTACCGTATTCATAAACGTAGCGATAATGTAAAAACTATGTTTAAAATATTTTATAACAACTAAAACAAGATAATGTGGCTGTCTAATCGTTGCATTTTTCACACATGATAAAAAATATTAAGTGGATAGTAAATCGTAGATGTTCCTAACTCACTTCAGCGTTCTTTGCATGTGTGATATAAACGAACTCTTTGAGATTACGGACGATGATTTGTTAATAGTGAGCACTGCGAATAAAAGAAAGCACAAAACGATGCATGTCGGAGAACCAATTCTTAATACCAAAATTGATTCAACTAAAAATCACGTCGATGATTATAATTGAAGTGTTAAGTAAATGTTATGTAATAAGTCGTTAAATATAAGAGGACGGTCGACTGGTTTTGAATCGATCAATGAATAATGAAGCTATAGGAACGGCGACAAATGATGGCTAGTTTGTAGACATTAGGCTTAACTATAGATAGGATAGAATAGAAAAAAATAAGTTAGATAGTATAGAACTCTAGATTAATATATTTGGAGTGCATGCGCGGCGCGTGCGAGCCACATGCCGGCTCTAGGGTAGTTTCCTTTGTTAGTTTATTAAATAATTTACTTTGAATGGACTGAAGCCGGCTCGAGGCGCGCACACTCCGTGTCCACACTAGCGATTAAGAAAAAACTAAGGAATTTAGTAAACACTTTCTTGAGATAAGTTTCAGTTTACGAGTTTGCTTTCACCTCTTTTGTTATATAGTTGACTAAGTGTAAAGAAAGAAGAGTAAAAAATCTGTCTGAGGTGTCGATACGAATGTATTTGTCCAATTTGTGTATTATTATAGTGTGGTGTTTTACCCAAAAAACTAGTCTAGACTGTAGAATAGTTTAGATAAAAATTTAGTTAGATAGTTTAGAAATACGAAATAAAAAATAAAACTTCATAAAATGTAAAAAAAATGAAATGAAATTGTTAGTAAGAAAGAATATTTTTAAGGGACATGTTGCTTCGTTGTGTTATGATGTGAGATTTGGCATAACTATGATAATAGTGTACAAGCATTTCTCGCAGAGAAAAGACATAGGGGAAAGTTATTGTATCTATTTTGTTACAAAGTGTTTGCAAGTTTCTATTTGTGCTATGAGCATTTTATGTGACCGGCATTATTTATAGTTATGCTGAATGGATACTAAAATAATATATAAAAAAATGGTACTAAGAAGCATGTTTTATTGTGACGAGTCATGTTCCTTTGCATTGAACATATTTTGTAACAGCAAATGATTGAAATAAAACAAGCGAAACCAAATTTAGTTCATTATTTTATTCACTGCCTTATTTGTATTTTATATCCTTCTATATTCCTAAACATGTAATAGCAATATTCACTATAAATCTTGAGCGAATAATTGTTACACACATCAACAAAATCCAGACTATTGTAACCAACTTTTACCCATGATCTAATTATATCAACACCACTGAGGAACCAATCATTTTAATTTCTACATAATTTCTCATTGGACTAAAGTCAACAGTTGCAATAAGTATACATAAAACCTTAAATATCGACAAAATCAATAACTAGACGAGTTTGGTGATATTATCATGTATATATATATATATATATATATATATACAGTTAAGTCATCAAATTAACATACAATACTATAATTTGTTATTTTTTGTATTTACAAAAAAAAACTCGCTAGTTTCACTCAATGTTTGCTCATTAGATATCACAATCACGCCATATTCCTAATAAGGCTTCGTTTATAAAGAAGTAGTGATTAGTTCGGGCCTCAATATGTTTGTACATCAATGTTTTTTTACGTGATCAAATGGCGTCACGTGTTGGTTATATGCAGTAAGTAAATGATAAAATTAGCTTGTCTGAATCTATGCCCAGAACCTGTGTTAGGACGCTGGCGTGCGCTGTTAAATAGGCTTCATCATCATATCAGCTTATCTGTCCACTACTGAACATACCTCTTTGTGATTTAAGAATTTCCTCTTGTTGGGATAACTATATCATGTACTTAAATAAACATTACACGCGCGTAAATCTTATCTACTCTAGATATATGCAAATTGTTTGGTTTGTTTGAATCGAAGCATTTGGCGTTCCATTGTTTCTGCCTACCCTAATGGGAGACAGGCGTGACAGATATGTACGTATGTATGTATCTATGCAAATCTTTGGCATTTCCTAAACAAAACCTTGAAATGTGTAAAATGTAACTTAAAACCGGGCAATTAGACACCTATGTATTACATTATTTCCACAATACATATAATTATCGTGTATTACACAAGTAACAAGTCCGTACTCAACATATTTGCTCAGCACATCAGATGCTTTATTGATTCCTGAAACTTTTTCATATTTCATAACTCATCGTCCATTCTGACTCTTCCATACCGATATCATTTACAAACTGACACTGCACTACTTTTTAACATTCATCCACAAATTGAACCGTAAAAGTCAAACTTAAGTATATAATATTTTAAATTTGTTGAATTTTTAACTGAAATTTTTAGCATGAATAAATTGTGATCATTGGTTGATATAACAGATTAGGTAAAAGTGGTTACAAAAAGACATAATTAATGCTACAGAAATATCTTACTTGTACTAAATACAACTGTTTTTAGACAAAATACAATTTGAATAAAATATTACTTAAATAAAAAAACTCAGAAACTTTAAAAATATGTGTAATAACGATAGGATATTTTATATTATTACCATTTATAGGTAATAAATGGTAATAATATAAAATATCCTACAACATTTTTTTTAATCTATTGCGAGCTGGATACCGCATGCTTCGCCTTAAATATCCTAAGGGTATTATCACAGGAGCCACTGATCAAAAGTGCGGGGTTCGACCAATCACAGCAGAGTACTTTGTCTTCATGACCGCTCAGATCGTACAGTGGCGTTCGTGGGCTGAAAGAGGAGAATTATATATATCACTGGGTAATTACATAGGACCATCTTTTATATCCATTTTTAAACTGACTTCAAAAAAGGAGGATATTCTCAATTCGGCTATATTTTTATGTTTATTACCTCTGAACTCCGTCATTTATAAACCGATATGGATTTTTTTTTCTAAAAGGATATACTTGGGAAAGGATTACTTGAGATTGGTCCCATAGAAATTTAATAATAGGAAATACATAAAAGACACCATGGACATTACAATATGTGATATCCAGACCGTTCTCCATATCTACTCGCGGTCCACTTTCCATGAGTAAATTCTTCTGTGTATTGCATGACTCGTTTAAAATAGCAGGAAGTCTTAAATCATATATAGATATAATGTCTCGCTATGAATACTGCTAAAAACAGCTCTATTTATTTATTCTTATTTGTGTAAATTTCTATCATAATTATTTCACACTTAGGGTTACACAATTCGTTAGTCTGTTCGTGAATACTAAAATATTATTTTCGACAATAGAAAAAATAAAGTTGTATAAAAAATAAAATACATCTAACCAACAGTTTACCAATTTTAAGATGTTTTTAACACTCTATGCCCCATATAATCTAGCCCAGTATTTTAATACTAACCTCCTTGTTTCCCATAATTTGACTTGCCCATCATAACCAGCTGACAGGAACAGAGTGTCACGTGTCTTTGACCATTTCACTGATTGAACCCAGCCCGTATGGGATGTAAATGTGGTTTTTACAATACTTTCTGAAAAAAAAAAAAAACCAAACCAAATTTAGTCTTCACAATATAAGATTTTAACTTGGTCCTAGTCCCAACCAACTCTATAGTGTTATTATACGATGTTTTTTTTTACTGGATGATAATGGAATGGTAACCCCGCCTGCGGTAACGGTATACGCTGGCGGGGCACAGTGAGGGATGATAGGTAAGAGTGGAAAGGCAGGTCAGTTAACCCATCGCGATGAATAAATCACATTGACCATGGAATTCAGCAGTTGACTTGTAGGTCAACCTGTCAGGGTATATTGCTAGCAATGAGACTGGTAGTCCGCATTAATAACAATCCCTCCCCCCCCCGCAACCGCAGTTAGATGATGATATTTTAAGAGGGAGGCTATTGATCATCCCTCGACCATTAAGTCCCCTAATCGCCTTTTACAACATCCACGGGAAAGAAGTGGTGGTCCATTCTATACTGGGATCACACGGCACATCTTTATACAGATTATTTCTATTTACAGTGGTGTTAATTCAGACGGCGTGAATTAAAAATACATATTACATGAAATATGACTGCATGTCAACCTTGGAGATATATCTGATATTGAAGAAAAATCCTGCGGCTTCATCATGCAGCAGTTTATCAATTTCCATTATTATTTAAGATGAGAAACCTTTCTCAATGAGTAGTAAATTAACCACTCATTGAGAAAGGTTTCTAAACTTGGATCAAAATACAGAAGTCTATTGGTAGTTCGCTGTGTGTTAATAAAAGATCAGTCTGCAAATTGCATATCTTACTAAAATAATAAAATTGTAACTAGACAATATCTGTACATTGGAAACATTTAAGAAAAATAGATATTAGGTGTCTTAATAAGAGCAACAGATGTAAAAAAAAATTTTTAGGAATTTTGTTTGTCCAATCAATCCATCTGTATGTTAGTTACAGTATTAGGTAAAAACTATTGCAACAAATTAGAAGCTGTTTGCAGTTGTGTTTCTAACTTAAAATCTGGTGTGTTTTTTAAGCCATCTTGGTCTATTGTATTGGTTTGTCTATTTCTGAAATCTGAATGAGCAAAAATCTAGGATTTAATATAGATTATAATATCATTAAATTCATTATATATAATGATAATTAGATATTAATCACGCGAGTAATGACTCAGGTGTCACAAGCATTCATGAGTGATGATTACTTTCCATTAGGTGAATTGATTGTCACACATGTTGCATGAAAAATTTTAATTATAAACTTAATTACCTGTTGATCTTGGATCATAGAGTCTTAAGTGTCGATCTGCTGATGCAGTTATTAGAGTGTTATTTAATGGTGACCAGTCGACATCAAAAAATGCCTTATTACCTAAAAATACAGATAGAAATACATAAAATGATACCACAAAACAGTCAAAGCAAATATGATCAACTTACTAAAATATGAACTTACATACTTGAAAATGCTTTTAAATGGACGTATTTCTTTAATTTTAAACACTTTCCATAGACTATCTATAAGGTTCATAATCTCAACGTTTAGGTTAAATTTCAGATACAATATCATTATGTAATATTAAAAATAAAAGACATGTTTCAGAAATACATGAAGTATGGGCTCAGTATATTAGAATTTACTTCTTACAATGCTTCTTATATTTAGTGAAATAATTAAAATATATAATAAAAATAACTATTTTGGGATATTAAAAACTACTTGTTTCTTTAATTTTCCAACAATCCTTGTATTATTCTAAATTTACCTACAACAGCTAGGTCCAAAATGATATATTTTCATTAGAAAATAGCTCTTATAACAAGGCTACATATAAGGGTTATAATAGTTCAAGAAATTTCAAAATCAGTATTTTAGTTCCAAAGATATAACAGTAGGAAACAAAATATATAAAAATGTCTCAACTCACCAGCTATTTCTTGTTTAATGCCACCCAACTCGCAGTCCCACAATTTGAGCAAATGGTCCCAACCACTAGAGAGTATTGTATTAAAATCCATCCACTGTACAGCAGACACAGCTTCACGATGGCCTTTTAATGTGGATAAAGCTTCCTGTAATTTTTAATATATATTGTCAAGTTTACAATTAAGAGAATTGAAAAATTTAAAATTACTGCTTCATAGAACTGTAAAATTTAACCTCTCAATCGTTTATGCATCGTAAGATATATCGAACAAAAATGTGGTACCGCGCGCTAATGCAACAGCGTTTGTTGCATAACTCGAATTTGCAGCATCGTTTTCATTAAATTTATGTAGGTAATAAACCCATTTATAGGTAATAACCTCTAATCGAAATTTGGTAATTTCAAAAAACAGTGATGCAGTGGGTGTAGTGAGCTAGCCTAGACGGGTTAAATAATACTTAAAAAGTTATATTCACTATATCAAATACCTCTAAATAAATCTAGTATTACAATTTTTAGTATATCCACTAATTTTACTTGCCATGATTTTAAAAATAGTGTAAGAATTACTTTTATTTTATTTTAAGATAAAGAATATTGCTTTATATTGTTGTACTAACTCTAGATTTTCCATGTTCTGGTTTACTTTTCTTCTTCGCAGGACCATTGTCTTCATCTGAGAGACCTATAAATTTAAAGATATAACACATGATAAAAATAACATAATAATTAAGCAAAATTACAATAAAAAAAATGGTTTGTAGATTTTTATTTACAAATTCAATAAAGATTCTACAATAAACTATTTGCATAACTTAGTTGTTAAACCAGCTGGACAAGAAATAAATACCACTGGATATGCTTCTTAATTTCTTAAATTCGTAATTATATTACATTATATACTGAATAATACACAAGGCAATCTAGTCCCAAACTAAACACTGTGGGTACACTATGGGTACTAAACAACTAATACACCTAGTATCCTTTCTCTTGGTAATACATTCATATTATACTTATACCCATAAAAGTTTAAATAAAACTAAATATATAACCATTTCAATCAAGTAGTTGCCACACTTAGCAGACAGGTTGGCAACCCCAACTAGGCTTTGGTGATATTTTAAGAGGTATGCAACTGCCCATCTCTCAATCATTAAATTCTCTTAATTGCCTCTTATGACACCTATGGGAAAGAAAGAAGTGGCCTATTCTATGCCAGAACCATTATTTATATTTTATTAGAAGCATAAACATAATTGTTCTCCATTACTATATTGCTTTTTTCTTTTATATAATAAAATTAATTTTATTGTTAAAAGATTCATAAGTATACATATTTTAATATAAGAATAACATTTCACAGCCACTCATGAAAATGAATCCTTGATTATCCTGAAACTAGTTGAGCATTCTCAACTAAAATATATGTAAGTAAATCAGCTTGTTCTTTCATTAAAAAAATAATAATTTCTTGTACACATAAACTAATAAGAGTATATAAAATACTTACTGGCACTCCAAAGGCATATATTAGTGTCCCAACTACCAGTAACAAACTTCTGTCCATCAGCAGACACAGCGAGACACTCAACTCCCTTGTCGTGACTACGACAAGTCACTACACAGTCCACAGAGTTAAGGCTAACATTCCACACCCATAGCATAGCAGACTGGTCATGAGAACCACTGTAACAGGAAATATTACACATAGTACAAAACAAATTACTAATATCTCCTATCAGGTTGACCACCATGTAGTTCTCTTGGAAACTATCATGTTTATCTCTTGTGCAATTCATCATGACAAGCTAACTGGCCTGCTCTTATCCTCACTTATCATCCCTCATTGGTGCCCCACCAGCTTATACCCTGAGCGCAGGTGGAGTTACCATCCCATTTACATCCATAAAAAAAAATATCTTATAGGTATAATATTAACCAGATGATGATGGGGGGAAAGGGATTGTTAGTAATGGAGACTGAGAATCCAATTACTAGCAATATACCCAACCAGGTCTATTAACTACCGAATTATATTGTACCTGTGATAACTATCTGTTCTTCACCATAATGGTATATAATAGTATAAAACAGATAAGGTTTAAAGCTAAAACCACTAGCATTATATAAAATTATTACCAAACCTTACAAATACAGCTTGATCATTACTATAAGACACCCATGACACGGCTTTGACTGGTGAAGTGTGGCCAGGTATTGCTAACTTGTGCTGTCCCTTTGTGCTCCAAATATGAATACTGTTATCATAGCTACCTGAGAGTATCCTGTAAAAGCAAGAGTAGTTATTTTACCACATATAAGAATTTCAAATAACTGGAATAAATTGATTAACAAATATAAATAATAACCTTTATTTTTCATTTCAATTGCCTTGTGTATAGCAAATTGTATAATGATTGTTTAAATTGTTAAAATGGCAAGAGATAATAATAAACCTCATTTATTATATTAGTAAGAAATAATACCTAAAATTAATGTTAACAAGACTTTTATAATTTATAATTTGAAAATTGAACAGAAAAACTGAAAAATTTATACTGAAAAAAAAGAATGATAGTCATCATAGACTAGTACAAATAATAAAATGGATAAATATATAAGATTATACAGTAGAGCATATGTTACTAACCAATTACCATGTGCCTGAACAGCAGACACCCAGTCATCATGCATCAAACAATCCTGAGGAGAAGGTGCTGGAAATCTTTCTAAATACTCAACTTCTAATGTCTTTTCGGTAGATGCTCCTTTTTCCTGTAAATGCTCAGCAAGAGAAGAACACAACAACTCCCCACATACTAAAAAGTCGAATTCAACCGCTTTCTCAATAGACGAATTTGTTTCTTTCAACAAAGCATTAACTAAGGTGTTAAGATCAGAAGAATGAACATTGCTTTGTATAGCATAAGGAGTATCAGGAACAGCATATCTGTAAGAAATAATTAATTGTATTTTCACAACTAAATAAATATTTAACAACAGTAGTGCATTCATAACCGGTAATTCGATAAATGGGTGGATACTCACTGTTCCTGCTTCGTTACAAATTTTACTTGAGTTGAGTTTCCGAGGCGTCAATCATCATAACTATCAAAAGAAAGAATACTGTAACTTATTTTAAATCTTAGACCAAATAAAATTAAAGAAAATATTTAGAATCGCTTAAAAGAACACGCTAAACGCAGAAAGACGAGCACATTTACATGTATGTCATTCATTAACTTGATTGACACAAACTTTTTGAATGACAGTTTTATCAATATCTACCTATTAAATCTTTGCTATTATTGAAAATTTATCGTTCACGCTATTAAAAGACTGTAATTACTTCAAGATTACATTTAATTATATAAATTTTTCAAGAAGAATATTCACTACAATAAGAGTAATAGATATTAAAGATAGCCTACGAGGAAACCATCCAAAGTCCTAAAACTGTCTATAAAAAAAATCAGCAGCACCTGCGCTGCCACTTTAAACGATTTTTTTGCTTTTTTCGCTATCTTGAAGAGTGTTAATGCGACCGAATGCAGTTGACCTTCAAAAAGACCAGATAAAATTTGATAAAATTAGACAAAAATATGAACTTTAAAATAGGTAGTCCAAAATTTGACTACCCATTGGATAAAGTACAAATGAATCTTTCAATAAAATTGTTATCGGAAGTAAGTTATTGTTCATGAGCACTTTTATTATTATTCATGAAAGGTGAGCTTTTTCAGGAAGAATAACCAGTACTACTACAACCTTTCCATGATCTTTTGTGTTCGCCCTTTTTTAAAATTTGCTGCTAGTTCCTGTTAATGATAGGCATTTTAAATATTTTTAGTAGCGACGTTTTTTTATATAATAGAGTAATTTTCTGAAACCCCCTTAATCAAGGCTTTTAAAGGATTTAATCCTAGCAATAGAAGCCAGGTATTATTTGCTGCTTCTAAGCTTTCAAGTTTGAAACGTCTGAACTTTAGACTTTGAGGTATGCCACAATAAGAATCTGGTCTTATTTAGGCATTCTTTGCCCCTTCCTTTGTTAACTCGTCAGCTATTTCATTTCCATTAATATTTGATTAACCAGGGATCTATCTGAAGATAATATTTTTTCTATTACATAAGTCATTTCATAACATTATACAGTTGTTTATTAGCTTTGACTTAGTTTCATATGAATCAAGTGGAAGTAATTCCGTTTGACTACCCGAGTAATATTATTTCAGTAGTTAAATAATATATTTATACATTACAATACATACACGTCTTATTTTGGCCATAGTTTTGGCCTGGAAGATTGTGGCATACTTACCTGAATTTAAAGGTCTGTGGACTGGTCTAATACCATAAATATCCCACATTGTCTTGTATTTTGGATCCATCTGTAAACAAATTAGGTCATGTTGCGAGCAAGACAGTAGATAATTTTTGTTCCATGAGTTCCTAGTCACAATTTAGACTATTTATATTTTAGGTAAATTCTATGAGTTTTTATTTGGCAATATTGAACCGCCTGTACAGAGTAATTTTAAAATTTGTTAGGAACAAGGAATTAAATGGAATAATAAAATAAAAACTGTAAATCATATGATAGCCTCTTTTCTTCTTATGCAAATATAATGAGTAAAAAAAGGACCTAAGGTACATCATCAGCTATTATTTTTTCCCCAATTCATAACGGGCTAGTGTCATGATATGTCAATTATTCATCAATGACAAATTTTACATTACTAGATTATATATTCGAAACAGTTTATGTAGAAAGTATGCAAGCAGGTTGTATCTGAATTTGATAGGGTTATATGGCAGTAGCATTTTTGTCAATTCATAGCAGGTTAGTGTGTACACACTAACCTGCTATGAATTGACAAAAATGGCAACTGACGGTGTATCTTTCATCTTCTTTTTACTAATTATATTTGCATAAAAAGAAAGGAAGAAATCATATGAGTCACAGTTTTTATTTATTCAGTACTTCTATGTAATTCCTTGTTCTTAGGTTTGTTAGGTTGTGTCGGTCTACTGTAGTCTAGATTTCTCATTAATCTGTGTATTGGTACTAGTATAGAGTATAGTATTTTATAATCTTTGATAGTGGTTAATCTTTTTCCATAGTCTCTGTAAATCTTCACCATCTGTTATTTAAGGTTATGTCTTGTGGTGTTTTCATTAATAAGTTCGGATTTTAAATTACTTTACAATGGGAATTAAACAACATAAAAATGTTGCTGATTCTAACTATATTTTTTGTCGAAAAGGTGGTAGAAGTATCATTGAACGTCGTCCTGTATTTTCTCCTGATGGGCAGTGAGTATTCACTCTATTATTCTTAATTATTGTTTATTTACCGTGATGGTTTCCATAGGACCGCATGGAGGTCGACCTGACAAGGCTATATTGTGGGGAAAAGAAATAATCGGTAACGGGATCTAGCAGCAGTGAATGTGTGCCCCTAAGAGTATATTATAAATAATAAGGCTGCTAGTACCGTAATAATAAAAATCTTGTTAATCAGTAATTAAATGTTTACATATTCCATTATAACGGCTAACTAATTACTATAATTTTGATAATAAGGCTATGTTTTACCAAATTTTTCATTTGGGAACATTTTCATCCCTTTAATTTTTTTTTTCAGATCAATAGCTGTAATTGTTGAAAATATAGTGAGAGTGTATAATATTCAAACAGGAGACTGTGTTCGATTCCTGGAAACAGAAAGTAATGTCAATGAACTTGTAGGAATTCAATTTCTTGAAAATGAAGATTACAATCTGTATGGTTGTTCTGAAAAGGGATGTATCACAACATGGACCTGGGATCAGGGAGCTGTACTCAGAGAAATTGTAATAACAATCGTATTAATTATATATTGATACATAGATGTGTAAAGTTTCTATGTAATTATAATGTAAATGTATTTGTGTACCTAATCAATTCTTATATTTTCAGAATCTTAATATCAATGATGATTATAAAGTAGTAACTTTCAACATGCTAAGTGATACTGAATGTTTTGTAGCTTGTAGTAAACCAAAAAAACAATTATGTTTTGGTATTTACTCAGTTAAAACAGGGAAGCTTATACAATTATTTAAAAATGTGTACATGAAAAATAATTCAATGGTCAGAGTATCTTTAGGATATTGTAATGGGGAGAGATTTGCAGCAGTCATAAATGGAACTACTGATTTATACATACAAAATTTACAACAATTTCATATTTGTAATATGTAAGTAGAAATTATTATGATAAATTAGCCATTAGTTTCAATACTGAATTTTGTGTATTTGAATTTATACTTATTCTTCATTATTAATTATGCCAAGGGACTCAGTAGACTTGCTCCACTGTAGTTATCTGATAAAGAAAAATGCTTATCAAAATATGAGCATTGTTATTATTTATAATGGTTTTATATTGATGCAGTTATTAGCAATAGTTAATAAATGCATCTGATTTCCTCATCTGAATCTATTTAGATATACTTGAAATAACACTGTATCTATAAAATGTCAGTATATATTCTGTATTTTTTTTTTAATGTGTGAAAATGGAATGGTAACCCGCCTGTGCTAACAGGATACGCTGGCGGATTATCTAGAGGACCAAATATTTAGACTTGAAAAAAATTTACTAAGATTAATGAAGAAGTATGAAATGTGGATGAGTAATTATGTTTATTGTTTTCCTTTTCAGACTCAAGAGTCTTAATACTTTTCGCATAACAGCTGTAGCTGCCCACCATAAAGAAAATATGGTTGCCATAGGTGATGCAATGGGCAGAGTAACAATATTAAGAGGCAATTTATACAATAAAAAGGGCCTTGGGCAGGAAATATTGCATTGGCATTACTTGCCACCTCTCGATTTGTGTTTTTCATTACAAGGTAAATTTAATTTAGTAAAAATCTATCATGGATTTTTTATATATTTATTAATAAATAAATAATTAACCCCTGTGCAGAATTTCAAGTTGTTGCTTTACAAATTGAGAATTCATCAGATTAATTTAATTTAGATTCAAAACAAGCATTCAAATAATTTTTGGATATTCCCATAATTATAAATTTACTTAGGTGATATATATATAATATGAACATATAATATGAAATTGAATATAGATTGTAATTAACACTACCATTATACCAATAATTATGCCTATTAAAGTATCTCTATTATATTTACCTTTACAACTTACAGACAGTTATTGGCAAATGTTGAATGCTTAGTTATATTATAAAGAAAGTAAGTTTTTTGTTTTTGTTTGCTGAATGTAAGAAAATAGAATTAACGCAAGAATTTAGAAATGGTATAAACATGGAAAATCAGGGCAGGCTGGGATTATACTTTGGAAACCGCATCCAATTAATGTAAATTTTTGCATAGTGTCGGAACAAACATACAGGCAAACAGACCAAATTTATAAAAAATATTGTTTTGGCATCTATTGCTCTTACTAAGACTCACTCATATATATATATATATATATATATATATATATATATATATATATATATATATATATATATATATATATATATATATATATATATTTAATATCCTATGTACAGACATTATCTAGTTACAATTTTATTATATTAGTAAAATTTCTTATTTCGTAATTTCTTTTAGGAAGTTATTTATATTCTGGTGGAATAGAAAAGGTGTTGGTCAAGTGGACTGCGGGCAATCTTACAAATAAAGCGAATGAGAAGAATTTCATACCTCGGCTTCCTGGGAATGTTAGATACATTGTAGTTAACAATTCACACATTGCAATTACACTTTCTAACAACTGTAAGTATACTCATGAAAGTAAATACGATAAATGTATCCTTATATAAAATGAAACAAAATTATTTATTGTTAACACCAAACACAAATATTACATCTTAATTTGAAACACAACTATATAAGCCCTTATTCATAAAAATGTCAAACGTCTCATAAAGTTATTTCAGCTTATGAACTGTTTTGCTTCTTTTTTTTAGTTAAATTTTTAATTTGTAAAAAAATTACTAAATTGTATGTTTTAGTTTTTATGAATATAGGGTTCTTTTGTTTTATCATATAGGTATATAGGTACTACTAGTTATGGTCACATCTTGATCATCCTAAATACATCGTACAAAAACTGCATAACCCATTACAGTTACTACTTACCTTATGAGGTTTTTACATGTAAGAAGATATTTATTCATTTATTGCCACTTCTACCCAAATTATTTATTCTTATGAAATAACACGTTGTGCTATTTCTTATATTGTTCTTATATTATTCAGCCGTGGTGATAGCGTCAGCGGCTATGCATGTAATGTGCACGATACTGGAATGTGGTGGTCTCTCATCAGCCATGCAAGCCATCGGCTCCTCGCTGGTGTTCCACCGCCACTTCCAGGCGCTACTCATGGGCGGTCGATCCGGTTGCTTGCAATTATACTCTCCCCAGAGTGATAAAGTCCTCTATAATGTAAGTTCTCTTTTCTTTCTGTACCCAAATCTGTAAATCTTTACAATGGTCACATTATGGTAACTGTAGTGTTAATCTAAATAAAATAACAACAGTGCAGTGAAATAGCACACAGACTTAACGTAATTGTAACCTAAAACAGGACTACAAATGTTTTATGTAAAAAAAAATTGTGAAATGGATAATAATAACTTTATTTACAATGATTTTGGGTATAAAACATGAGGATAGATGTGGAATATAAACTGAAGAAATTTCTATAATTGGCCGGTTTGTAGCTTGGTTGAAACATTATCAAGTGCCTCTGATTTTTTTTTAATGGGTGAAAATGGCATGGTTACCCCGCCTGCGCTATCGGTATACACTGGCGGGGCACTAGTGAAAGATGATTGGTGAGGATGAAAAGGCAGTTAGCCCATCGTGACAAATTCAACCAGGGGGAATCGCGTGGAGGTTGACCTGATATGGAATATTGAAAGCGATGGGGCTAACCTCCCCATTACTAACAATCCTTCCCCCTCTGATTTATTTGATAATAGCTTATCACCCGCAACTTTGTTTGCGTGGATTTAAGAATTAGGAAAACGAATGAAAGAGATCACTTTTAGAAGACACACGTTTCTAAGTTAGACCTTCAAAAATACAGTCGCATTCAGTTTGATCCAGTAATTGCATGCATTGCATGATGTCAGAACAAATATACAAACAGATCAAATTTCTAACAATTATTGTTTTGGCATCTATAATCTCCCACGTATAATTTTAATATATTCTATTATTATATTCGTTACAATGTTATTATTTATTATACGATGCAGAAAATAAAATTGAATTCGATGATATATATATAACTATATCCACCAGTTTGGACCTTTTAATTACTTGTTTTGGTTGCAGAAAAAAAGAATATATTTAATAAGGTTTTATGAATTTTCTAAATATAGTGGCATTTGATATGAATTAATTTAAAAGTTTGAAACCCATTTATGTGAAATTTGTCAAATTCATGTTTATCATAACATGTAGCCTAAAGATTCTTATATATTTTTATTATAAATGGAATGTCAGGAAAATATAAAATTGGCACCCAAAAAATCGATAACTTATTCGGATTTACCGAAGGAAAATTATTTTGTGACTTTGTTAAATCCATTTGTTTTTCTGACTACATCCTCTGTTGGATGTCACTCACTACAATAACAATAGATGATATATAATATAGAATATATATGAATGAAACTGTAGATAATTTAAAGCATTCCTGACAAACAATACGTAAATAACCCAGTTATAACTGTAGTCTATACTTTATGCATTTTGATAAATTTCTATTTTGCTCAAATTTTCGAATCTGATCCTTTTACAGATTGACATCACTGAAGTCAACAGAATGCTACCCTCCAGACGAAATATCATCCCCTTAGAAATAGAAGTAACGAGCGTAGCCATTAGCAGCAATGGTAAATGGCTAGTCACATCTGAGTATAGAAACGACGGAAAAGTTTATCCTGAAGAGAGACTTAAATTCTGGGCATATCAGAATAAGAAAGCAACACCATATGAACTAAACACTTGTGCTAACCTCTCTCATGGTGGTTGTATGGTTGTATCCTTGTCTCTCAACGGCGAGGGCGATCTCTGTGTGTCAGCTGGCGCGGATCAAAAGTTTAGGATATGGAGAAGAGAGACAATACAAGAAAAGAAACAAAAAACTAGAATCACTTGGAGTTGTGTCACGGCATGCTATTATTCCTCAGGCGTGTCACAATTTCTTTCACACGACGTGTTAAATAATTACAAAATAGGTGATCCGTATATATACGCGGAATTCGAGGTATATCCATACTTCCGAGAAATAGCAAAAGATGATATTATAGAAAAAGTATTTAATATACATAAACAGAGAACTACGATGGATCCGAATGCAGTTAATCCTGGAACTAAAGTAGATTATGAAAATGATATGGGCGGAGTGGATATATCTCATGATGGGTCCTTGATAGCAGCATGGTTTGGTTGTAAATTGACTCTATGGGATACACACCTGTGCACATTTACGACATTATGTAAGTAAATTTTTATATACATATTATATACGAGGTTTAAAAGTTTTTTAAAAATTTTATTTACATTATTCACTCAATTCCCATTTCGCACTTCGTCCTAAAGGAGTTCATGTACGCTTCGGAAACAAGGATGCTGCACATTATGTAAGTAAATTTTTATATACATATTATATACATATACGTACTTAAAATTTATTTTTTTATTAAGACATCATGTAGGGCCACACACTAGTCTTTTTACTGTTTAATCCCAATCCAAAACAAGCAAGCTCTGACGGTAGAATTTTGTATGAAATTCTGCTCAGATGAAATTAAGTATATCGCCTTAATACAAAAAGACTACGGACAACTAATACAGATAATATAATACCGACTAGAATATAGTATATCTATATATTAACCCAATAACAAATGTATTGAAAATCGGTTATCCAATGTTGAAATGAAGAACCCCATCAAAATGAATATTACACATCATAACCTAAATGGTCGATGACCTTTTTTTCCTTTATCAATGTCTGGAACCCAACATATAAATATCAAAGCGGTACCGATATTACCCATATCTAATACTAAAATAAATGACATTAAATGAAGAAGACAATTGTAAAACTCAGCACCAATATCACACAACCAAAGAAATTTAATCAGTGCCACTTCTATATGATGTTATTTACTTTTTTATACAACTTGTAATGGCAAACAAGCTGACGGCCCACCTGATGGAAAATGGTAACCGTCGCCTATAGACATGAGCAGTACCATGGACATTAACAGAGTATACTGTTTCGCCCATGATACCCCCCATGCGTTGCCATTCCTGAGGAATGTTATTTCGGGTGTTATTTCTCTGTACCCTGTAAATTCACGCCATATCCCACCCTTCAAACCGAAACACAGCCGTGCAAACACAACTGCTTTACGGTTGAAACACGAATGAGACAGAGGTACCCAAGCAAACGACTTTTGTACAAAGTCTCCCTCTGGTAATAGTATATTGGTACTATTCTAGTTTTACCATCATTGGACATACAAATATTATTACATAGATTTTGTTATTTCATAAATAGTGATATAATTATGTAGGTTTTTAAACGACATTATTATTTAAAATCATAATTATAATTAATATTGATTATATTTTGTATATTTATAGTTGGTGTGCACAACAGATAACTGCTTGGCTGTGTGGAGTTTATTGTCTTTGACTATGAAGTGGCTTGTAGAGATACACCCAACGTGTCTTGCAGCTGATCCCTTTACAAACATAATGGCTGTTACAACTAAAACAAATGATGGTTAGTATTTAATTCTATATCTACTACTTAATGCTTATATTACGTTTTATTATATAATTATTATATCTTTATTTGTTTAGGAAATAATATCTTTTAAAACAAATAATAATATCAAAGATATTTTTTTTCCTGTTTTCAAAGAATGATTTGAAATTATGTTAGTTAGAATTATTTATCATTATGTTAGAAGTATTTATCACATACTATATAATTATTACACATATAGTATTATTGTAAAATAAACATTTTGTTTACTTGTATTTTATCATTTTTTCCAAGTTTCAGTTAATTTTACTATAGATTATGAGTTGTTGTAATTGTTTGCTCTGACATTTATTTGATGTCTTATTTGTTGGTTATTTTATTTTTCCACACAGTTCCTTGTTTTTTTATATATACCTAATATAGAAAACAATTTTATTTACCTTACAGTTTATGTATTCAATCCACACAATTCTTCTCCAATACTGACACAGAAGCAACTGTTGGATCCTGCAACTGGTGTATTTAGACTTTGTACATTCGGCCAATCTTCCAGTAATGCGATAAAACTTTACCTAATGCGGAATGATTCTGTAAGTACTTTATTTGAAAATAATGTATATATTGAATATTCATTAAAACAAATTTGATTCTATGTGTAATTCAATCCATAGTGAATTTAACAATTACATTTTTTCTAAATAAGTTATATATAACAACAAACATATCCTGAACCCGTACAATCAGATATAATACTAAATGAAAAATTTCTATATTTTGCGAATTAACTCTTCATCCATGGAAAAGTGAGCATTAACGATTACAGCAATTAAAGCTGCTATATTACCAAGACTGTCAGATTATTGTTTTGATTGTCCTTATTCGCTATTATTTCGGTTTAGTGCAGAGCTGCTTTTTATTGATTCCTATAATTATTGAATTTTCTTTCATGTTTCACATATGAGTATAATGTTTTTATTGCTTATAAAAAAATATTAATAATAATTAAAAAATTAGTCTTATTCATGTGAATTATATTAATTATAGAAATAAATAGATAAAATGACAGATAATACAGACCTTGTGATATTAGTATGAACGCTCTTACGTATGAAACTATTTTGTTTGTATTATTTTATAGGAGATCTACAGCATTGAGCCAGCTAAGAAGCAGACGGGTACCTTGGAAGTTATATCAAAACGCAACCTGCCTGTATCGAATTTCAGTGCGTTACTCGCTCAGCAACGGTTATCGGAAGCTGAATCAACAACCATATCAAGGGATACAGAATACGTTAACAACTCGCAAGCCAACTCTACGATAGCACAGGTGCAATATTTTCATCAATATTTAATCAATCCAGAGGTCCGAGTCAGGGAGGAAGCCAATTTTTTCGATCTAATTATAAGGACTTATTTAATTTATTGCAAGTTAATTTGGTCATTAATTACAAAGGGCACTAAGTATATTTTGCTTAGAAAAAGCATGATATTAAGGTCGAGTCTTGCTTCAGTCGATTCGTCGTTAACAATTTATTATCCTCTGCTGAGTATTTTTTTTTATATACGTCTATTTCGATAAAAATATTGTCCTAGATCGTTTTAATAGTTTCAGCTTATTTTCTAATTCTAACACTATAATATAATTTATATCTAATAATATTGAAATATACGCATTTATGAAAAATATTATTAGATAAGATAGGAAAAGAAAAAATAATAATTCCTAATACGACTACATTGTGGCTCGAACATTAGACTAAGCCATATTTTTCGAAAATAATTAATAATTAAATGCTTCTAACAATTTTTTCCCTTATTGTTTCAGCTATTAACGGCATCGCCTCATATGGTGCCACCAGTGAGTCTCTTATCCGTAACGTTCTTACAAGACATATCGGGACACAGACAGGTCGAAGAAACCGTCGATGAGCCAATCGAGGAAGCAATGGCGGTAGACAATGAATCCAGCGACGATGAAGATGATTTACCGAAATCAAATATGCCTAATGTTGCGCAATTATGGACACCAAATTACGAAGTAGTGAAGTCGAGAAAAATTAATAAAATTATTAAAGAGCCCTTCTTAGATTTACACTCCACATCTTCAATATTTAATTTATAGTGATATTTTTAATAAATTTATTATTAAGTAATAATGTCTTTCAATCCAATCTATTTCAATATAATTTTAAATTGTATTTAAATAACTATTTATATAGTTATTAACATTTTGCAATCGTTGATAGTTGATAGCCCTACTATCCTTCCAGAGGAGGGACGTTGTAGGCGGATCGCTGCTTTACGCAGCCATGGCTTTTGTATGTTGCACCACTTTTTTATGCAGCTGAATGTACAAACAAGCTAACGGCTCAGCTAATAAAAAGGAACAACGATCCCTATGTGGGCGGGGAAGGGATTGTTAGTAATGCAGTCTGCCAGTCCCATTGCTAGCAATAGCTAGCAATGAAACGCAGTCTGCATTATACTCTACAAGGTCGACCTCCACGTGGTCTTTCCTGAATACTATCGTGCTCAATTCCAGGTGTATTCATTAAGATAAACCAACTGACCTGTCTTTTCAATCTCACCTAGTATTACTGGTACCCCGCCAGCGCAGGAAGGGTCATTATTCCATTAACATTTATTAAAAAAGACAATCGCTTATGTGCAACGACCAATACTATGGACATCATAGAATAAACTGACACTATGATATCCCTCAAACTGAAACGAGCAAGGTAGAGGTATCCGAGTACACAATTTTTGCATAAACTCTCGCTTTAGTACGTGCGATATTTTACATACAAAAAAAAAACTATATGACGATATTTTTGTAAACCGTTGTAGATGGTTGCTGTTTCGATAGCATGGATATTAACGCTGGCGCCCCGCAGGGCTCTGTGCTGTCCCCAACGCTGTTTCTGCTGCATATTAATGATATATTAACCTTTGGTGCCATAGTGACATTCATTGTTATGCGAATGACAGCACTGGGGATGCCCATTATACGGGTCGTACCAATGTCCTCGTTCCTTAGTGGAGAACAATCATGAACAGTTTGTGTTTAAAATCGAGAGAACGTTAAGTGGAGTCTCTGATTGGGGACAACAAAACTTGGTCCAATTGAACCCTTCTAAGACACAAGCTTGCGCGTTCACCGCTAAAAATACCCATTTGCTGTGGCCTCTTAGTTCCAGGGCACGTCTCTTAACATCTCTAAAAGCATTGGGATTCTTGATGTCGACATCTCTAATGACGTACAGTTCCGTGGCCACCTCGAAGATAAGGTGAAGCTGGCATTCAAAAAACTATTACTTCACGCCGGATCAGCGAGTAATGCTCTACAAATCGCAAACACGACCCCACATGGGGTATTGTTGTCACTTATGGGCGGGAGCACCTAGATACCAGCTTGAATCCTTCGACTCAGTGCAACGACGAGCTATGAGAATTGTCGATGATCCCAGGCTTGCAAGCGGTATCGAACCCTTAATTCTTAGGAGAGATTTTGCCTCACTCTACGTGTTCTACTGCTTGTACAACGGATTGTGCTCAGAGGAATTATGATGCCTACGGCCACTTTCTATCATCGTACAGCTTGCCATCGAAAGGGAGTTCACCCTCATACCTTACAGCATAAATGGTCGCGTACAACGCGGTTTCAGAGATGTTTTCACTCACGAACGTTCAGGTTACGGAACGAGCTCCCTGCCGAGGTTTTCCCAAGAGACTACAGCGTGGGGTTCTTCAAAAGGGGTAAAGAGGTCTCTTCAGGGTCGGCAAGGCGCGCGTAATACCTTTGGTATTGTAGGCGTTCATAGGCTACAGTAACCGCTTACCATCAGGTGGATCGTATGCTTGTTTGCCATCTCAGTGGTATAAAAAAAGAGCATTTATACCAAGTTGTTGTGTTCTGACAAAATTAAATGCCATAATAACTGTTTTCACCAAAATAGCCTAAACAACATGTTTTACGAAGATATTTTTTTGAAAATACGGTACAATGGACTATACATCGCGTATCGTAAAGCAATGTGTTTACTGTTCAAATAAATAAATTGTCTGTTCTGAAATTGATAACAATTAATCATAAACTGATATGTGACAAGTATCAATTTAACCTAAATAAGACCAGTTGTGTAAGGTATAGCAGGTAGGTACCAATATGTTACTAACCCAAAACTAAGTGATAGTGCCTATTTATATTTTGTTATAAATATTATAAAAATTCAGAATATTGGTTCGAACATGAAAATATTTTTTCAGTTACGGATAAATTATATTGATATTGTCCATCATTAACACTATATTACTGAACACCAATATTATTTTACAGTAGATATTTTTATGCAGCTTAGAATGGTACACAAGCTGACAGACCACCTGATGGAAGGCGCTAACCGTCGACTATAAACATAAGTAGTACCATAGACATAATAGAGTATGAATACTATGTCACCCATGATACCCTACATGTGTTGCCATTCCTGAGTACTAAGTTCATAATAATATCATTATTACCATAATAGTACCAATAATATTATTATTTAATTTCAAAAACATCATCTAAGTATACGAGTAATGGTCGATCAAGTTTAGAGAATTAACAAAACACTCAATTTTTGTAAACTTTAGGAAGATCTGAAATTTACCTGAATTAATTTAGAGCCTAAAATAGACAATTAAATACCTTTGCGGCATTGACTTGAGTTTATCTCTGATTTACTTAGATATGTTTGCGTACTTTATAATATATAATATACACGTACGTAGCTGACAATTCATTTTCAAGATATCATACCGTAGTTGCAGTTATATTAAACTAGTATATATTTATTCAATGTACAAAAATGGATTTACTAACTAATAATGAAATTAATATTATAACAATAAGATGCGGTTATTGTAAAGTGCTCGATTGGTTTTTAGAGGATTTTTCAAATAAAATCATGGGATATTTAGGAGATCATCTGAAGTTAAGAATACAAGTGGAGAAGGAAGGAATAAAATCGGAATTAAGATTGTTTGTAAAATGTATGCCGAGGGACCCGTGGAAATCGAATTACATTAAAGAACTGACATTTTTCAAAAAAGAGTATGCCATGTTAAGTCAACTCTTTTTAAATTTTGAAAATCAGCCAGGTAATTATGAAATTCATTATTTTCGCCTACTTTATTACCTATTGTAAATCTGTGTACAACTATACCTTATTAAACATAAGCCTTATAGTAGAAATAAAATTAACAAAAATTATTTAAATATGATACTTTATTTATGGTATAGGGAGATCAATTTTATTGACACTTTTACAATTTAAAATATTTACCTATATCTATCTAATGTATTAAAAGAACCGAGAATATTTACGGTTCCTTCCTTAAATAAGTATAATATAAAATGAAATGGTATCTTCACCTGCACTGTCGATATCCGCTGGCGAGATACCAGTGAGGGATAATAGATGAAGATGAAGACAGGTCTGGTAGTCTATCGTAACTAGGATTGGACTAGAATTAACCACAATGGTTTCCAGGAGGAACCGCATGAAGGTCGACCTGACAGGATGTATTGCCAGCAATGGGGTTGTAATAGTCCCCGTTACTAACAATCCCTTTTCACCCGGTAAATAAGAATTAAATAACTGTAAAACCTGACAGATTTCTTCAATAATCCTAACTTGTTTAATATTTACAACATCTATCTACGAATATTATTTTAGTGAAAGGATTAGTTCAAAGATAATAAGACAAATATTTTCATGTATACGTACCTATACCAACATTGAGTATATCGTGCATAAAAACTTCAAAATCATCACCTAAAAAATATGTTCACTTTTTCAGGATTAGGAAAATGGCGTCCAAGTCTGATTTATATTAGAGAAGATTTATTTGTTTTTGAAGATGTCACAGAAACTGGTTACATTATGCCAAGTAATGTAAAAACGTTGTCGTTCAAGCAACTAACTGCGACTGTAGAAGCACTGGCTAGATTTCATGCGCAATCGTTTATTTATGAAGAAATAAAAAGCAAAAAGCTTAATCGGCCATATAGGATTTGGGAAGATTTTAGTGATTATCTTCAAGAACCAGACAAAGATGGTGGTTGGAGAATCATAGGAAGAAATTCAATTATAGATTTTTTAAAAGTACATTCTAAATATAAAAATAAACCAAACTTGATTCAAGATCTAGAACGAATTCTGCCATTACTTTTCGACAAAGCTGTGAACCTTATGAAGCCAAGTCCGATATACAGAAATGTTGTAGTACATCGGGACATTTGGTCAAATAACATATTTCTTAGAAAAATAGAAACTACAAACTATCATGCTCTAATCGTAGATTTCCAAACAGTTCTGTATGCATCACCAATGATTGATCTGTCCTCGCTTATATATTTTAATACTACTAAAGATTTCCGAAAAAATAACACCGCTGATTTAATTAATGTTTACTATGAAACGTTAGTTACAGAACTAAGATCTGTGAAATTAGATATCAATAATATTTTTGATAAGGCATTCTTAACAAAGTCATATGAAGAAAGCATACTATTTGGTATCACACAAGCTGCTATTATAGTACCTATAATAGCTATTTCTAGTGAAAAAAGAGAAAAGATTTTTTCAAATCCTGAAAGTTCTCGTAAATTTAGTGTCGTTTCTCGAAGTTACGATTTTTTAAAATCAGCAGAGGAAGACGAACACTATCGTGATCGCATAAGCGAACTATTTGACGAAATAGTGGAAAGATATATTTATCCTGAAATTTATTGCTGATTGATTCGGTATTCACTACGTGTGGACCCAGCATAAAATGGGTCATGGCTTTCCCATGGGTGTCAAAACAGGAGAATTTAATGGTCGAAGGACGGGCAGCAGCATCTCTCTTAAAACATCACCGAAGGCCTAACTGCGGTTAACCTCGCTTGGCTCTACCAAGCGAAGCAACTACTGGCAAAACCCCCCTTATGGGGGAGGTCTATGTCCAGCAGTGGATAGTTAATGGTTGATATTTAATAGTATAGGTAATAAAGAAAATTTGCATATACCTATGTACGTATTTTGTTTTTCCTTATTCATATAGGCAATCCACATATATACGTACGTAATTGTATTTTGCACTCGTAGGTGATTATAGACAATGCCTGAAAATCAATGCTTGCAGTTCAAATTAAAGCTCATACCTAATACCTAACCTATGGCCTAACTGCACATACTCGACTATCCTGTATATAGTATATTATTGTATAATTAAAGTTTCTTTTTACAGCTTTAACTAAATATGTATGTGACATCTTAAATAAATATCATATATGGGTCTTCCTATTATTGTATTTTAATTAAAACTAATGACCCGCTTCAGCTATGGTTTATTTAAGAAAAAAATACAACCCATATTATTCGCTGATAATATAGATTTATATAGGCGAAAGGATTTATTAGAATGATATTTTTTTAATTAATTATTATAAACACAAATCTTTGCTTTTTTTAAATATTAGTTTAGATTAAATTTTACGCCCGCAACTTTGTCCATGTGATCAGGATAAAGGTGCTATTGATCGGGATGTAATGTAATGTAAATAGGACTCTATTTCCCGCGCTTAGCCTCTCATTTGGGCCGGTGTACGTATGGGTCGTGGCTAGTACAGCCAACCTAGCTCCGCCCAAAAGCACAGAAGCTTCCTGGGATCTTCACAGGTCTCACGAAGCGACCTCACTGGTCCAAGGATTTCTAAACGTTGATGGGCCACAGCTTCACATTCCAGGATTACGTGAGCAGCCGTTTCTTCAGCGTCGAAACAACCTCGACATAGAGGGCTGTCTGTGGCTCCTATTGTGTATAAATATTTTGAGGTTTTTCCTATCTAGATGTAATAAACGTTCTGATAGTCGTTGATTCAACGTAGGCACGGCCAATTTTGATTGTCTGCAATCAGTAGCCTGTATCCATCTTTGGTTTTGTATGTCAGCGGATCTTTGACGAATCCATATTCGAAATTGCGAGAACGAAAGAGGAAGAAATGGATACGGGCCTACCACCCTCGTTCCTGAACCTTTTCTAGCTAGTTCGTCTACGGCATCGTTACCGTTATTGATCGGGATATAAAGAAGCCTATATCCTTCTGCATCATGAGTAAGTAATCCGTGTATAATATAATTTCGTGACGATTGGCTTACTGTTAAGACGTCAATAGGTAACAAAGAAGTTGATGAAAAATGGATACATAAGGTTGAAGGTAAAACTCGTATACTAAGCTCGTATTTAGAACGTGATTCATCAATCATATAATAACTTAGTCATATAGTAATAAAATATGGTTATTATGAATATATATATATATATATATATATATATATATATATATTATATATTCTCATTTCATTGATTGGTTTTGATGGTTAATACAAGTGTTTTAAATATTTAAAAAATCGTGCTAAAAATGCCAGTTTCCATTATTTTTTATTATTTTATTTAATTTTATTTTGATTATAATTGTTATATTTATCGGTTTTTCCAAATACTTTACGTCATACATAATTCTAAGGATGATTTCGATACCTATACACTGGTACCTTTAAACGTAGATAATTAATATAAAGACAGACTATTGTTTTTAACTTATCTATATACTAGACGAGTAAATAAAACAACATAATAAATTACGTCTCTAAAAATATAATTTAGATAAAAAGGTAACTTACGGTTGTGAGAACAATTTACTCATATAATCTCTATTTGATATACCTAACTACACATTTACTTACACCTACATGTTACTTATGTGCTTACGATAACGAAGACAAATAAAGAAATACTTTGTTGTACTTAATATAATTTATTTACCTAACGTTAACGTACGACTGCAGTTTGCTAATTTTATACTGATGTATTATTTAATGACGTCATCCTAATAGTTGTCAAAAAATGGCTCACGTATAGGCAACAACATAAAAGAATAAACTAGGAGGAAGGGAAAGTTAGTAATGGGGACTAACGGCTCTATTACTGTGTGTAAAACGTCACTGACGGGTCAACCTCCACGCGTCCTCCCTGAAAACCATCATGGTTTATTCTTAATGAAATCATTGATCGATTAGAGCTTACAAATATTTAATAATTTTGGTTCTTATTAATATAATTTTTGATATAGTCTTTACGAATTATAGGGCCATTCTAACAGTTGCATTTAAAATAATGGCATTTAGTGCAGGAAGTGCATATCTGGAAGGATACGCTTGAGAATGGTGGTCTAAGATTATAATGAAAACTAAATATTTGCCCTGTAATCCCTGTCGATAACTATAACTATTTTTTTTCCGAACTGTGAAGAGGAAATTATAAAAAAGGATAAATTCAGATACCCAGTTACGAAAAACGTACAGGACCAAGCAAAATTGGAGAGGAGATTGCGTCCTATGATAAATACTGGTAACAACTTCTGGAATAAATATAATCAAGTAGAAGGTAATGAAATAATTTATACAAAAGTATACCTCTAATTATTTTTTGGTAGATTGAAAGTCAATAATATAGAAAAACGCACAGAGCATCATTGTGGCTATTTTGGTTTGTCAACTTTTGATAACTTTGCAATGAAGAAATTTTGCGGATCAAAATAATTTTCGATTATAAAATTTCGAATATTATTCAAAATAATATTCGAATATAATTCTAATTTGAAAAATTCGTTTGTTCGAATGCAAACATATTACAATAGACTAACTAACCTGCTTTCATCTTCACCAGTCATCCTTCATTGGCACCTCGACAGCGTATGCCAAAAACGAAGACAGGGTTGGAAAAAAGGGAGAATAAACTGTGATGCCCTTGGGATTACGAACCATGGATATTACAGTTGTTGTTCTGGAGGCTATCAGGTAAGATATTAATTACACCTTTATCCTTATAGAACAAACTCTTACCATACCCTTCATATCAGAACACAGCTAGAAAGGTATACAAGTACCCGTTGCTCGATGTCAAAAACAATAAAAAACTTACATTTTCAAGTAAGTTTAGTGAAATTTATTTGCCAAATTACTTAAAACATCATCCTGGATTAACACACAGGATATCTACTTTTATCCTAATTCATGGCGCCCAAGCCGTGGTTTACCACTATAGTTTGTAGATAAAGAACGTAAATAAAGAGCTTTAAAATATTGTTACGGAACCCTATTAATATTTTCCGACATTTTGTATGCGGATTTTAATAGTTTTATCATTAGTATGTACAGTTATTATAAGAATAAACAGTAGTGTTACGATACATTATTGATGCAGTACTCATATAATTATCACTGAAGACTAGTAACAACGCTAAAATAATTATGGAAAATAATATAATTAAATACATAACTGAAGAAGATATAAATTTGATTTTATTAAAGTGTGAATATCCGAGTGATGTAATTGTAGAAAACTACGATGTATGCAATGCTAGTAAATATATGATGGGATTTTTAGGAGACTATTGGAAACTTAAAATACGAATTGCCATAAAAAACGATGAAAACATTGTGAGAAAAACCCTTAATTTTTTCATAAAAGCAATATCTAAATCAAACCTCTCTAAGGCTGAGGTTGTGAGAGAAATGAAATTATTCGAAAAGGAATTATGCTTTTATTCAGTTATTAAGATGAACATAAATTTACCAGGTAAGAATATATTTTAATTAATAATCTATCTTATATTTTATCGTGATGAATTTTATAGTAGTTTTTTTTTTATTATCATTTATGTAAAATAAAGTTTTCGAGTACCTATTTCAGCTAGCTACCTAAATTGTGACTTGAGTTCTAGTTCTAATATTTGTGATGTCTGACAAGTATTAGTAATAATTACATAATCATTTTTAATCAAATTTTAATTAATAACTGTGACAACCACCGATATCTTTGGGCAAATATGCTAGCAGCCCACCTAATAAAAAGTATTAATTATTACCTATATAGACATTACAGAATACACTTTGTGGTCCATAGTGCTAGAGATTACATAATATATAATGCTTATCTCTCGATCTAAGAACAAGGAATTACACTCCCAATAGTGTAGGCAAAAACAATGAAACGTCAAATGATTTAATTCAAATAGATATTACAATATCACAATAACAACAAAATGTTGAAGTACCTATTTTATAAGAAAATAAAATATATTTTTTCAGATATGAAACCTTGGAGTGCTAGATTAATAACACCTCTGAATGAAGCATTAGTGTTTGAAGATTTAACGTCGCTACAATATGAAACTCGCAATAAATTCACAAGGTTCGATAAAGACCATATGTTACAAGCATTAAAAACATTAGCTCGGTTTCACGCATCTTCCATTATATTTGAAGAGAATAAAAGTCAACGTTTGCAACGTTCTTACAAAATAAATGACGAGTATTCGCATTTGTTGGACGAAGGAGGTTATCACAAATCCGAACCTTGGTTTATTCAATGTATGAACGGTGCACTAGAAACTATCACTGCTTATTCAAAATATAGCACTAATGAGAAAATTATGAATCTAATTAAACTCCATTGGAATAATGTTTGGTATTCAGCTTTAGAATTAAGTAATATGTCAAGTGAATACAGAAATGTGATCTGTCATCGTGATTTATGGAACAATAATATACTTTTTCATTATAAGAAAGTCGGAGAAACACTGAAACCAGACGATTGTATGATTGTTGACTTCCAAGCTGTACGATATCAACCACCGGCCGGCGATGTCATGGTCCTTCTATATTGTAACTTAGATCCCAAATTTCGAGAAGAAAATCTTAATTTGTTTCTCGACTATTATCATAAAGAGTTAGAGCTTATTCTTATTAAATATGGCATTAAAATCGAAGACGTTATAAACAAAGAAGATTTTTTAAACTCCGCAGAATGTCAACGAAAATGGGGTCTTATTGTTTGTGCTTGTTTAATACCACAAATTTGGATAGACGATGAATTGATAACAAAGATATTTTGTGACACGACCCAATTTGATAAAGTATTGACGAAGGACAAGGGAACCTTTATAAAACATATGGTAAAAACAAATCAGGATTACAGAGAAAATATTATGCTTATATTTGATGAAATTATAGAAAGATATATATTGTGTTAATACAATGTAGGTATTTATATCATCCAAAACCAAATCCCAATTGAACTTTAAAAATAAAGAGTAAAAAAAAAGATCTAAGGATATTTGATATTTCTTTTAAAACAATATTATTCGTTTTTATCCGGTTGTACTCGTATATGTTCGTGCTGATTATTACTTGGTTTTGCATTGTTGTAACTCCAAACAGGATTAGGAACAAACTTGTTATCCTCAAGCTTGCGAGTGCCAAATTTCTTATACCAAGGATCATCATGCCGCCTGCTGTATATATCGCAAAACGGACGCAGCAGAAGAATATATATTAGTTCTACGAAACTCAAGATACTTGCGCCAAGGAATAGTCCTCCAGTACCACCTGTGGATACTGTAAATTATTATAGAAAAATTAATGAAGAAAAAATATAGTAGATATATTTAAATACGAATAATAAATAATGAAAAATTAATTTATAAATATGTTTCATTAATATAATAATTATTATGATATAAATGGGTCATATCGTATATCAAGTATTACGTTCACCACTGTAGCAACGTTGTTAGACTTGTCAGACCATTGTTCTACAACTCCATTAGTGATTAATAGTCGTAAACAGAAATAAACTCTTTATTGTTTCAAAAGTCCTTTTACCAGAGGAAGACTTTGTACAAAAGTCGTTTGCTTGGGTACCTCTGTTCCATTCGTGTTTCAACCGTAAAGCAGTTGTGTTTACATGGCTATGTTTCGGTTTGAAGGGTGGGATATGGCGTGAATTTACAGGGTATGGAGAATTAATACCTGAGTCCTCAGGAATGGCAACGCATGGGGGGTATCATGAACAAAACAGTATATCTGTTATGTCCATGGTACTGCTCATGTCTATAGGCGACGGTCACCACTTTCCATCAGATGGGCCGTCAGTTTATTTGCCATTCAGAGTTGTATAAAAAAAAAATAACAGCAGTAAATTTTATCTACTTTTTTTTAATGTAGAATTTTTTTATTTTCGTGCGTTACATTACGGATACCCTTACTTGTATTATAATACCTTAGATTAATATATTAATAATAAGGCACGGATATTACTTTACTAGTGTAAAGTACTAATTATCTTTGCCTTAAATACATTTTATACAATTATAGTGCAGTCAGGAACAAAAATTAAGAACATAAATATCCCTGTTTATAAAATGCCTAAACGCACTTGATGTAGGTTACTTTAATATAATAAGATTAGATCCAGAAATACACAAAAAAAGATGTATATATATATGAGATAAGCTCACCATTGTGCACTAATATGTTATGTTTCTGATACAAATACTGTTTATGCAGAATAAAGAAAGAATACATTTTTTGTTCTGTCTATGAATTAATTATATGTAGAATAAAAATCTGAGTTGTGTTAATCGACTTTTAGTGCTGAGCTTATCTAATTAATTATACAAAACTACAGATAATAGGACTGAGATAAACGAATACTTCCACTTTCGTATCTAACTCACCTACTAAATCAAGAACTCCTCGAACAACGTTCCTCCGATATCTTTCGCTTGGTAACATGGCTAGCGCTATTTGTACTGTTGCAAATCCTTGTGTTGTAGTCGCTTTAAAATCTTTAATAATAGATATCTCAGCTTCAGTACATGATGGCAGACAGTTACAGTATAAACCATTACGTGACGACCATTTTGCACGCAGGACCTAATAGGTAAAAAAGTTTTTTAAATTAAACTAAATTTACAGTTGTTGCAATATTAATCTATAATATAAATGGATGAATGTGTTATATCGTATTTTCGGATCTCCGCTATTCTATGATTGGATGAATGGATGAAAGTGATATGAGATGATATGTGCATAATTTATATTTACACTCGATTACTATAACTGATAGTTGTATGCATAAAGTATATTATACTTATTAGTTGGTATTCGTAGTATACTCGTAATAACTGCATCCATGTATATAATAACGAAAATGCCTTCATTCGTTTATGTCTTCAATTACAAGATTTTTTTCTTTCCATAAAGAATAGTAACCATTCTCAAACAAGTATTGACAGTAAGTAGTTTGAATGGTTTCGTGTTTTTTAACAGGAAATTATAACTTTAAATTGTATGTGATGATATAAATAATAGTATTACTTACTGAAAGAACATTAACGTGATCGTTCAAACAGATAATGCCGCTCACATTGCATTTCAAATGTTCTGGAGTGTTCGGCATAAAGAAATTAGTGCAGTTACAAATACGCATCTGTGCATCCATCCTGCACTGAACAGTGCACGCTGTGTAGGAATAGTGTCGGTACACTTTCAGTGAATTCTCATCGGTATACCGACATTTCCTTTTTTCTGGAGAAATTAGACGGGCTCCAGCATCGTTCTCAATATTTCTTATAGTAATATACCGCCTGCAACATTTAGGAATGACATTTATGAGCAGGTGTTATAACTGTGAGATGTGTTGTCTCACCCTGTTCTTTTCATGTGGTAAAACTTAAAAGTTGCCTAAAAGTAAATATATAAGTAGATAATTATATAATCACATCAATTTCGAGGACAGGACTTATTTCTTACCCATTATGTAATCCTTATTAACATATTCTAAATGAGACAGTAAGTTTGTTATCTCTTGGTACTGTTTCGGTTCAAATATTTATCTTTATTATACTAATTACATACATGTAATATTTGTAATAGACAATGATTGTCTACGTTATTTTTATACGGGTCATTTAGATAATTCCCAGACAAAGAAAGTCTTAAGTACAGCTACTTATAATAAAAAAAAAATTGATAATAATATAATATACATTTACTTTGCTTTTTTTATTAAAAGTATTAATAAAAATCGGCGCCTAATACAAAATACTAATTCATGATACTACATCATTATATCAGCTGTTAACTGTTACTTTTATTGGTGAACATAAGCCCCATGAGAGGGGTTTTGCCAGTACTTGCCATGCTTGACAAGCGATTTAATTGCAGTGGTTAGAGTTTGGTGGTGTTTTAAGAGAAACCCTGCTGCCCATTCCTCGACCTTTAAGTTCTTTTAGTCGCCTCTTACGACATCTACGGGAATAGAAGGGTTAGCCCCTTCTATGCGGGGACCACTAGATTCATGATTAGTTCTTAATAATTTTAAGACATTTTCTATGCTCAATATATTATTAACTTACTTATGAAATACCTCAGGACCAATTGCAAGCACATCAGAGCCTAAAGTTGTCAACGATGGTACCTCTTCCTCATTTAAAACATAAACATTCGCAGTTACCATTACATTAAATGCAATCATGCCCGGACCAGTTGTCTTATTGCTAATCATTGATAATTTGGGAGGACGCTTTTCCCTAGAACAAATTTCAATTTTAACTCCACTGTATGATTATAATACCACTTCTATATTATTCCAATGACCGTTCATTAACTCTGAGAAAAATGAGAGGAATAAGCGGATTGATAGATAATGGGAAGTTACAGTCTATAAACCGTAATACATAGATCACAGTAGAAGTAATATCAAAAAGTGGTTCCCCCTGGAAACCATCGTGAACAATTCTTGTTGAATTCGTCACGATGGGCTAACTGAACTACTTCATCCTCACCTATCATCCTTCACTGGTGCCCCGCCGGTGTATACCGATAGCGCGAGTGGGGTTACCATTCCATTATCATCCATTTAAAAAAAAAAAAAATCAAAAAGTTTAATCTTACCTTCCTTGAATAGTATTAATGGCATAACATGTCCCAAGTTCAGTGTCCAATGGTCTAAAATATTTGCAGCATGGAAAATTAATTCCATTCCACGAGCAGTTTGTTAATATCTCATCGCAAGTACTTCGAATCTGAACAGTATTAATCATTTTACTAACATTAATACTTGATATATGAGAAAATATTATATTTAGAGAAAGTTTATAAATGGTTTTAAAGTAATAAGGTAAAAGACAGGTCACAAGATCTCTATATGAAATAGTTATGTAATTTTGTATATCATTTTTTAATATAATAAATCTGAATTTTGTATTTCGTAGTAAATACGATAGTCACATTATTTGGAAAGGCCCTCTCCATCATCAATTGTGCCAAAAATCAAATGTAGCAAAAATGTAAAGGTTATTTTACATTGATAAAAGAAATATGAAATAATTTAGTCGTAAATATATTATATAAAGAAAGCATTTTAAAAGCACTTTTTCGTTACTCAACTGTGTTTTATATTTTTTGATATGTTCTTTTAGTCTCCACCTTTTTTGTTACATTCGGTAACATTAAAAGTTTACAAATTATATTGTTTGGACTTACCAAGTTTGCATATTGACTGAGATTAGTCTTGACGCAATCTGGCAGAGGATTTTCTGCCCCACAAAATTCGGAAGTATAATATGTTATCCCTTTAAAATATGCCAGCTCCTTCAGAACTTCTTCCATATTAAAATCATGACCTTCTCCCCATAATCTACAGATAAGTAAAGAGTAAAATATTTTTTTAGCAACTTAGAATGGCAAACAAGCTGACTGCCCACCTGATGAAAAGTAGTAACCATCGCTTATAGACATGAGCAGTACCATAGATATAACACAGTACACTGTTTCGTCCCTTCGTTGCCACTTCTAAAGACTCAGCTGTTATTCCTCTGTATCCTGTAAATTCACTGCTATATCCCAGGTGCCCAAGCAAATTTTATATTCCTTTGTAAAAAATAAACAATTTCAGAACACTCCCTTAAATGCATATTAATGATTAGATTTTTCCTTGTATATTCTTAAGTATGATAACTTACAGTCGTTTTTCTTAAGGATTTTGGAAATAGCTGGAAGTTGATTCCAAAGAGAGGCTAACTCCATCTCCATGTCATACAATACAAAATAAGCGAAAAGGAAAGGATTGTTAATAATGCGGACTACCAGAGCCATTGCTAGCAATATGATGTGTCAGGTAGACATTCTCGTAATCTCTTTGTAAACCATCATGCTGAATTCTCTGCCTTTCCATTCTTACCCTTACTGGTGCTCCGCTAGCGTATAGCGTCAGGGCAGAAGGAGTTATTTTTTCATTATCACTCATTAAAAATATAAAAGAAGCTGAAACAGTTGTATTTACCCATCAGATATTTCTTCGATGCGTTTGGTGTTATCATTTTCACAAACGGCTACTGAGGGGAAATGTGTGTCCCAATCTTTATATGTTGTTTCTACGACGAATGAGATAGGATTATTTTGGAACGCATCATATTGGGCAGCGATTAACAAAGACGAACCGTACCAAGACAGCGCTACGAAAATTAACCAAAATATTCTGAAAGTAACGATATACATTACTAATCTATAATAGTTGTAGTACACAACATTATTTTTCTCAAAATTTTACGAAATGGATGTTAAGAAAAAAACAAATATCTAACAATTCGAAATTATTATAATAAATACTCGTCCCTATAAAAAATATTTTCATAAATAAAGTTTAAATATCTGCTTTAATGGTTTTTTTAAATATCTATAGAAAATGACTCCTGATTATTATTTAAGCGAGGGACTTAAGTCTCAGTATTCTAGTTTAAAAATTGACTTAAATATAGGTATATATAAAAATTACACGAAGATAAATTAGAAAACAGTCTAAACTAATATCTCACCTCTCTAGCCAGTGCCTTTTGGAGTCCGCTATAAATCTAAATCCATGTATGGAGGTCGTCTCTGGTAAACTTTTTATCCCATTCCACCATATCTCAAAATATTTCTTTAACGTTTTATCGTCATCCATGTCCGTTGAGGGTAAAGGCGAAGGAGAAATAACAAATACATGGATTCGAACGTTTTTATTAGATAATAATAGCGTTTCGTGAACAACAAATTATTTATGAAGAGACAACAATTATGTGCTGTACATAAAGTTACAATAGCAATATTTGTACAATAAACTAAAGCCGATATAATAGTGATCGTAATCACCGTGAGAACCTTCGAGTGTTTGATTTTGGTGATATTTATTTTATTTCAACAACAATTTTATGGATCATATGTAGATATTACAAGAAGATAATAATAACCTAACCTTTATGTACAGGAGGGAAAAGGATTGTTAATATTAGAGATCTAACAGCTCCGTTGCTAGCAATATACCCTAGCAGGTCGTCCTCCACGCGGTTCTCCCTGGAACTATCTTGATTAATTCTTTACGAATTCCTTACTATGGGTCAAATTGACTTGTTTCATCCTCATCTATCATATCTCCCTGGTACCCCGCCAATATTGTACCTATATGTACCTATGTATAGTTTAGAGAGATGTTTGAAAGTCTGTTAGTATATTGAAAATATTAAGAATTGAATATATATAGTAAGTGTAAAAAAATATTTAGTAAAATAAATGCCAAAATTATAGTAAAATAGCTCGAGATTACTTTTTATTTTAAGCTTTTTATTTATAACTTAAAAATTATAATCATAAATATATATATCTCATATATATATAATATATAATTCTTTATACCAGTATCTAGAACAATATTGAATCCACTTATTCTACATTTGATGTGCATGTGTAACTGCTGTTAATTCATTCCAATATATCGCTCGATACCTACCTATAGGTTCAAACTCTGAATTTACGATGTAAGGTGTATTAGTCTGTAATGTGTTTGCAATACGATTCCGTTTACGTGTTGCATTAATTTCTCTTATCAGCTTAATGACGAAAAAATAAAGAAACTCGAGGACTGACACGAAGCTGAAACCAGTCACGAAACCACATGTTGAACCCATGTCACCTGAAAAAAAAGCATGCTTCATTTTACGCATGACTTATAGTTATTATACGCAGCTGTATGAGTTATGATAAAAAATTCTATAGGTAATGTTACTCCAATATCAGGTATACCAAATATCATTTAAATTCGTTAATACCTTTGTGAACTTTTGAATTTATATATCTACTACAATGGTAGAAAGTAGGTAGTAATAGTAGGTAGTCGGTGAAAGATACAAAAATTATCTTATTTTTTTACTCCAATTGACAAAGACATCGCGTAATATTCCTACAAAAAATGCCATTGGATTGCAGTAATCCAACATTGATTTTCCTTTTTTAATTCATTTAAAAACAATAATTTGTTAAGTACATATATAAAATCTAATTAATTATTTCAATTTATTATTGCATTTATTGAGGCATTGAACTTATTGACATTAAGACTTTGAAATTTAATTTAATTTATTTTAATTTAATTAATTAAAATTCAACTAAATTTGAAATTACATAAACAAAGGTACTGGAAATTATAACTAACTCTACTAAATAGACTTACTAAATAGATCAAACCACTTCATGATAACACTCTGTCTGAAGAAGTCCACCGTTTCCCTTGCATACTTTACGTGAACAATGGATGTTCCAGTGAAGTTGGCCCCTAGTCTGCAGGAAACATATCGACATGTTACCTACGCATACACAAAATCTGGAATATATTAATTCCTAAAAGGAATATATTGATTCCTAAGTTCCAAGAAAATATTTTAGATGGGATGGATGGATTTCTTTAAAGGCCAGCACTGATGTTGGACCACGCACAAAATTTTTGTAAATAAGTCTAATATGCGAAATTTCACCACGCGATAATATTTGCAATTCTGTAACTTAAATACTTATCTGTACTATATAAAGTTAATATAATATTCGACACATATGTGAAATAAAAAACGCGTAAAAGACCCCTGCTCGGTGAAAAGTTTGTCTGTTTTATCCTTTGATGTAAAATCAAATGTGTTAGGTCGATACAATAATAACCTCCATAGTTACAATTGCCGTTTGCTCTCATTTGAAAAACGACGAAGGAAAAGTGTCAGAATGTGAATAGATACTAAACTATGTGTAAAATTCTGTAAATTTTGCAATTTACTTAATATATAAAAATGGCTACCAAAATATCTACTCTATCTACTGCAGACTTCGAAGTGTTTGGCAAAGTGCAAGGTGTTTACTTCAGAAAACACACTCAAAGGAAAGCTACCGAACTTGGACTAAAAGGATGGGTAATGAACACTGCCCAAGGGACCGTTATCGGACAACTCCAAGGTCCTCAGGATGCTATAGAGGATATGAAGATATGGTTGCAAAAAATTGGAAGCCCTAAATCGAAAATTGAAAAGGCTGCATTTAGAAACGAAGGACCAATAAACAGTTGTGCTTTTAGAGCTTTCGAAATACGACGATGAACATTATTTTGTAATCTTTAATATAATTTAACATATAATGCATATTTATTTAAAAACCTTTGATTTACTCATCTATTATTTATTTTTACATTCAATTGAAAGCTAGATCTATGTTATATGCTTTATGATAAATAGAGCCCGTGTTAATTATTATGAAGATATTTAGGAAAAATAAGATTACGAATTGTTCAAAGGAAAAATAGGCAGAATTTTATTTAGATACAGAATGACATCTATCGTAAGTATAACTAGCCAGTAACAGAAGGGTAACCATAGTTTCATCTATATAGGTTGATATGCTACAAAGTCTTACAATATGTAAAGTAATTATATTATTTAGTTTACATCATAAAAATGCATAGAAACATGTACCGAAGGAAATCTAAATTGACTTACAATTATCAGAAGGATTATGATAGAAGAGTAAAATGACCAGAACAGATATAATTATAAAAATTAGTAAACTTAAAATAAATTATATGTAGAGGCCTTTATTATTCGATTATCTAGGACGTGAAAATATATAGTATTCTTTATAAAAAGAATTCTAAAATTATTATAGGTAATATGTATTGGTTTTTAGAAGAAGAAAGGAAGAAAGAAGAGAACAAATTACTCACAGCCACGTATCCCTTTCGCTGTTAGGCGCTGTGTTGAGATTTTCAGGATAGATGTTTACGTTTATAAAATCGTAGTTGTACGTAGTTTTAGAACAAGTCGGAAAGCACATAGGGCATGATATACCGCCTTCAACTAGCTCCAATTCCAGTTCTGGTGGTAGAGGTTCAATCTCAGGTCGTATAGTTATTGACTGTGCTTAAAATAGAAAAAAAGCTAAACCTAAACAGAATTAAAAAAAGACTGGCTAAAACAATTTATTGTTAACTCGTATAATTATCATTTATTAAAGAAGAGTTTAGAGCAGCATCTTAGTCATTACTAATAAATCGTCTTTCATTGTTAAATTTACCTATTTTAGATTTTATAAAATATTTTCGTTTAAGATAGCCACATATATAAGCATCAAGGAACGCGCGCCTTTAAGAATTAATAAAGGCTACTATAATAATTATCCAGTATGTTAAAACAAAACAATAGGATCACTTTGCACTTACCATAGTAACGTCTCAAGCAAGCCACATCTCGCAAATCACAGGTTCGCGTGTTCGCCATTTTCAACATATTAAATGGAATGCAGTTACATTTCGAGAGCAGAAAGAGCACGCGACATTTTAACATACAATCACTATGAGTGTAAAACGGTAAATATGATGATTCATCGTAAAACAGACACCCTCGAAGTCTTACTGGAACGTGACGAATGTCGGAGGACGCCGTAGTATAAGTTGGTATTACCATTACTGTCATCTACAATTACAATGAATAGATTTACATAGGTAAGAATTATGTATTATTTCTCCTATCCTTCAAATAAAAATCCTTATTGAAATCGATTAACCCGTTCGGGAATTAAAACTCTGTACCCTCACGGTTTTTATATCTTTCAATTATCATCAATTATTATAGAGAATTGATTAACAATTTAATTAAATGCTTTGATAAACTAGTTTTCAGTTTATGATATTATTCCAATTTTGTTTCTCTTTGTGAATCTACCTGTACGTTAGGCCGAATTATCTGCATACCAAAGCTACCACTCGGTGCATCTGGAAAATCGTAGGCATCAGAGAATTGTAACTGAAAATATAAGAAAATTAAATCTATTAACCACTAGCGGCCCGTCCCGGCTTCGCACGGGTGGACATTTTTACAACATAAAAAAAAGGTTATTGCAACATAACGATTATAGTTGGACATATAGTATCACTAAGTTTTTTGTAGTTATTGATATTAGTGATATTGTCTTCAATATTGTAGAACACACTTTTGTTCTATCACCAATAAGTTCCGCAGCACACGCAATGAAAGATATTTTATAGCATTTTTTTACACCTTGAGTTACGTTACTAAAGTCTTAGTAAGAATCCATAATCTTTTCTAGCAATAAATATAAATCTAATGGTGAAAGAATTTTTGAAATCGGCAAAGTAGTTTTTGAGTTTATTCATTACAAACATACACACAAAAATACAAATCTTTCCTCTTTATGATTAATTCAATTCAATTCAATCATTTATTGCTATTACATGTTGTAACAAACATGGTCTTAAGTTATTAAAAGTATAGAATCAACATGAACCCTGGAAAGTACATTAATTATTTCATAAAGTATATAACTAAATTTTTACATTATATATATGTATTCGATTAACATAAAATAAATAAAACATTACACACAAAAAATATGTACAAATACAAATTTTTTTCATTGAAAAATTCCTATGATATAATAACTTTTTGTGATTAAATATTTTTTTAAATCCATATATCATTTAGTATATATAGTATCATCATCTTCATCATATCAGCCGTTAACTGTTCACTGCTGAACAGTTGCCTTCCTCTTGAAGGGGTTTGTCAGTAGTTGCCACGCTTAATAGGCGGATTGATAACAGCAATTAGGTTTTGGTGATATCTTACGAGGGGTGCTGCTGCCCGTAACTCGACCTTTAAGTTCCCTTAATCGCCTCTTATGACACCCACGGGAAAAAAAGAAGTAGTCTATTCTATGCCGGGACCACACAGCTTATTATTAGTATGTATATTATACAGAGTCAAATATAAATTTAGTTCTACTTGAGCTCCTTGTAGCGGCATATTGCGGAAGAAGTCATCATTTTCGTTTATACGCATTAATATTTTAAGCCCCTGATCGAAGTCAAATGAAGATTTATTGCCATATTTGTACATATCAATGCTACGTGCTGTGCCATTCACGCTGAAATAAACAGAGAATAGTATTAGACACGCTACTTAATGTAAATGAAGTTCCGAGTTCGATTTTCTGTTAGATTAATTTGAAAAACTAACTTTTCCAAATTAGCTCGGATCTACGAGTCTTTTGGATTATAATTGTATACCCAGATCTTCATTGTTTATTTACTTGTAATATGATTGATGCGATTGTGCAGCGTTTTATTATCGTATTGGATTTGCCAAATATAGGAGTAAATGCAGTACATTTTACAATAGTTACCAAATCTGTTTAAAATTCAAGATAATACCGCGTAATTTAAACAAAAAAATACAAGCAAATTTAAAATTTCTTTATAAAGTTGTTTAATAACATGCAATTTTTTTTATTCAACTTAGAATGATAAACAAGTTGACGGTCCACCAGATGTAAAGTGGTAACCGTCGCCTATAGACATGAGCAGTACCATAGACATAACAGAGTATAGTGTTTCACCCATGCGTTGCCATTTCTGAGGACTTAGGTATTACTCTTTTGAACCCTAAAAATTCACTGCCATATCCCACTCTTCAAACCGAAACACAGACATACACACACAACTGCTTCACGATTGAAAGACGAATGGGACAGAGGTGCCCAAGCAAACAGACTTTTGTACAAAGTCTCCCTCTGGTAAATTATTATTTTATTATTATTTATCTAAAATAGTTCAATAATAATGTAATAAAAAATCAACGTTTATGACAAGTGTAAGGAAACAACCTAGTAAATTCTGAATATAAGAAAAGTAACTTAATAAAATTGAAACGTACTCTTCGAACTCACTATCTGATTGTCTGAGGTAGTTGAATGTGCAGCAATAGCCGTTCATAGTGAGTCGGAAGTCAAACAGTTCTGAGCAATTTTTCGGATCGTCATTCCAAGCACATCTTATTAACAGATCTTCGCAACTAGGTGTTAACTGAAAAATTACACATTACCTGTAATACATATCATTTTACCTTACTGATGAAGAAAGTTAATATATTTTTAGATATACATATATATTATGTTGGGTGTTTTTTAAGTGTCAAAATCTTTATCGCAGATTATATATTATGGATTTTATTAAACAAGATGTCATTAGAATTGTCTTTATTGTAAAACTCTATAGGTTATTTGACGTCCACGACCCACTGTTGGCCGTAAAAAAGTATATTCCATAAAAGGACAATTCTAGCTTACTATTTTTATCTGGCCAAACGGCTCAATATTTCATATTAACTTTCTTTTCATTATTTTAATTTCATTATTCCCTATGTCACTATTTACAATAACCTGGAGATGAGAAAAAGTAGTATACTTACTTTATCGGCACACAAAATAAATACGGAGACGTCTGTATAAAAAATTGCTACCACAAACTTTGAAGATGCGTTAAAAGATAAAACCAGTACAGACATTTTCTGTGAAAAATTATGGAAAATTACCTACAAATGTTTTTGTAATAATATTAACATGTGTTAAAACGTTTTTTCCAGTGTGAATTTTATTAAATTTGTCTCTTCCATTTGTTTATTTTATTATTATAAATGTTGATTATAGATTATATAACCTGCCTGGATAAACACCACACCTATTTCTGTATAGATGTAGTAACAACTTGCAAAGTTTTCTTAAGTAAAAGTCGACGCAATCATTAGAAGAGATCAAAAGACATATTTTCAAACACAGTCTTCAGGCAATTATTTATTACACAATCTTGTATGATGTTCTCACGATAGTTATTGTCCCTCGTCATATATGCGAGTATATGATATAATTACATGTAATATATGAAATCCATTTAGTATTGTCTCTACTAATAAGAGGCAATAGGATCACTCTCATATGCAAAAGGTTCTTTCTCCAATCCCAGTTTACATTTTCTAGTGGTATATTTTTTTTTTTATTTTATGCACTAATAACTAGCTATATAAATTTTCAAAAGGTCAGATAAAGAAACATACATTTTTTATGAGTTCGTGGACATCGTAATCACCCAAAGCTAGATGTAATCTCATCGATGAAACAATGTTCTCATTGACAGGCTGCAAGTCGTACAGTTGACCCAGTCCGTATAGCAATGTTAACATTGTTTGTTCATTATATTTCTTGTTGCGTTCAGCTTTTAATCTATAAAAATGAATACGTTTATTAAATATATCAAATAATTTTCATTACATGTACATATATTAAAATATAATTACACACAGTTCTTTCGCCAGAGCGTCGACAGCTCGCTTGCTAATTCTATTCGTAGTACAAATCCCAATCGCTGGAAATATGATGCTATTGACTGGTATTCCTTCAGGCATCTGCGTGGTCACGAGCGGAGCTCTATTGTACTTATCGAAAGTCTCCCATATTAGCGATATAGAACATACTAAAGCACCTATCAACATAATTATCCATATGACTCTGCAAAAAAAGTTCATTCGTTGAACTGCATAACTGAATGCGTAACAATACATCACAATTGATGTGAACACTACAAAGTTATTTTTAGTCAAGATAAAACAGCTACAGAATGATGTAACTTGAGCTTGTAGACAGTAGGTAATTGCGTAAAAAGAGACTAAGCCATCAGTGAAAGAAAACAAGTTCAAAAGTTGCCATACGGGTAAGTTATTACATGAAACCTACTTATTAAATACGTACCTTTCTATAGATGGTGTTTTATCATCAACGATATGTTTTAGGCCACAAATGGACGACTCTGTGCAATACTCTTTAGCAATTGTTTTTAAACTCTGTTTGAAGATTTGGAATTTTGTTGGTGCTGGTCTTTCTTTTTCATAACGATTTTTGAATCCACGAAAATTGGAATTTCGCAACATTTTTGAAGATTTAAAATTTTTATTCATGTTAGTAGAAACTAATATGTAAAATGCTATACGAGCCGAAAGATATCCTACTTTTATAACAGTCCAAAAGTGCGTATTTATGTACATATCCGAATATCTACCTTAATGACAGTAGATAAAATCGGTAATCTATATTTTTTTGTATATTCGAACACATATATAACGATCGTGAATAGACGGTTGTGATTAATTGATTCTTCTCGTGATACTGTGAACATTATGAACAGACACGTCATTAGAAAGTAATTTTTTTTTATATCAAACAGAAATAATTAAACACATATTAATTAAATATTTATGATAGACTACCAGTACGTCACTTTAAAAATTTACTCCACGTTGTATAGTATAGTCAATATTAAAGGATAATGAGACGAAATTATACCTATAAGGTCATACTTCGCATCATATTAGCAACCTCAGCCTCAAATTCCCGGTCATTCCTCTTTTTTTTATTCTAAATATATTACATTCCAGGCCGTTCCCCTGTGGAACTGTTTTTTATTTCTATTTAGTGCGGTTAAATACTCGCTAGATTTTAGTTAAGCTAATTTTAATCAAGTCCTACTATTTCTTCTTTAAGTATTGTTTTCCAGTTTTCTCTCTTCATCTTCCTCCTTATTCCGTCCTGTTTGTGTACTATTATGTATGTGTATGTTTATGTATAAGTCTATTTATATATGTGTATATAATTGTTTATTTATTTATGTACATATTAATAATATACATCTAATACTGCGCCACCTATCCTTTGTCTTTTTTTCTCAATATTATATACCCTATACTCTACTCCGTAGTATTGCAGGCGTCTATAGGCTACAATGACCGGAATCAGACGGGCTTTTTGCTTGTTTACCACATTCGTGGTATAAAAGAACCCAAAGGTTGTCTAGAAGAGGTTGCTTAGCGATAAGGTCGCCTTTTGTATCACTTCGCATTAATAATTTACTGTATTTGTTATCTTTATATGTACATAGTACAATAAAGTGTAATGTACATATACACACAAATTATACATATAAATACAAAGAAAACACCAATGTACTAGTCATATAAGAAATTTTAGATTTTGGACGCAGATATACAATAGATGGAGATAAACAATGCAAGTACCTGCATTATTAAGTCATAACTCTGTTGCTTGTTTTCATGTTACAAAGCAGTTTTACCAATTAGTACTAAACCTGCTCCTGCAATAAACGCTATTGAAAATATATTATGTTGTATGTTTTATAGTATATTTCTCTTCACATTTTGGCATCAGATGAAAACGTAGAATTTTTCAAAACAAATTTAAAACGCAGCATAATTAATAATTATGAGAAAAACACTAGAATAAACCCTATCGAACGCACTAATAACAATTGTAAGAACAGTTTTTCCATACAGATTCTGAAATATTTTCCTATACCTACTCTATTTGGTTGAAAGCCCCGTTGTACCTATTTTATTTAACCAAGAAAAAAGAAAAAATAAAATAACCTTGAAATTAGTAATTTTAAATAGTTTAATTCTTGTTTTCAAAATAAATAACTAATGTGAATAATATTTAGGTTACCAATTACTTCATTTGATTTATGAGTGACCGTGAACGTGATACTTTCAAATAACATTAATAAAATTAATTCAATAGATACTCTAAAGTAAGAAAACTTGAATGAAATGAGGTGTGTAAATATATACTTACTATAAATAACTTGAATATAAATATTATAATGACGCTAATTCAAAATGAAGCCACCGTTGGTTTAATGCTGCGGTGCAAAGGCGATCACATGATCCGTCGACACCAACATAGTTAGCGGTTACAAAACAATATTGCCAAACTATCTGGGCATCTCCGACAACACCCACATTCACTTATAAGTTGTGTTCAGTTTATGAAGCTATAGGTACCACTGCAATTATATTACGTTATGGTATTGTACCAGATTGTGTGGATGTACTTTTAGTTCAAAGCTCGATTAAAGAAGAATAATGCTTATTTTGTTTTATAGCCCGGATATACATGCGTTCCAGATTGCCAGGAAATTCTCTTTAGTATTGTATGCAATATCTGCTTAAATACATAGAAGTATAGAAATATATAAATTATAAATACATACAATATAAATAAAAAAAGAAAAAGAAACAAATATATTGATAAAAAATAATTAATTGTTTCAGTTCTTTATTTAGCATTATTTCAATGAATTCGATCTTTATGATACTGTTTATTGTATAATGGAATAACTTAAATGTGTTCTTTTCAATTTTTAAATTTTTTTATTACCGGCTTAAAAAAATATATTTCATTTTTTTATACCCCAAAGGTAGCAAACAAGCATACAGCCCGTCTGATGGTAAATGGTCACTGTAGCCTATGAACGCCTGCAACACTAGGGATGTCACGTGCGCGTTGTTACATTACCTAAATTTTCTAAATAATCTGTTTTTTCATACGTTATTTCTTATTGTAATGAATTTAGCATCCAGACACACTTAAACAATTTAAAATATGTATAAGTTTATCTAAATACATACATACATACCTACATAAATATACCCACAGTAACCTCAACATTCGCAATATTATGTCGTAATACAATATTACTATATTTTTAATGCTGTTCTTTTAACATAATTATGAATAAGTTCCAAATGTAGAGTTATGCAAAATCCTTTCTCGCTTGCTCCTGACATAATACAATACAACATTCTAAAATCATCTTGTATATTACCAATACGTGCATAATCTTTATGTCTGCACTGAATAAGTTGTATTATTGCTCTTTAGTAAGTTCAATATTCTAGTCACGCAGCTATATCGAGCTACCAGTATTTGTCTCTTCCTTTCTCTGCCGCGAGTTCGTCTATCTGAATTTGCGTAAACTAATTTCCATTCTAAGACAATAAAATTGTTTAAACATTGACCTTTTTTCGCTTAATATTGAGTAAAGTGTTGTAACGTAAGTAAATTTCACAGTGATTCTAAGCGTAGTCACAGATAATCTTTTTATTACCTACTAATGCTTATCTGGTAATGTTCACAGTATACTCAATAATGTCCTATTAATGACTTGTCCAAAATAAAATACGCACTAATTTGTTTGTTATTTTTAAAGTTTGTCTTGTAATTAGTTATTAAACTTTGTTAAATAAATAATAACAGATATAAAATTTTTATGAAATGTAGTGCATTATTGATGTCAAGTTATAGCAAATGTAGTAAGTACTACAACTTTTAAAATACAACTACTAATGTCGTGAAATTGCTTATATCTACTGAAAGTGTTATTATTTAATACACTTAATAAATAATATTTTTAAATTATTATCCATTACAATCTACCGCTGATTGCTTGAAAATTGCTAAGGTATACAAGTACTATGCTGCACGTAACGTAGTTGTTATAAAAACCAATCTGTTTAAGTAATAATCAAAATGCAATATTTAATTAATCAAGTATTTTTTATGGAAATACCTCTATTTTTGTAGGGTCTCTTCGCCATTTACAGTATTTTTTTTATACCACTGAAGTGGCAAACAAGCATACGACCCATCTGATGGTAAGTGGTTACCGTAGCCTATGAACACCTGCAATACCAGAGGTATTATGCGCGCATTGTCGACCCTGAAGAAACCTCTTCACCCCCCTTTGAAGAACTCCATGCTGTAGTCTCTTTGGAAAACCTTAAAAAGTATGCGTTTAAGTGACCAACAACCAACATTCTCTGTCACTATAGTTTTTATTTTACCACAAACATTAAAATGGGAAGGGATTATTAGTAATATAGAGAACAGTGTTAGGAGAACAATACACCTTGTCAGATATTGTATAAACATTAACATAGGTGTACCTACCATTTCATATTCATCCATTAAAAACACTATAATTAGTTTCAATAGAATTTAATGAAAATTTAATGATGTTTGGTAAAATTATTTAAATGAGACTAATTAAATTAGTATCTAATAAATAAAAACGGTCGTCTGCACAGACTGTAGCAGTACATGTGGATTATTTTTTTTTTTATATTTTTTATGTTTTGCTTCTCATCAGAATACATTCTCAGTCGTTTACCAGAGCTTTGAAATACTAACATTCATATTGGGTCTGACTCAATATTGGCTAACTTTCCAAACTCTGATTAGTTTCTCGCCTGAGGGTGCCTTCGTTTAAATGTGAAACACATATCACAACATATGTTGCAACATATTAATTATTGAGCCTAATCTCTTTTAGTGAAAGTGGGTGCTTCTTACAAGGAGTGGTAGTATTTAAACTACTACGGCATTGAAATTCAAGGAAATACTAATCCATAACTACAGTTTTCCACATTTAGGATACAGATGTTGACAGACAAACCTGCCAAGAATATGAAAATACAAATTTAAAGACTTCGTTTCTCTCCTGTATGTAAGTAAAAGGCAGCTGGGTAATTACAATTTAATTCAGAATAATTTGACGGTCTCAATATATTTTTTTTTTTTCGTTTTTCAACCAATATTCTCATGGAAACAATTTTTATTTTAATTTATAGAAAATATTCTAATGATTTAGATTTTTATCCTGTGTAGATAGACAGGATATTTCGTACAAAAAAGACATTGAAATTAGAGGTTCTGAACTGAACAGTGGATCTAATTGTAGATAAATATGTAACTTATTTGAATAAAAATCTGTTCTATACTGAAAAACTCTGGGACTAACATAATAATATTATTTAAGTTAACAAATAGTAATTGAATAATTACAAAATATAACGTTAGTAATTCCTTATTATTTTTCTTTACAGATATTTTTCTATTAGAAAAATGAATAGTTTTTTGCCCTTGGAGTAGCCTCCAACTAGAACTACGTGGAAAGACTTAATTTATATCGATAATTAATCCAAACTATATACCCTTATTTTTAATATAAATTCTCTTATTAAACAAAACCAGCAAAATTTATTGTAGAATATGCGGTTACCGCAATACACGCAGTGGTGGTGGCATCGTCAACCGCTCTCTTTGACTCCGCGTCGCTATGCAAACACTAAGCAACCACACTCCATAACAAGAGCCTCTATTTGTAAGATAAATAAAGTAATTAATTTAAGTCAAATAAAGTTACCAAGTGATAAGAAATTGCCTGGAAATTTCATAAGTGTGTGTTGAAGTTACTCGATTTAATGTAATTTACGGATTGAACTATTGATTCGTGGTAAGACAATAATTTTTTTTAACATTATTTATGAAAATGTTATATTGTATTTAAATATAATTTGTATTTATGGGTGCAAAAGTACCTTCATATATGGTGCGGTATTCAGTACAGTGTGCCTATTTACTATGAATTTTATGTACCCCAAAAGAAAAATACCAGATTTATAAAGTTTACAAATGCTTACAAATTATAACATTCTGAAGCAATTTAATAAAAAAGTTTCTTAGTTTGCTTGTAGTTATTTGTGTATGCACGTATGTTGTACGATATGGTTGTTAATTCGAAATCGATTTTGATAAATGATTTTTGCAATCAATAGGGTTTACTTTGTGTCACAGATCAAAATTTTAAATTATGCACTTTATTTATATAACATTTTCATAATGACTTATTTATGTATTTAAGGAAAACATACTGCTTTAAATAAAATATATAAGACAAATACACAGTTAAATAATAAATCAGCCAAACACAAAAACCACTATTATTAAAAATGATTATATTAAAGCATAATAAATATAAAATTAATTAACCTTTTTGACAGATAAAATATAATATCTGTTAAGGCACATCTACTCGTATTTTAAAATTTTCCGATATAAACATAGAGGAAATGTTATATTTTAAAGCTCATATTTAATTCCTAAGTAGTTAATAAAAAATTCAATTACATATTAAAACGTCTTTTATCATAAATGTTCATTCATAACATATTTTTTGTTTTAATAATATTGTTATCAATATATACTTAACCGTATTACAAATGTATTAGGTAAGTAAAAGCGTTAAATTCAATCAAAAATGTAGCCTATAATAGGTTTCAAAATGCCATTAGTATTATTCTATAAAACCGATAGGGATTCTACAGAACAAATTCTACCGAAAGCATCTAATTATGAACATATTTCAATATCGTACGTAATATATATATATATCGATTTTTTTACTTTTCGCTGTGACTTGAACAACGATTATATATTTAATAGTGTTTTATATAATTTAATAATAATAATAAACAAGTTATAACAGTTATCTATAAATTTATGTTGTTACTTTTAAACATCGATATTTGATATTTATTTCATCATTAGTTGTGGAAAAATAACATCTATTAGGAACATGATTATGTCAATGGCTAAAATTATATAAGACTGTAGATATTATAGACCGAGATTGATTCATAATAACAAGTCTATTATAGTTTCGCAAACTTTCTAGTAAAAGTTTTAAATTCATTTGTTTGTTCCACCGTCAAAATTTTCTTAATGTTTCTCATTTTTGTAATACGTGCTAAATAATCCTAACTAATATTATAAATGCGAAGGTGAATTTGTTTGTTTGTTATGCTCTCTCGCCTAAACTGCTGAATCAATTATGATAAATTTCGGTATAGAAATAGATGTGATCCTGGAAATGATAAAACTTATAGGGAACGGAGTAAGGGAGGGGTAATTTTTGTATGAAACTTTTTATTACGTCATCGATTTGCTTCAAACTCGGCAAAATTATTGTTTGTAATTCTTTTTTCAAACTACTTCTTAAAGGGTCACTAACTATTTGTTTATCTCTACCTATACCAACAACCAGAATTCTTGAACAAAATCATTATTAACGCGATCGAAGCGCGAGTAAAAGCCAGTAAATGTATATACCTAATTTAAATTATATTGCTTTCCATGCATCTCTCTTAGTAAAATAAGAAATTAGAATAGGTACTATTATTACGCCAGCATACAGGCTTGGTGTAGAATATATTTTAAACTTCTTCTATAGTGCCTACTGACGTAATTTGCTAATCGTCCCTATAAAATGAAATGAAAAAGAGTTTTAATAGTTATTACTCAGTCATTAGATGCACCTTATTAACATATTCTTTACATAAACCGGCTGAACAGATTTGAATGAAAATTTATGTCCAGATTATATCTTTACATCACAGGTGAATGTATAGTATACCTACTATATATCCTGGTTTAGGAAGATAAAAAAAAAGCAAATTATGAGCAAGTAAGAACTCTTATATTAAAATAATATAAATAAATGTAGTACCTAACATACTCGAGTATGTATTGACCAACATTTTAGCGGTATTTGTTGGTTACGAAGTGTGTTTTGTTTTGGTGCCCATCTCGACCTTGTAGTCTAGGAGCCATTGTCCGAGAGCGCTCACGCACGCATCGGATTATAGCGGGCCGCACACTCTCAACAGTAACTGGTGACCTTCTAGTGTTATGTCACACTGACGACCACAAGGCAACTTCTCGACACGACGACGATGTCTTATTATCCAACTACGAAATGTTGAATTTGCGTTTAAAAACCAGCCAAGTGGATTTTAGAAATTTAGTTTTTTGACTAAATTAATTATGCACTGTAATATTTAAATAGAAACTGCTATCTACTATTTCATTCAGACATTTTTACATATAATATATAGAAGCACTTACTTTCAAAGTTTTAGGGGAAGAGGTGTAAACTTTTAAAACAAATTCAGCAATTCAGCAATTTCATTCAAGAATACATTTTTAATTATGTGCATTGTATGATATAGACAAAATGCAATGGAAAAAAACTTTTGTGAAATAAAAATAAAAATTGAATTTCAGGTTTTGGGCTATAATATATAAGAACATATGTTTAAAAAGTCAAACTAATTCTCTCACGACATAATAGTGTAAAAATTGTATCCCAAAGTGTCAAAGGTAAATGACGCAGACAAAATTGCAGACATCACTGAATTTACAACCATTACGTTTAAATTTAATAGATGAAAAAACAAATTGTCAACATTAAATAAAGATTCTAGACCTGATTCGATCGTATCAGGTCAAGTGGATTATTTGGGTTTTATCAACTATTGCAACACTACTTCTATGTTTAATGCAATATGCAGATATTCGGTTTACAAATCAATCATATGTTTTTAGCTTTTCCAATATGAATATAATCCATTTGTGAAGAATTCCAATAATATATAATGTTGTAGACAGTGCCATAAAAATATCTGAAACTCGTTTAATTTGTCTCGACAACAAATTAATAAAAAAAGGTCAAGATCATGGGCTAATTATAGGAATGTTTGACAAAGAAGCAAGCACCTACCTACATATATCTAATGTATAGTGTCATAGTCATAGTCCTCAATAGATCTGCTGTAAAGCAGTGATGTATGAATTTGTTTTATTGAATGGTAATAGCCCCGCCTGCGCTATTGGTATACTCTAACAGAGCACCAATGAAGGATGATAGATGTGAGAATGAAAATAGGTCAGTTGGCCCAATGTGATAAATTCATTAAGAATTAACCACGATGGTTTATTGGTTCCACAATCTCTTTTCCCAGTGAAGTATAGTTTTTTTTAATGAACATGTAACGGCAACTCCGCCTGCGCTATCGGTATACGTTGGGGGGCACCTGTGAGAGATGATAAGTATGAGGATGAAAGAAGAGCAGTTAGCCCATCGTGACGAATTCGATATGGGTCAACCACAATGGATTCCAGGGGGAATCGTGTGGAGGTCGACTTGATAGGGTGTATATATATATGTATATATATATATATATATATATACCTCGTTCTTTCAGATGATGTACCATCTCGTTTACCATTCCTAATATTGTTTATGAAAATATATATAGGTACGAGCTATCTTATACTCTCTGCGCGTAAAGTGAAAAAACTCTACAACTGCCATTTATACAGGGGTTGACTCATAATAATAACTTGTAAATACTTAACATATTACATAGCTATCTAGTTCCAAACTAAACAGAACTTGTACTACTACTAGATCTTAATATTTTCTTTTGAATGCATACGTATTATAAATTAGAAAACATTTAGACTAATACGAACAGACATACTCACATATTTTTAATATGCAGAGTTCGAACCTATTAGAATATAAGGCAGTGTGATAAACCGCTAAACTACCGAGGTCGTAAAATTAATGTAAATAAAACGAAAAACATCAAAATCTTGTACTCTCCTATTTCTCTGGCTATGCTATAAGAGACTTATGTAGATAAACGGTTAAAATAATAAAACTTTTACTTTTCCGAAGTTTGACTCTAAGAGAATATTATGTAATATTAAGTCCATCTTTTATAACAAACATTTGTTCTAATGTCGTCAACAAAGAATAGTACAATTTAAGTCTTTTTTTATGCAATTTAGAATTTTAGTTTAATATAACATTTATTATTGTTAAAATGCATAAAATTTTAGCTTTAATTATTACTATGTTTATTCTTAGATACACATATTCATCAATCACCATGCGACGAATACTGTTGATATTGATGGGATTATATCTGGTGAACTGCTTGCCACCTCCTCATCCCGCTGTGGTCGCAGTGCTGCAACAAGAGAGACAGCTGCCACCTCACATGAGGAGTCCGGCATTTCAAAATCCTCATTTACTAAAATTACTTTCCTTAACTAGTTTACTACACAAAGGAGAGAAAGTGGTAAGTGTAAATATTTATAATCTTAATTTATACTGTAACTTTATGGAATATTGTTGCCAAAATATCGTCAATGAGGCAAAATATCTTCCTTATCTTCATCGAGTATCTATTAGTTAAGTAAGGTAAGGAATAAGTGTTATAGCGCAGTCATAACTACTGAAGAAATGTTTCTTTTGTTGTACTAAGAATATCGGACAGCAGCTGACAGCTGACTACAGCATTTGTTAATTTAATTATTGTATCAGTATGCAGATAACGCCGTCCTGGGATAAAATCATTTATAACCTTATGGTCCCCCGACAATACATTAGTGTAAACTGCGCAACAAGTCGAGGTCATACCTTCATGGTAGTTTAAAAAATAGCCCTTAACATTAAGAAAAGCCATATTTATCTGATAACACCGTTAACATGTGAAAATATTTTATACTACAATTTTGACAACAAAATGTGTAGTAAATATAGGTCTTTGCTCAGCATAACGCCTGGCATTAAATATAAAAGTTTAAATACATGAATAAAAAATAAGCGAATTTATTTTAGATCACATTAATTTAAATAGGTAGTACAATCATATTTTAATTAATAATAACTCAATATCTGATTTTATAAAAATATCTTTGTTCCTCAGGTATACGACCGTGAAGCTGACGATGTATCGCGCAGGGAAATTTATAACATCCTTACACATGCAGGCCTCATCTCCAGGAACCAGTTCCATAGACCACCAGCTCTACCACAACACCGTCACCAGAAACACTTTAACTCTCAGGCTCAAAACCATAATCCCCATGAGCAACATATCTACGAACAATCGATATTATCCAGTCCTGAACTACTACAACATTTGTGATTTAATGTAAACGTTTCATTTGTAAATATTTAATGTGATATTTTTAAGTAGAAGTTCAATAACTGTTTAAAGTCTATGTTTTGGCGGAAATAACCAAAAAGACTTTATCATCAACTGAAATAAAAAATATTTTTTCTATGAATGAAGCAGATTTTATATAGTACATGTCTCAATGTTAACTAAACATAAACAAAGCTATAACCAATTACTTATTTTTTATAAATTAAATAATTTAATTTGGTTTAACTTTGTTTTACAAAACAAGTAATATTTACAAATTCTTACAAGTATATTTATGATTTTAAATATAGTATATTTTATTACTTTAAAAATTTCGTACGATGTTTGAATCTGTAAATGTTTGATTTTTTTAAAGTTTCTTATTCAACAATACTTAAAAAATGAACAGTTTTAATAATTCAACTGATTGATTGATTTGACTGGTCCATTTGGCATACGTATAGACTATGTCTTTAATTACATTGTATAGGGCTACAGCTAGTTATTTATAATTATTTCATGTTGGTATGTTTGTTTTATTATTAAGTTTATTTTTAAGTATTAAGCCCACGTGGGCCTTTAATATTATTTATCATAAGTATAAATTGTACATAATAGCGTTCCTAAATCACCATTGTAAAAAGTTGGTTATGCTATTTTATATTAAAAAAGAAGTATTTAGGCAAAATAATAATTAATAATTTACTAATTCAATTGTAAAATTAAAATGGTGTACTATGCTACACTAAATAACTTCGTTTTGATCCATTCTAGGTGCCTATTAAAACTATTATATGCCACTTGTGTTTTATTGCCTTATAACCTTGAATGTTAGATATTCGTCACGCTACATAATCATGACACTGTCTCTGTTACCAATTATTGCATTAAATATGCAATACGCTTGCACAATATGCAGGGTAATTTTTTTTTTATACGAACATAAAATAACTTTTATATCCATTTTACACTACCACCCTCAACATGTCGTATACTTGCAAAGCTCTAATAAAAGATTATTGTGCAAACTGCACTTTTGCTGGAATCCGTTTTATAGCCGATGATACAAAACATTGGACCGAAAGGTAAAATTTAACAACGTTATTTTAAAATATTAATTTTAACTGGCATAACTATTGTTTTAAAGAACGTGTTTTTATATAAATATAAATGTGTAAATATTTTCATATTGCATAAACTACCGTTTTAATATAATTCGATACTTTATTATTCGCAGTATCCATTATCCTATTCCACATTTTAGCATTCATAGCATAACACACGGAAGACACCCTATTACATAAAAAGTATTTTAACCTACACGGCCAACTATGGTATATTCTCAAAGATTTTTAAAACGTAAACACGTATATTCTCGGTAGATACTACGCATCATCATGGGCGACGGTAGTAGATGCAAGGGAATGCAGTTTTTTTATTTGTGATAATGGAATAATAGGCCCGTCTGCGCTATCGATATGATCTGAGGGAGGGCACCAGATAGGGTTATAGGTGAGGATGAAAGCAAGTCAGTTAGCTCATCGTGACTAATTATATACGAATTAATTACAATGATTTCAAGGGGAAACTGCATGGAGGTCGAACTAATAGAGTATATTTCTAGTAACAGAGCTGTTAGATTCCCATTACTAATAATGTAATACCCTCCAAGAGGATACAGTTACATCCCTCCCTGTCTCTTTGTTAGTATGTTATCTATAAGCGAGACTAATTTCTCTCCATATCATTCATGAACATCCATCAAATGGTTTATGCTACACATCGCGCCAGAGATTCGGAAGTAACATCCGAAAATCATAACCGTTACGCGCACAAAATGCCAAGGTTTATTTTAAACGGTTGACATAAGTAATAATCATTTTAATATTGATGACACAGCTGGTCTATTCTATCGTATAATTAAGTAAAATGCATGATTTTAAGCTAAATATTTATGTCTATAAACTACTTATATTAAAACTTTACTTTTACATGTTCGCCCCTATAGTTCGAAACCCGTGAACTAGTGATGAAATTCGAAACGGCAAACAAGCTAACGGCCCACCTGATATACTTACTTTCACATCATCCTTCCGGTTATATAAAATAAATAACAACCACATACATAACAATATACTCTGTTATGTCCATGGTGCTGCTCATGTCTATAGGTGACGGTTACCACTTTCCATCAGGTGGGCCGTCAGCTTGTTTGCCATTCTAAGTTGTATAAAAAAAAATGTAACTATAAATATTAATATATTAAATATTAATAATATATTAAAAAAATATATAAATTATTTGTTATTACAAACATGTTTTTTTTTTTAAAGAAATGGTCAAATTAAATTTCTCCATTTCTTATAATTTAATTTGAAGAATTCCTGTGATCCATTATAGACAGTACCGCCTGCGACCCGAATATGGGTAGCGAGTTGATATTAAGAACCGCTGTATAGTACGTCTATACCAAATTTCATAGTGATTGGTTAAGCCGTGAAGGCGCTATTAGATAACAAACAATCAAACAAACTCACTTTAATAGAAAAATTAAGTAAGGATTTAATTTTCCAGATGCATTTGGGTAGTGTTTGTGTTCCTAGGATGGTACGGCTCCGCCGTCCTAATTATTGCAGCTTGGAATGACTTCGTCCTTAATCCTATCAGCTTCGGTCTAGATACTGTATATACTGACTGGAACACAAAAATGCCAGCTGTGGCAATTTGCGAATTTTCTAATGATGAACGTATTTATGAAGTCGCTGATAAGTATGAAATTCTTTTATTGTCTTTATTGATCATATATTAGTTCACATTAATTACCTAACATTTTATTTCTATTACTAAAATATTATGTCATTATTCAATATTTCTGAATACAGTTATCATGATAATTGTCATTAAAACTTTAAGTTCAGATTAGTCTTCCGATAACGAAAAAAAAGCAAATAAATCCATATCAAATATCACGAATACGTTCAACACAACTATAACGTATTTAAATTCACAGTCTGGACTAAAAATCTGGTATATAGATATTTACCTATAATTTCGTTGCGTTAAATCTCGGTTGAGAATAAAGTATATGTATACAACACGAAAGTTTAAAATTAACTACAACTATAATAATCTACAAATGCCTCTATCTATATCATAAGGGATTAAATGAATATAATTACTATATTTTTTGTATATTTATTCATTGCATAATCGAAGTTATATATATAATTTTAAGATTAGTAAAATCAAAATAACTCAAGATTCGATTATAGTCTTTAAAAATAAAAATGCTTGTTGAAAAAATATTTGAATCATTAAATCTATTTAATAGTGTAATTTTTTAAATGATATAAACGATTATTTTTATTTCAGAATCTGGTCTACCGATCATCTTCTAGATTTAGAGGACGCCTTAAGAGACATTGCTTACTTCCGAGGATATTGCTTCAATCTTGTTGATTTTTGTTATAATACGAAGAAACCAGAACCTAAATGTCCGATGTCTAATTACAGTTATTACGCAAATTTGGTTCGCAGCGACTGTCACAGAATTATACAAAATTGCTCCTATAATAACGTACCATTTGATTGCTGTGAATATTTTCTGTTAATGCCGACTGACATAGGAACATGTTATGTGGTTAACTCGATTCAAACAGAGTATGTATTCCGGGTGTTTCTTTTTCACCTGTTATTTTCGGCAAGTAGTTTGCTTGCATAATATGTGCAGGTTCAAAATGTTTTGATAATATGATAATGAAATTATGTACAGAGTGCATGCAAGTTCATGTCAAGTCGAGATCTTCACGGCGCAAGTGGTGCCTGATGATAAAAGTATTCATGGACTACAAAGGAATCTTATATCAAGCGAGTCAATTATTTGATTTAGTAATCAAATCCTATACAGAAAAAACTACCGAGATTAAAATGTTGTGTCTATTTATATTCTCCTTAGACTGAAACAGTGTAACGCCGTACTGACACAACAAAGCACGCATTGCTGTTTCACAGTTGAAGTAGATAAGATGACCATTACACCAATCGCGTTACAGTGCTATTATTTTATAATTTGTCATAATGTACTATTACTAAGTATTGTATTTTTAAATACTTTAGTAATATGGTTCTTAACTAATGCATTATTTTACTTTTAGAAAATCAAATTCGTATCCAATGATTTGTAACAATACAGTAAAAAGGGGATCAATCAAGTTCGATGTATTGTTAACATCTATGGTATGTATAACAAATTCAGAAAAAGATAACCTTTATAATAATATTATTATTAGCCTATAAGCTACGAAATTGTTAGTACCGTATGGTATTCAATAATTTCAGTTGTATACACTGGGAGAAGATGAAATTCCCAGTGTTACCTCACTACGGGCTACTACATTAAAAATCCAACTTGGACGTAAATACAGGTCAGTTAATTATGAGTATTTATTTTACAAAAGTAACATTATTATTTCAAAATGCTCCTTTTTATAAAATACATAATTAAGATTTTATTCCACAAAAAAATTACTACTTCAATCATAACTACAACACTACAATTACCCACCTTGTCTGTTATTGCAATTACATTAAATTGCAAGGGGTTGTGTATATTTATGTCTACATGGTGTTTCTTACAATATATGAATGCATGAGTATACTTTATTTGTATTATACAATATAAAGAATAAGCAAGACAATAAATGCAACGGTACAGTTGTATAAGTGCAGTAAGACGGTCTTATTAATGAAAACAATCTTTTCAAGAAAACCTTAGAGTAATGGACTAATTGTTGTACAAGTAGGTATGTTAATATTGTATAACTAAGAAAGCTATCAGCGTAAAACATTAAGAAAAATAAGTATCTATTATCACATTTAAAAAATAAAATTATTAAATATCTACAATGTATACATATATGTTAAATATTAGTATATATTAGTAATATTTAGTAATAATATTAGTAATATTTCTTCATCGCAATTCCAGACGTCTCGTTGCTGTAAACAACATTCAGAATGATCCGCTAGTGGCGGATACGACAACTCAACAGCGGGCATGCCGGTTCTACTCTGAGAATGAAGGCGGAATGTACCCTCACTACTCGTACAGTGCATGTATAACGCAATGTCGAAAACAAGCACAGCTCAAGCTGTGTGGTTGCCACGACCACTTTATTATTGCCACATGTAAGGCTTCCATGATGTAAAAGACTATTGATCATTTAATCTGTGATCGTCAGATCGAAAAAGATAAAGAAGTTATGAAAACAAATCCAGAAAGTGCAAACGAATTTCATTGCGACAAACAAATAAGATTTGTCCTTATTTGTTTATAGAACATATTCTTTCTAATACGAACTGCAATTTGATAATGGATAATATTCTGTTATATTAAATTTGAAGTTATCTCGTTTTAAAAGACAACCAACAATGTTACATTAAATTATCTAAATTAATTTTTAATGTAAAATAAAATAAGTACATCTTAATGTTAAAGTTAAATGATGTGTCAAGGTTCAATGATGTGAATTCATTCACTTAACCTTGACACTTGGTCAAAGCCTAGAAGATGTAACGAAATCATAAGTGATAATAAGCATGGAAACGGTGTAATATAAATTGTCTTCACTAAAAGACGACTAAAGAATCAATGCACAATAAAAAAAATACAAGAAATGAAAAGTTTGAAATAAAATTATGTAGCCGTCTGGCCAGCATAGTAATGGGAGGCTTTATTCTTCTTTTATGGGAAAAAACTTTGCCTAGCAATTGGATTTTAGGCTTATACTAAACGTTGAAATAACATGCGTATCCTTAGAATATCTTACCATCAGATAAGCGGCATGCTCATTTGCCTTCTATATCATAAAAAATAATAAGAATATTATTGAAGTAGCGATATTATAACTGGATTTCTATTTATCAAGTTTTCAATGTAATAAAAAATTCATCTAAAAAAATTAGTAATTGTAAATTAACTTTATTGACAGCGGAGGCACACTACTGCAACATTTCAGGCATGGCTTGCCTCCACGCTCATGTCGATAGCCTTATCAATATCAAACCACCGTGGAGTAAAAGACCAGGACAGGTTTGCCAATGCCTACCTTCTTGTGATGAAACAGAAGTTACAGTTATTAAAGACAGATCTGTCTCGTAAGTTATTTTGTTCATCATCATCATTGAACTTTCTGTTGAAATCGATTAGACTGTTTTTTTTTTAATTCAATGCTAAATTTAAAGCTATATCTTTATTACCTACTTAAAATTACATGCTAAACTAGTATATTAGAACGGCGATTTCATCACACTACTTCAGCCATTATTTTTCTACTGTTATATATATACAGGTAAAGTAGTCTGTAGTTGAAATATATATCTCCCGTATAGACTGTCATAAGAGCCACTTGTTTCTCCTTTGTCCATTAACTTTCTGCAACATATTTGTGGTCGTCGCTCCAACAGATGTAGAGTCATTCTATACCTATACTCGATTATCATTCATATGGTATACCCTACTTTCCCATCCGTTGTTTATTGTTCGAATAGTGACTTTGGTAGGTATCTATGTTCTATTATTTTGTTAAGTATCTACACGATATAATTTACCTACCTGTAATTTCAAATAGAAATTCATGACTGGACCAAAATACATAAAAATAGGTCATGCTCTGTGAAAATATTAACTGAAAATGGTGTTCATATATTTCAGAGAACGTTTATTCAAGAAGAAAAAATCAGAAGTTGAGATTGTTCTAGCACATATACCCGCAGAGAGGTTCAAGCGTAATGTCGTAAGGAGTCGCTTAGACCTAGTTGGTGAGTTACAAATATTTAATAAATTATATTAACTTTATATAAACTATTACTAAATTAGATAATAATACTTTTTACAGTGTCTGTTGGCGGTACCACTGGATTATTTGTTGGAGCCAGTCTAATAAGCTTTATCGAGTTAATTTTCTATTTTACCGTTAGATTTATAAGTAACATTTTAATGGACAAACGTAATCAAAAAAGAAATGTTGTTTTGTCTATACAAGGAAGAAAAAAATACAAAAGGATTAATTTGGGAATAGAACAGAAACAAACTCAAGGACCATATGTCAACAGCGGAGTACTGAATTCTACACTTATCGTTTATGATAGCATATATGAAAAGATAAACAAAAGACACCATTAAATTTAAATAAATATTCGAAGGTTCTATACAATATATTCATGGAATTATTTTTGTTGCATCATACAAATGACGTGACACACAGAAGCACACCTTTCGCTTGATATTTTAGCTCACAAATATCACTATCGTGACATTAGAACTTAACAAATTTTATATTATCTCGTGATATTAATATAGATGCACAATTTACCTATTTTCTTTTAAGTATAATGTTATATAGTGTCTATCATGTATGTATGTTAAATATTGATCAATTAATTAAATTTAAAACTCATATAAAAGTAGTTGCTTAATAATACCTCTATTAGAATCAAACAAGTCGATACAACAAGTTTCTCGAACAATCTCATAGTTTCATAAAAGATATAAAGCTGTTGTGAGTCAGAGTTGTAACGACTGTGGTCTCATGTTATACCGCGTGTCCCTCTTCTGATTAGTCCGCTACGCTCTGGAATTGTCCTAGTTTCCAGTTACAGGAAACTAACAGTTACAACTGATGCAACAACAACGGTTTCTTTGTATTTAGATCCTTAGTAAATCATAATGAAAGTACACATAATGAAAAAAAAATTTTGTCTGTAAGTTTTATCCCAATGTGTTGATAATCCGATGTTAATACCAAATTTAATTGTATTTACTCCCTGCCAGTTTGAGTTTCAATATGTTCACAGATGATTAATAGTTCTTTCACCACAATGTATATTATTGCAGTACATAGTTAATATTTCTATCTCTGCTGGAATGATTACACATTAATTTATAAAAAAAAAAAGAATAAGAAATTAAAATAAATAGAATAACAATAAAAAATAATTAGCTGTTCAATAACAATTTATAATATATAGATAAATATCATTATAATTAAGGTACCTACTAAACAATAAGTAAGTACGTACTAAGTATGCCTAATATTATTTATGTTGTACTTTTATAATTACATATTTACTTAAATATTTACGTCTGTACTATGCTAAGGTGATCTATCTATGAAAAATAAGTCTATTAAAAATTTAATTCTTTCATCACCTAGCTTTACTACATAGAAATATATGGGATACACACTGGGTACACCTATAAGACAAAGCTTTACTCGATAATATCGCAAAACAATAAACTTTTATACATTTAAAAGAATGTTATATCCATTCATAGAATAAGTATCGAGTACTATTTGTCCTACTGGTTACGGATATCAAGTTCTTCTCAACATTAACCATCGGTTGCAATGGCCGTGCAACTGAAGCCGTCGATATCGCATACAGTGCCATTGGGGTATTTGTTGCATTCTCCGCAAAGCCTCCAACTGCCAAAATGTAGAAAATATTTTTTTTTTATTTAACAAATACTTGTATTTGTATTAACCTAAAAATATTAATTCACTGAATTTTATTATATTTGTTATACTACTTAGAATGGCAAATAAGCATACACGTACAGTTTGCTTATTCCATAAGGTGGAACGTACCGCCTTATGTAAAACGATGATCGTCACCTATAGACGTCATAAACAACACCATGAACATAACGAAATACGTTGCACTCATGTGTTGAATAATACAGGTATTTAATGAATACAAAATAAGAAATATTAAATATCTATTTAAAATCATTGTCGTATCCTAATTGTTAATTTTCAATACGTGCAAGTTTAAATTATTGTTATTAAATTATGAATGAACTTTTAGATAGAATTCTTTGAATGTTTGAATGTTTATTAATCTAAAAACACATATTCATTTATCGTTGGGAAAACTAGTTTCACGAGTACTAACACGAGATTTATGCTGACGAATCCGCTCTTTATCAGTCTATAAGTACAAAATATGTGATATATGTGTAATATAATTGTTAACATTTTTAGATAGGTCAGCACAAAAATACATTTATTATTTATTTGTAAAATTATGTGTTATTTTAATAATATCAATTGCATAATCTACTAATAACAATAAATTGCTATCTTATTATTTGTTATATAACTCAAAAAAAAAAACATTCTGTAGACACCAAGAATCTAGAATATTGTCGAGATTGTTTAATTTTTAGATAGATACCTATTAATATTAATTTTGCAAGAATTTTGCAGACCGTTAGAAATCGCATCATTTATGCATATATGTATATTAATTTATTTAAATTTACTCACATAATCTATATTTCCACTTCGGAAAGGGTAAGCATCAGCGATGATTAAACACATGAGCACAGCCAGTAACACACACACGTAGATTAATTTCATTTCCGCTAATTAACAATATTAGACACTAAAAATGATCCCAAAGAAACCGACGTCAGATTGGTTCAAAACCCTTCTAAGTTATGTCTGGACAACGGACAATACTAGCCATTTATAAGGGAACTCGGCACCCACACACTTTCTTCCCTGTTCTATAAGACGACATTAATTATAGAGGACTAGGGCAGTGGTCTTTATTTTTATAGCAGCAAGCAACAAAATTAAAAAGTGCAAATATTTGATGTATGTATTGATGAGCACAAAGCTGCTGATAAAGCATATTAATGATAATATTTAAACCACTATATTGTATTTAATTATCTTCAACTATTTACCATCTACTGTTGCACATGGGCCTATATCATACACATTATCTCCCATATCATATTTTAAATGTTGTATACTAGTTGTATCCTGCGGCTTCAACCGCGTGATTTAGTATATAAAGTACCCTATGTGCTAACTTAAGATAAATCCTACCCGTGTATTAAATTTCATTGAAATACTTTTGATAGCTTTTGCGTAAAAGAGTAACAAACGTCCGTCCTTTTATCCATCCATCAATACAAATTTCTTTCGACGATGTTGGTATTTAACATAGATTTTATATTAGTCACGAGTTCAATTCCCGTACAATGCAAACATTTGTAATCATGTCTGTTTCTATTAGTCTAAGCGTTTTCTATGTATAACATGTATGTATATGTATATATATTAATAAAAAAGTAAATGTTTCTATCTAGTACCTATAGTACAAACTCTGCTTAGTTTAAGACTAGATCATATGTGCAAATATTACGGTAACGGGCTAAGAATACATTGAGTCGCCACTGCTTTTCATCCCCATAGAATAAGAAAACCATAGGAAAACCTGACAATGCAGCAGTGGAAAAAAGTGAAACTAGAAATTAAAAATTTATACCTAACCGTGATTTGATATCGAAGTAGGCTAATATTCTCTTTTTATTGGGGATAAAGCTTACCCATCAACACGACGTTAAAGATTTGTAATGATTATGATGAAAGAAAAATATATATATTTCATTGTATTCAAAAATACTTATCTAATGGGCAATATTTTTTTATAAAAGGGGAAATGTTTTTTCAGTGGTAGTAATTAAATAAAATGATTAAATGTTCCCTCAGAATTTATTTTTAATTAAAAATAATCTCATTTAACCTCTTCATAAAGAGTTGAACAATGGTCTATTCAAGGAAAGATAAGTCTATCTTTTGTAGTCACGTTATACCTTCTGACAGCATGCAGAGTACAAAGAGGTTTATAGAAATTTATAGATACCTGAGATATCATGAATATAAAATTATATTCATAATTGAAATATTTTTTTAATATAAAAAAATATATTTCAATTATGAATAATATAAAATAAGGTAATTGTTTGTTTATGAAATTAAAATTCCTAACGGACTCTACTTAGCTAAAGTTACCGCAATTATAATAACCAAATTTTATTTGTACAGAAAAAAGTTTTATTTGTTGAAAAATTCAGAATATAAAAAATAATATTCTGATAGAGATTCTTTGTTCTTTTATTCCTAAAAAGAGAGGTATAATCTAGTCTAAAATAAAATAATAAACTAAAACTTTATTCAAATAAAACATTAATAAGTGGAATAAAGATTTATTCGAAGGCAAATTGTACCTAGTACGGGATAAATTACAGCTTTATATATAATTTACACGTTAATATAAATAATATCAACACGAACACGATAATCAACTCATTACATATCATCAATTTTTTTTTTAAATGAGAAGAAAATACGTCTTTACTTGAAAACAGTGGGAGAGAATGTATCAAAATCCATTACTGATTTAAAAATCTTGTTTGTTAAAAATCATATGTTTTCCATTTTAAAATTCAAAATAAAAAAAGAAATTTACCTTGAATAGATAATTAAAAAGGTGTAAATTCATAGTATCTTAATAGAAAAATATAATAAATACACTAATTTATATAGCAAGCATATACGATTTATCAAACGTTTAAATTGAAATAACGAAGACATAAGATGAAATAAATAAATTTATATAGAATTATACTAGATAATTGCCTATATCTTCGTTTGAATTTTAGAAAATTGTTTTATCACATAAGAAAAAAAAAACAATGTGTTTCATTGTTCTAAATTCTGTATTAAAAACAAAACATACACCAATTTTCTATTTTACACTTTCAAGAGTACAGCTGTGAAACTATATTCAATTTGGTGCAGCCGATTTTGTATGATATAGGAGAATGAAAAAAAAAATTTATTGGCTTCTGTAACTTTAATGTTAATTTGTTTTCAACATCTACTCTAATCTAATCTAATCGATATTGTCTAGTTGTGCATAGACTTTATTTGAGATCATTAATAACAAACGTGTAACAAATTCAATAATGATAATAATTTTCTTCTAGGTATGATAGCACCCGTGAAGAATTACGATTCCCAACTCGTGTGAATTTAAATATTCTTCCTTACAGCCCTAAAATAAATTTGGTTATTATAGGTGCCAACGTTGGATGATTTATATAGTCTGTTTTAACAGAATTTAATGAAAATATAAACAAACAAATAATTTTAACACATACGAGTACGTCAGTCTGATGATGTCCAATAGTAGTTCAAATAGAAAATCGATTGACTAATTGTTTCCAGTTGTTCCTAACTTCATTTAAAGTTTCAACGGTGATTTCAACAATACTTGGTTATTGTTTCATTAATTCTATTGAAACAGACCGTACCGCCTACATTATTGAAATTTATACCTTTATATAGGTTATAGACATTAAGTATATATACGTATCAAGAGATTTCCATTCATTACCATTTCCGTATTAACATCGTCCTGTTTTAATAAAAGTGTTTGTCTGACACCTAATATTAGTGACACACAAACGCGTGTAATCATTCCGTGAACTGCAGCGATGAGGATTGAGTCAGATTCTAATTGGATTAAATAATTATTATGGAAATTGTGACAATTATAAACTATTTCATACAACTGAAAATGGCCAACAAACTGATGGTCCATCTGATGGAAAGTGATTATCGTGGTCTACAGACCATTGTCATTACAAAATACACTGCAACGCCAATTTTATCCTATATATATATAACAAGGGTTCTCATTCCTAAAATTTGACAACATGGACAAGACGCGTGAAAACCCCGGATTTTAGAGCCCAAAACCCGGACATATCAACAATTTTTTTTTAAACATAATGTAATAAAAAACAGTTGAAAATGTCATAAATCGACCTTTTTATTTATTTTTAGACATTAAATTTAAATTTAGTCATCTTTTATCGATTGTTGGTTTTGTAGGTTCGTCAGTTGATCGTGGCGTGCGGGCACAATGCGTGTGTCGCGAGTGGCCCAAGACTTTAAATTTTTAAATCCTGATTAGCCCCGCCCGACCGCTCACCAGATACCCTCTAAACTAGTCATAACCAACCCTTCAAACTAAAACACAACTATGCAAGCACAGCGACTTAACGATAAAAACACGAAGAGAGTGAAATTTTCTCTTTGGTCTCTGTCACTAAATTATATTCATTGTTTGTATTTTCTAAGTACCATACATAATAGGTACATATAAATACAACCCATTTAGTAAGAAGCCTTATTTGCTAAACGTTTTTAATACAGACACCACACTTTATTTTTATATTTTTTATATAAGTACGTTGGGTACTTACATAAAAAATATAAAAGTAAAGTGAAGGAGTACAGAAGATAAGACAGTAATATTTTTCATGTATTTAAATGTAACTATATCAATAATTCACATACAAATGTTATACCGGATATATCGAATGTTATTCATCACTATCTTAATATTTAGTCGAAAACGAATAAAGCGATTTCTTGATTAAATAAAATTTCAAATTCAAAGAGATTAAATTGCTAAAACAAACACTTCATCCTAGTTCTATGCACAGATGTATAGTATAATGTTAATATCAATTAGATTGATGTTTATTTAAAATTGAGTTTGCTGTGTGCCATATTAAAAGTAAATTCCAATGAGAATAATAATTTTTTATTAGTCTTAGTACTAATTTATTTATAATTTCACTAGTGAAATAAAGAGTAAATAAGTTAATCAATACTTTGTAGTTACCATTATCAATATCCTCTTATGAGGGAAGAGATTGTTAGTAATGGGGAGATAAGTTCCCATTGCTATCAATATACCCTATCAGATTGACCTCCACGCGGTTCCCCCAAGAAACCATCGTGACTAATTTATCGTTAAATTTGTCACGCTGAGCTAACTGACCTGCTTTTTCAAACTCACCATTTATCCCTCACTGTTGCCCCGCTAGTTTATACCGATAACGTAAACAAAGTTACCATTCAATTATCGTGCATTAAAAAAAATATTCTCTTCACTGTACGATGCAAGCTATGGTTGACTAATAGAGAATGCCACAAAGAATTTATAAAATTGTACCTTGTAACGAAGGGAAGAGATTGTTAATAATGCGTATTACTAGTTTCATCGATAGCAATATACTTTTTCAAGTCGATCTCCAGGTAATCATCCTTGGAACTCTGGTGCTGCATTCTATATTCTGGTGCTAACTAACCTGTCTTTTCAGACCACACCAAATAATGAAACTGTAAATCCACCATTACTCTTGGTATCCGAATAGCAAAGTGTAATTGGCTCTCAATATATAGGAAAACGGTATTCCCTGGCAAAAAAAGACCTGCCATTTCATTCTCACCTATCATCCCTCACTGATACCCTGCCAGTATACCATCATCGCAGGCGAGGTTACCATTCCATTATCATGCATTAAAAAATACCTACATATGGCAGACATAACAATGGGGTCGATTCTGAAACGCAATTCTCTAAACCTATCTTTAAAATGAAAATTTCTATTTCAAATCGTATCGAAAGCTTTATTCTAAAGACCAATATGAATTAAATTTGTAAAACTATCAAATTAAAATATTACTATTAAAGATAGGTTTAGAGAATGGTGCCTCAGAATCGATCCAACTGCCTACCATATATAGGTACAACTTTTTAAATATGTACATACTTAGTATTAAATAAATTGTTAATGAAACAAATAGGAAACCATGTTACCGACTTCTTTAGGAATGGTCACACTAGCGACTGTTCCGTGTGTGCCGCTATCGATCGGGGTTGTAACAAAAGAGACGTCAATATAGCGCTACTCCGCTTAGTTCGTCGCATAAAATGTTTAGTGATGAAACTCAATTTGGTTATTTTCCTAATATTTTGATCGATATTTTTTATAAGTAGTCACTTTCCAAGATGTATGTCGTCCAAAAGTGTCCTTAATAACAAATACTGAATCACCCATGGTAAGTAACTGTTTTATGTTACCTAACCAATTTCTATGTCTTCTTATTTGTATATGTTATGAAGTAAATAATATTGATATCGTACTAGCCATAAAATTTATAAAATGTGGAGTAATTTAACTAGTTAACCAGATTTTCCAGTTAATAATATGAAATAAACATTTCGTAAATAATAAAAATTCATACTCGAAAATAGCTAATTATCTAAGTATTATTTGGTAATTTATATAGGTACTAATTTAATATTTGAGAAGTCACTAAAAACATCTATGTACTGTAAATAAAAAAAAAATGTGTTATCTAAGTATAAATTACCTTATATTTAATTTACACTTTTTTAACAATTTTTTTTAAACGTCCCAATTTATTTCATAATGGAACACTTTGTATAAATTCAGAATATATGGTATTTACGCACAGCATTATAACTGTTATTAGATAGAGCTTTGATGTTCCATATACTTAACACACTCCGTCAAACATAAATTCTGAATACAGCCCCATATAACCTATATTCTACCATCATACCATACATGTAGTATTATTTTTGTTTGCATTTGTTTACTTTTTATTTATATCGTAACATAGAAAAATCGGACTTTCTATATTTTACTAGAGATGTATATATATTATAAATATATAATGTTAATATTACAGATAATAGGTGTCTCACAATTACGGTCCGAACCATATATAAATTAATTCCCAAATTGTCATTTTTTTTATTAAAATAATTTAATTTAATCTCTTTGTATAAAACTTAATGAAAAAGTAATGTCTGTGTAATTTTAAGTATTGAGGTCGATTCTTGAGCGCTATTTCTCTAAACCTACATATTTCTGAAATTAAAACTTCAATCTGATCTTCCAGTAAAATCTTTACTATAAGGATCCATGTAAACTAATTGAACACAAAATTATTATAATTTTAATTAATGATGACCCATGAAACAATAATTTGGTGAAATTATCAAATTAAAAAATTTGGCTAACTTATCTGTGCAGAGAAATAGCTTCTCAGAATTAGTCCTATTATATTAAACTTAGAGGATAACTGTTCCGAATTATAATTAACCCTTATCCTTCCTGTTTTACAGAGTTGCGAAGTTTATATGTGAAAAAAATAAGCCAGTATGAGTGGTGCCCTGAGCGCACTCGGCAGTGGCGAAGCATGCGGCGCCCGATGGACTCTCGGAGCACTGCTACTGGCGCCTTTAGCTGCTGCCAATTCCAGTTATTGCGCTGTCCCCGCTGTGATACTGCTTGCTGCCTTCATTGTTGTTGCCAGTGAGCTCCCTTATAACCATACTTTTTTACTATATAATGGAAATTATAACTAAATGATATCTGCACATATGAGATATTTTTAGAATAATTTTATATGAGAGTTCTTAATAAGAGAAATAGAAGCCAAAACAATAATTTTTGTAATTTTTTGTCTGTTTGTCTATTTTTATTTATATTCTAGGATTTCGCAACAACTACTGTACCAAGTTAGATGCTGATTTCAATTGTTTTCCTGAAAGTCATGATACAATATTTAGAAGTGGTTACCTACTTCCAAAATCTATGCGTACGAAGTTGCGAGCAAATAACTCTCTTTCTTCAGTCACAATCTTTGACATAGTGGTCGTGATTTTCATGACGACTGTGGCTCTCCTTCGTAATAGAATATAAGCTAATATTAGATATTGTTCTACATATACCTTCTATTTCTTCTCTGGCCAGCGGATTTAGTATAGGATGTTCGAATTTTTCTTTATTTGCACTGATGTATTTTTTTCTCTTAGTCACGTAGAAAAAGTATGTCGCATTACATAATATTTAATTAGAAAAGAAAAAATATTGAATTATATTGATTAGGTACAATTTTTTTCAGACTTCACTTGTAAAGACTTAAAGAAAATTGCCGAAATCCTACCACCACCAAAAACGGCGAGAGGACGACGAGAAAGAAATATACGTTCTTTTGCCGATTTTATGGCGATGTGGATGTCTTTTCTGTCGCATTTAGTCGCAGTGGCTATCTGTGCCAGGATACTGAGTGCCACAGCAGATCACGTCACTGGTGGCCGAACCAGAAGATGGCTATTTGGATACGAAACCAGAGCTCTAGGGGAACCCTGGCCTGATGTTTTAGGTGTAACGGTTGTTATGGTGGTGTGCGCAATGTTCATGTGCGGTCTTGAGGTTAGTGCAATGTATGTAAAATTTGAATATATAACTAGATATATATATTTCTAGAGATATTTTTTCTGAGCTTTTCTCCGCCACGTCCTCGTCCGCATAACCAGGGTAAAAGTAGCCTATATTTTTAACCATGCTATATATTACATCTATACCAAACTTCATAGTGATTGGTCAAGTCGTAAAACCGCTAAAATATTACAAACAAACGCCTTTCACATTTATAATACTGGTACACCCTGGACAGTTCATATAAAAACGCCACAATCCATGATTGTGACAACTACAGAAACACATTTGACAATGTGGGTGTAGTTAGGAATAGCGCGGTCGCAAATAATTACTAGTAGAGCGTTTATAATGTGAATTGACCTGTAATGTTATCCTCTTCATACCTCGTAAATATTGTATCCTCTCACCTATCTAGCAATAGGCAGCTACTAATCTACACTACAACGTAGACTAGAGATATCCGTTAGAGTATAAAAGCTAACGCGTATTTGAGAGGGGGTGAGGTCAAATCACAGTCGGCGGCAGGGACTGTCAATACTGTACTTTAATACTTTTTTTACTTATATTGGATATTAGTCAGAATTTAATTAAAAATACAAGTATAGTCAGTCTATGGACGATAATCATCTTTTTTTAGTGGTCCGTCAACTTTGTCATTCTAAGATGCATAAAAATGTCTTCATCTCGAATACCTACTATGTGTATACCAAATTTCATGACAATTAGTCGAGCCATTATGGCACCAAGAGTAACAAACAAACACATTTTCACGTTTTTCAATACCAGTAAGGTCTAGTACATAAGATAAATCAGATTAAAATAGATTAAATTATATAGACTACTCAAATATTGCATTAATTTATTTCAGGAAAGTATGATGTTCACATTTATGCTGCTGATTCTCTTGTACACATTCAGTCAATTTTTCGCAATTGTCGGTCTTATGAATTTGGACATTACTAATATTAATATGCCTATACCCATTACAATTTATGAGGTAAGTGCATTTACCAATTTAATGAATGAAGATTTATAAATAAAAATTCAATTTTGGTTAAAAATAATAATTGTTTTAGTTATTTGCCGCTGGAGCACCGATTACATACGCTTTTAGTGTTATCTTACCATCTAAAGAGAATGGAAGCGTAAAGAAAAATTTATTACTCCGAGTTGGTTTACCTATGGTTGTCTTATCGGGCTTATGTTTCCTATATGCTAATATGCTGAAAGGGTGAGATAAAACATATTTATTTATATGTTTATATTAGTTAGAAAATGGTGAGATATCTAATAGATGTATTTTACAGCACCACTATTGACGCCACATTGCCTGTAACTACCCTTCTGGAAGCAAGGGCATCCGGATGGGTATGCCCAATATTAGCCGCTGTCACCGTAGCGGGGGTTTGCCTCGCACTGACCGAGCTTTGTCCTCTACTCTTTAGTGTGCTTGTTGCATTAGCATCACCAGAGTGGAAAGTGCTAACAAGGTCAATGACATACGAGAGTACCACTACTGGTAGTCCGGTGTTGGCTGTGTTTACTGCTGGCAAGTTCATATCATTTAATATATTAATTAGTGAACTAAAAGCGCATCAATACATATATATTATTATGCACCTATATATTTTTGATTCATTCATTCGGTCTATTTATTTTTTTATTCAAATACCATAAATACCTATCCAAATACAGCTATTGCTTAATTGTTGTAACTATTGCACCAAAGATAAACGTACGCTCATCAACACATACCGATTAACGAGAATTGAAGGCTCTTTATTTCCATTAACCGGTAATTAACATTTCGAACTAAACTTACAAAATCACCATAAGTCACGGTCATTCGAGTGACACGGTACCAAAAACATGTAAGGATATTTAATACTCACCTAAAGCACCATAACATAATCATGTCATATAATTTTATATTATAAAATCAGATCATAAGATATTTTTAAATTTGTTATGCAACTTAGAATGGTAAACAAGCTGACGGCCCATCTGATGGAAAGTAGTAACCGTCACCTAGTCACCTATAGACATGAGCAGTACCATGGACAATAACAGAGTATACTATTTCGTCCATGATACCCACCATGCATTGCTATTTCTGAGAACTAAGGTTTACTAAACTGTTTCTCCTCTATACCCTGTAAATTCACTCTTTTATCCCAACCTTCAAACCGAAACACAGTCACGCAAACACAACTGCTTCACGGTAAAAACACGGATGGGACAGAGATACCCAAGCAAATGACTTTTTTACAAAGTCTCTCTCTGGTAATATTTGTTTATGGTACTAATATATAGTTAGTTACTATCGAAAATTAATTATTTGTTTAATTATTTGATCAACTGGACCTTACAATACGCTCACCCAGAATGAATTGAATGTAGTAAATTTGTTCATTTCGAAACAATATCGTCGCTTTGAAGACTACTGACTGTTATTGAAAATAAGATTGTATTCCATAAAAATGACTTCAATTTATATTATGCAACATAGAATGGCAAACAAGCTGTTACCCCACTCGATGCAATATGTGACAAAACCAGTTATTTTCATCTATTAATAAGGGCTGAATCGATTTTTATAAAAATTTTATGAGACCAGTCTGTATGAGACTATTCAGATAAAAAAGAATTTTCCAAATCGCTTTATATGTAACTGATGAAGTTATGAGATATAAAACAACAAAATAAAATTACAACCGGATTGAGAACCTCCTTTTTAAAGTCAATTGAAAAAGATGAAACAAAACCCAAAAAACACCAAAAATTAAAAAATAAACTGATATTAATTTTTTAATTTAAAGGACAAAAATACGCATAAGGCTTTTTATTGTTGTCTAATTTTTGTTCTTTTCTAATTCCGTTTAAAAATAACTTAAGTACAGACACTAACTAAATAAACAAATAAAAACCTTAGGTACTTATAAAAAAACTGGCTACAGTTGACACTAATATTCTACAAGTACATAAATATTATTAGACATATTAATCAACTTATCACAAATTAATTTATTCTTTACACAATTACATGGTGAAAATAAACCTATTAATTTATGTAAAATATTATTATATATTATTGTTTTTGTTTCTTTAGGCTTGGCAGTCCATATACAGTCGAATATAAAATCAACTTTTTTCATGTCAGTTAAAAAAGAGCGGTAATGATCTTTGCCTGGAGTGGCACAATTGCTAAATCGGACGCATTGTTAATAACTATAATATATAAAATAATAATATGAAGTATTGTTCTAGGGAGTTTGGCAGCGATACTAGCATTTGCATGTCCATTGTCTCACATGATCACGTTGATGAATGCTAGCCATCTACTCGGTATCTCAGTACAGGCCTTCCACTTTATGATTATGCGTTGCGTGCCTACTGCAGAACAGAAGGAAGCTGGTGGTATGTTGTCAGATAATTCAATGATCGATATAATAAAATCTTCATTACTGTTACAATGATCCTAATAATAGATATATCTTACACTCCTGGGATTTAATATTTTTTAATTTAAAAAACATCTAATTTATTTAGATAGATATTTACTTGTTTTTATTCTAAATTACAGATGTAGAATATAAACGCTTAGGTATTCAAGGAACATCAAAGGCCACGAAATCCTCTGGAGGAAAAATCAAACGAGGTTTATGGTTCATACCTTCAGCCATACGTCACACTAAAACTTTGGAAAGTATAAAGTCCAAAGTGACTGCTACAAAAGGTATGTAACAAAAATTAATACCTATTATTTATCTAATTCAAAAATACATTTTGTAATAACAAATGTACTTTTATTTGGAATAACAAGCTAACAGTCCATTTGATGAAAAGTCACTGTCGCTATCATGCGGTGCCTATACTAAAAATAAAACCACATTACTAACAGCAAAAGGCCTCTAATATGTTATAATTCCTAAGGACTAAGACGTTATGCCTCTATACCCTGTAATTTGTACGTTCATATCCTACTCACAGCAAGTTGATGTTAAGATTTATAGGTAGGTGGGACAGAGGTATGAAATAGACGGATTTCATACAATTTCCCTCTGCGTTTGGAAAATTTAAAATACTTATAATAAATTTGCTAAATACGTGTGTAATATTCAAATAAATTTATTCTACTGACTTAGAGATGCAGGTTTCGATCCTGTGGGCTCGAATTTTGAGAGGTTACATATTTTCAATCTTAGTAAATATTATTGTAAATATTTCAAGGTACTATATAAAAATAGTAAAACTTATTAACATACTAAACAATTTTAAATATATCTATACTTCAGAAACAGAGGAGCGAGAATGTCTTCTTCTCGATGAATACGCGGGATGTGCAACAGAAGATGTAGATCAAATAACAGGTTGTAGCAGTGGAGCAAGAGATATAGCCTTATCTGAAGTGGCAGACGTCGCCTCTGATATTGAAGCTAGCGATCAGGAAATATCATCAGGAGACGATTCTACCGACATAGACGCTGTGGTTAAGGAATACAGAGATAGAGTCCAAGTACAGTATCTCATTAATGTCCTTTTTAACAACAGATTTCACGTCGCGTTGTGAACAAGCAAAATACAAAAAACAAAGATGATATAATATTTTCCCATAGCGTAATAACACTATTGTATCTCTCATACACACATATAAACACCTTAGCATACATAATACTGTTAGTTCAATATGTTAGTATCTGTGTTATGATGAGATTCTCTTCAATCCATCACAGCCTTCGTAATGCGTGAACTTGAAAGTGTTGCCTAATTAATGTTGTCAAAGTAGTTAATTTAGAAAAAAATAAATACCTATCAACGCACGCACAGTTTAATTGTGGCTATGAATAAGCTTCGGATTAGAAGGCCTGTTACTTGACGTTTTCAATATTTCTTTATTCATTTACCCTTATAATGTATATGGGTATATAGGTATGGGTAATTTTATTGACTTGATATTGGGACTATTTTTTTTGTCTTCTATAGGATGTTTCTTTTGGAAAACTAATCAATTCTATTTGTAGAACCATCTTTTAAATGATACTAAGGATTTCGATTTTGCATTGTATAAATTAATGTTTACAGTATTGATTACAAAATACATACCTACATACGTTTATAATCATACTTTCTCGTCCTGCCATATTACAGATATATATATACATATATACAAATTACTCTGAAAACAAAATTTCAAATAATCTTACTCATTAGGTGATAACTGCGACTCCTGAAGCTAGCACGCCATCACCGCCGAGCGTGCGTGGAGCGCAGTGGTCGGGAGCAGGCGCTGCGGCCCAACTTGTAGCCGATGCATTCATCGCCGTTGCCTTCTTCAATGAAACTATTAGAATCTACATGTTTGCTACTGGAATACCACGTGAGTAATTCGTCATTAAAAAAATATTGAAATAAACTTCCTATTTATTCATTTCATATACCGAGCCGTAGTTACGTAGTAACGAGCACTGTCTTTAAAGTTTTTCTTTACTACTCTTTTAATTTTACTCCATTCTTTATTTATCAGACATTTTGTAGATAATTGTGTACTCTACATACAGACAAAAATTCTAAAAATCATTGTTTTTGGTTGTTTTGCGTTTATAAAGCCTCCTACATGATTATCCTCTATGTTTTTCTTATATATCTTCCATGTACAGACAGCGCTCAGTTACGATTGTATTATATATATTGCTGATTTTATATTTTGTGTATTTTAGTATGGATCTGTGGGACCCTCATCTGCGCCTGTCAGCCGGCACACAACTTGAGTTCGAGAAAGACTCAAAGCGTGGAAGGGCCTTTCACGTTGTTGGTGGCTACACTATTTCTCACGCCATTATTATTAGATTCATGGCCGGCCATTACTCTATTTGCTGGTGCTGGTAAGAAAATATTGTAAGTACTGGTAAGTTGATGTACAAGTAATATGTTGCTTAATTAAATTTTGTAATGCAGGTGTAGTAATTTACGCTCGTTGCGAGAGATGGTGTGGCGACTTAGCGGTGCAACAAGCCCGCACCGCAATGGAGAGACGCAAACTACGTCCAGTTTCTGCAACGGTCCCTCTCACTGGAACACGACTTACACACATCGATACAGTTTATATCACCAGGTAATCCTACTACTACTATATCTACTACTTCATGTTTTTTACTTAAACACACACACACACACACTGCTTTACACATAAACTGCTGAGCAACTGGATGAAATTTAGCACATACGTGTACTTAAATGTTGGTCTACCCCTATACTGATCTTCGAATATCTACCAGTATATAAGCTGACATTTGACAGTTGAAATTCACGTAAACGAATGTGGGGTGCGGACAGATTTACTTGCAGATTTATTTTCATTTAATTTCATTTTCAACCGATTTCACAAACGGCTCTTCATTGGTGTGTAAATTTTACTGTCTGTTCCGCGATCTTCGCCAATTCCACATCGAAATTATAATTCTTTTTAAAATCAACTAACGGTGCCCCGAGCCTCAAATAAAATACAGCCCATGTTACTGATAATGCAGTTTTTTTATAAGTTAAAAAATTTATAAAATCATTTAAGAATTTTTGAAAAAATCTAATCTAAGGAAAGCTTTATAATATTAGTTTAGACAACATTTATTGATCTTTTAACAATTTCGTCACAATCGAATCGGTTTCATTTGTTAATTATCGTAATTAGATACAAAAATTAATACTTACTCGTATTATAAGTTATACAAAATGCGATTTTAACATTAAACTAGATACGTCTCTTCAATGTTTGATTGAACGCTCACAAAAGATGAAATATTGTTCATACCAATTCTCATTTCAGATGACAAGAGGATGACTCGGACACGAGTCTGGACAATCTATTAGACGCGGGTGACGAGCAGGACCCTGACGACGAATGACACGACGTTGACACAATCGTCATCATCGCATCTCATCAGTAACAATTTTATTAGGTAATTGCATTAATGAGAACTGCAATCATGATTCTGGTGTAAATTGATATTGTTATTTCAAAGTATATAATATTAACAAGTTATGTTTCGAAGAGAGAATGACCGTTATAAACCTATTTTGAAGAAATAAATAGTAAATGGACTTTTACGTACGAGGTACGACTGCGTAATGCACATTTACACGATTTCTGGCCACAGGAAATGTGAACTTTATTATTTTAATTATAGGATTTTAATCGTTGAAAGACATTAGTGCCATTGATTTTGTCGCAATAAGATTGTTAAAGTCGTGATATAATTATATCCCTAGAGATATAACTATACACAATAACATAGCTCACGAAAGCGGTTCATTCCTATACTACTAGAAATGGAAATTAAAATATTTTAGGAATGTAGTTTTATCACAATTTTAACTATCTAACTGCGAGATTTATATAAATTTTACTTTCTTTATAAACGTTAATAATTTCAAAGACAATTTATGAATGTCTACCTACTTAATATAATTCGACTAGAAAAACATTTTATTAGCAATTATATCTACTACTTTTAGACAGCCTGAAATTACGCGAAATATGATATTCTTAAAATACCTTAGAATTACGTGACGCTAATATTTTATCAAATACTACTCTCATGACATCTCTGTGTGATTCGATTTAGCGTTGTTATATTCAGTACAAATACAATCGTAATTTAGAACAAGTAGTAAAGTTTTGTCAAATAAGTAGGTACATATAATTACAAATTATAATGTACTTAAATGATAAATATTAGTAAGTATATTAAAATCGCAATAAAAAATTAAATAGAGAGTGGAAAAATGGAATATTCCAGAAAAGTGGCTTTCTTAGATTTATCCCTATTTATGAAACATTTTAACATCCGTCCATAATACTACCATTATCACGCGTCGTCGTAGGGCACTGCTTGGGACATTTCCATCTCCTAGATGAATTGTCGAAAATTTTATGAAAAAATAAATATTTTTAAATGTTGCTTAAGAAAGAAAATGCCTTAATCAATACTTAATTAAAATTTGAAAATTATTTTGTGTAAATACATTTTGATACCTAAATTAAACATAAGTTGAATGTTATATACTTAGTTATATAATGGTAAGGCCTAAAACAATAAAATGTAATTGTTCATAGAAAACCGCTTATTAAAATTTGTGTCATCTTCTACATATAATAAAAACGACTAAATACTTATATAACAGTTTTTTATTTAATTACAATTTCGAACTTCACTTTTCCAGTAGGTACATTTTGTATATTTTTTCTGCTTCTTTATCTTCAAAACACGGATTAAATTTCACTTCAATCACCTCTTTAAAACCTTCTTTTGGTGATGGATTAGTAAATTTGTTTCTAGAAAGAAGTATATGGCTTATATTATTTATTATTAAATATATATATATACTTATTATACATATAAAATACGTTGCATAAATTCATACCCCCACTTTACCGCCTGCATAACATAAAATTAACAGGCTATACGAGAGAGACACTTTTAAAATTATCTGTTTACCTCTGTCCTATTCGTATTTCCGTCGTAAAGCAGTTGTGTTTACATGGCTATGTTTCGATTTCAAGGGTGGGTTATAACAATGAAATTACAGAGTACAGAGTAGGCATGAATGGATAAAGGTATTACTGCAATATCTATATAGTGGGTTCTTTTGGACATTGATGGCAGATCCATTTCGATATCATCCGTACCGGTCACATATCTATATTAATTTCGATAAAGTTTTGACATTAAATATTGGATAATAAATATTTAACATATTCTTTATTGGACTAATATATAGATATTGTATAAAAACTAAAATATATAGATATTTCTATATATTACCCACCTCTAACACAAAGACACAACACCTTAGTCCTCAGAAATAACAACGCATAAAGAGTATCATGAGTATTTATGAGTGGCACAGAATACTCTATTATGTCCATGATACTGTTCATATCTTTAGGCTATGGTGACCACTTTCCATAAGTTAGTCCGTCAGCTTGTTTTCCGTTTTAAGGTGCATAATAAAATAGTACCATAATAGATTACTTTCAAAAATTTCTTTTTATAGCACTTTTGAAATAATAAATCGATCTACTTAATTAATTAACTGCCAATTAAATATATAAGAAATTTCTCTAGGTCTTGTTGAAAATCTTCAAATCTACGTGAAAGATGATATTTGATATATATGATAAAATAAAATGTCAACTATAATAAGCTACATGGCTTCCTCTAACAAGCAACAGTCCATACTTACAAACATAGTACTTACTTGTAGGTATGGAATACAATATCATTAACTGGTACATGCTTGAATTTCATAAGTTCTCTAAATTTATTGTTGTGTTTTGCATGAGATATTGTAGTCGCCATTTTCGCACAACGACATTCCACCTTCATCTGGTTAGCAAGCGATGTCCAACGTCCACGTGATTCTACATCTGGATTGGTACTGTCCACTATCACACTTTTTCCTTTCTATGTAATTTAAAAAAGGAAATGTGGTTTTATTTTGACAGAATAAAACTATACATTAAGAAACATTTTTACTTAGTTAAACTGATGAGATGCAACAGAATTATAATAAATTATTTTTAAATTTTTTTATTAATTAAAAATATCTATCATTGTATTGCTCATGAGCTGCAATAGGGTTATTTAAAAGAAAAAAGGACCACTTATAAGATCATTTTATTGACTGTCTGTCTGTCCACACTTGAAGTTAGGAAAAATCAAATGCCAACGCAATCAAAAGATACAGCCATTTACAGCATATATTCTGACATTTGTAAAAGAATCAAAACCTATAGGGTACTTCCAGATGACCTAGAATCATGAGATTTGACAATTAGCAATGTCGTACAACACGAGTGTAAAGGGAAAAATCCAAAAAACGTAAACTTGTAGTTACACCATAAAAAATTATTTGCAATTTTAATTAATTTTATTTACATTTATACGAAATCTTCGGTGCGTCAGTCTGACTCGCACTTGGCAGACTTTTTGAGATAAAAAGTATACTTAAAAAGTATATAAATAAACATAACCGAACATAGCTACAGATTGCTATATTTGCTATTGCAATATGTACCTGTAAAAATTTCGTAGCTTCAGCTGCGCACTTCTGCCATGAACCAAGTACATCTCGGCTCACAGCCACATACTGGTGATTAGATTTCTTCTCTATTTGTTTAGCCAAAAATGATTTACCACTACCAGGAAATCCCACTAGAACTAAAATCTGCAATATTAGAAAGAAATATGAAAACTTGTAAAATGATAAATACTTGTACAAATTATAAATGTGAAATATGTTACATTAATTGGCATCTTAATACTTACTTCTTGTTCTTTACTAATGAGTTTATCATTAAAGGGTTCTGCTGTAATTTTTTTAGGTATAAAATCAGGTTTCTCAAAAGGTACATTATTGATAGAATGACCAAGAAAATATTGTTCAGGTGTGTAAAATTTTAGTGATAAATTTTCTGCCATTAACTTATCGGCCATGGAATGATCTTTCTTCTTGCCTGGCGCCCAGCCGGCAACTCTGCCTGCAGCATCTCCACAATAAAAACTTTGATCCATATCAATTTCCAGACCATCATTCTTCTAAAAATAAAATTACTATTTATTTATACTTTTGCACACCATGTAATAATGAAAGTGTATTTTTAAATACTGTTATTAAAGTAATAATAACATAAACTATAAAACCAAGATCCTTTCAATGTGAGCAAAAATAATTTGAATATAACTACAACTCACATAAAAACTTGTAATAATACTTTTAGTTAATTTGAGCAATTATAGTAAAAATGATAAACATTGAATTAAATATTTGAGATTAAAATAATGAAAAAAATACTAACAAAATAGTACAATAAGTTTCGACACTATGGTATGATATAAAACTTATAAAGCATCACTTTTTATCTAAGCAATATCTTTACGAATATATTTCGATTAGTGTAATATATTCATATTAAAAAATTTAGAGGTAGAATTCAAAATAAATTTATGATTGTACTCGACTGAAACAATTAGAAAAATATGTCTTTTTTATATTTATACTCACAATCGATCTCAGATTAAATAAGAACCAATAAACAAAAGATAAAAAAAAATCTAATGCCTAAAATCTTGTTTTTTGAATAAACTATACCATTACCTGTTCATTTAAATATTTCCACATTCCTGTTGCTGGTTTTCTATAAAATCCTTTACCAGTTGCAAAATATGCTTGAACTGGAATATTTAAATTAAGTACTATACTCTCAAATTTCTTCTTGAAGTCTTCTATTTTAACTCTCCCTTTTCCTATTGGTGCCTGATTACTAAATATAACTATTCTAAACCCATCCAATAACTGTTCTTTTAGCTTTTGTGATACAACAGGAAGTGCAATTTCCCAGTCATTAATATCTACTGGATGTGCTTTACCAGACTTAGTTTTAATCAGAGTACCATCCATATCAAATGCAGCTATTTTTTTACTTGATTTTACACCCTTTGATGTGTATATGTATAATTCGCCTTTATCAATCTCTTCCCAAACATCCTCTAAATTTTCATCCACATTGGAGTTATTGCTAGCATCTAATTTGTTTTCCATTGCTTGTCTTTTACATTGTGTAGATTCATTGTCTTCATATTTTCTCTTATTATTATTTATTGATTGTTCACATAAATCAGGAGGTGGACTAAACTCAATTATATGAAAATAATTATTTAATAATATCTCAATTTTAGAACCATGGCCAACTTTATAAACCTCATTTCTTTTTAAAGCAAATCCATCTAAACCAGAAGAATTGACTCCCAACTGTTTGACTTCAACTAAGCAACTATCACAATCTGCTTTTAAAGTAACTGTAACAGATTTATTTTGAATAAATAACACTTATTATTTTGTCATGATGTTTGTTCTAGTAAAATGATAATGAAGGGTAACTACTAATTAAATTCATAGAATATGCATTGTTTCAATTGTAGAAATGGTCTATAAACTGTATTTTTTCATAAATATTTAAAACTTATGTTTTATAACTAATAACTTATGAAAGGGTATCCACTTACAAAAATAATCGGTCACTGGATACCCTTAGCAAATATGTGTGATATTTTTTTTAATTTAATACTTTTTTTTTATTTTATGATTTGTGAAACTCACGTTGCTGTCGGGAACAAGACTGATCTTTTATTTTAGTAATCTTACTACGGCCTACAACCGTCTCAACATGGTGAGACAATTTTATGGGCTCATGTAAATCCAGCATACATCTCAAAAAACATTTGCGACTCATTATTAATAATCTTATTTATAACAAATAGCTCATCTTATTCTAGACACGAAATAACGTAACACTGCAAAATTGCTTTGATCAATTCTTTAATTTCATCTATGAGTTGATGCACTAAATAATAATTTTCTGAACAAAATAATTACGTGATAAAACAATAATGACACACTGTCAACGTCAAAAATAATAAAATTTCGTAAACCGAATATGAATAGAATTTGCGGGTAAGATATCTATACTAAGAAATACCTATACGACTTCCTATATGGTACAAATTAAATTTTAATAAATATTTATAACTTTCAAGCCAATAATATCAAATGCCAAACATATGTCAATGTCAAAATGTATTTTAAAAAGTAATCACTACGTTATAAAAGTCGGCACCAGCCTTATATTAACGGAAACTGAAAAATAAAATTCATTCGCATGTTACCTTTTCAAAGTAACAACAGAATAAAAATTATATAAAAAAAAAAAAGGAAAAAGAAAATGATAAGTGTCCAAAACGTTCTACTACATCTATATATGCCTCTATCTTATATATATATATATATATATATATATTGACAGTTGCTATAAAAAACTTAGCTTTTCCATAAAATAAAATTTTTAAATTTTACAAAAAAAATATGAACAATAAAACAATTATCTATATTTAGTTACTTTACTACAATTTAAAACCTCCTTTTTTTGATAGAGGAATAATAAAAATTCTCTTTGTCTCGAATCAAATGATATCTAAAAAAAAAAACTCGTATTCAATTTTAAAGAATATATGTATTATATGCATATAAGAAAAATAGCCCTATTTGTAGATATAACATGATTACAATTACATTAATTAATATGTCAGGTATGTTTTTGGTTTGCGCAAATATGACCATGTCTCCAGCTACCGCAAGCAACTCAGGTAGCTCCTAATAAGGTACTGATACAATATGCACATCTTAACCTTGTAAGATTTTGTTTGACCCTTTGATCCCTGATTACCTCCGACAGTGGTTTTCCTTTAGAATTACTGATTCTCGTGTGTGTTGTCTAAAACTTCATACATTGGAATTACCTATCCACAACTTTCACTTCTACACCAAATCCTTTGTGTAGAACAGTGCAAGCTGCTAGACTCTGAAATGTCTTCCCAGATGATACCAGAATGATGCAGACTATCTATGCCTTCAAAACTCAAATAAATTGACATTTTATCTTTCCAGGTTCCTAAGGTTGATTGGAAGAAATCCCTTTAAGGAATTAGTCCGCCATTTGTTATAATATCTATATTATTAGTGAATGTACAAAAGCATATAAATAGATAAATATAAATAAAAATAATTTTTAGTTTAAAAGTACATTTTAAGGGAAAACCACATACTACAAATCATGATACATATATAACTTTACTGTACAAGTACTATTTATCTTCGTAACATGTCATTACTGTTATAATTCATTTTTAGTTCATATCGTTAAATAGTAGGAACTATGGTAGGTACTGTTGTTCCTACTATAATGTATAATAGATTTTAATTCATTTTACAACTTCATCAAAATTTGTAATATAGCTTATATATTAGGTCCGCTATTATATGAACGAATATATTAATTTATTAAATAATACAGGCACACATTTATTCAACTTAACTATATTAATTACAATTATTGATTAATTGCCAAATTGTCCATGATCTGCTTTAATGGAATATAGTTTAATAACATAGTTTAATACAAAAACATCATTCTAACAATGATATTCCGACTATCACAAGCCTGTATTTCAGTTTCTTTAGTCTGTGGGCAGTTGTGTCATCTGCCAGGGTTAGGAAAAGTTTTACGTCACGGTCGATTTTTCCTTGTACATTTTTACGATTAATATTAAAAGTATTTATTAATAATATAAATTTTATATAAACTATAAAATTAATAACAAAATATGAAAAAAAGTAATTAAGAACTATTAATCTCATTCAATATTGTATAAATATTTTTACAGCTCCATTAAAATTAAGGTAAATAATTGATTTAAAATAACACTGACGTGTATTTGTTGTGTTGGCAGGTATTTTTTAAAACAGTTTCTATATTTTTAGGCGCTGATTGCGATAATTATGCCTGTATCTAAACGGAAACGTAACGAAACAGAGGAGAAGGAAGAGTTGCTAGAAAATGGTGAAATAATTAATGAAGGTGTCCGAAGTAATATCAAAGGAGATGAACTGAACATTGCTGTTTTGTTATTTCTCTATACTCTTCAAGGTATTCCTTTAGGCTTGGCTGGAGCCATTCCTATGTTACTACAAAACAGAGGCATAACATACACCCAACAGGTAAGAATATGTTAAAAATTAAACCACCTAAATATTATCCATTCACACACAAAATCTGTCTTATTTAATTTTCAAGTTACTATTTTTATTCAAATTGGTTTAGCATAACCCAATAGTAGCATTTTTCTTTTGTTTACATTTCACATTGATATTCTAAATGTTAATACCAAACCCAAAAATCACTATAGTGGCAGATTAGGACTACTGCAGTTATGCTGAGTACTTTTTGGTATCCCCTGACACCACTGCTTCAACTTCCTTTTTTATTTTTTTTGTAATAAATATGTATATATTTTGCTTTTGTTTGATGATATATATTTTTTGTTTGTTGAATGAATGAATTATAATATTTAAAGGAATTAAATATATTATATTTCATTTTTAGAATTGATTTGAAAACATAGTAAATTTTAACCATTAAAACAAATTTTTAATCACATTATCTAAATGACATTTAAAATACTATATTTGTAATTTTCTAATTATTATAGAAAATTATATAGAAAATTTTGTGTTAATTTTTTTTCAGGCTGAATTTAGTTTTGTTAATTGGCCATTCAGTGTTAAATTATTATGGGCACCAGTTGTAGATGCTCTCTTTTGGCCTAAATTTGGTAGACGTAAAACATGGCTTGTACCTGTGCAATATTTAATTGGTATTGTGATGATCATCATGTCAAGTAGTGTTACCAATTGGCTGGGATCAGAACATGAAGCGCCATCAATGATGATTCTTACAGTATCATTTCTATTTCTTAATTTTTTGGCTGCAACTCAAGATATAGCTGTTGATGGCTGGGCCCTCACAATGTTAAAAAGGTAAGTTTTCTACCACATAAAATGTAGTCAGTTCTTATAGTAATTGTATCTATTATTTATTAAATCACAATAAATTATTCAAGTTAGAGCAATTTTATATATTTACATGCTGTTGCTACTGTGGTGAATCAGCAATAAACTTCCTTATTTTTCTTTTTACATTTAAAATATATTGATTTAAAATATTTAGATTAAAAATAAATTGAATAAATACATAATTACCGCTAACAAAATTTTTATGTAAAAAAGAATGTTACATATACAAATGTGATGAAACCAGTTCCATTCACTTTAGAGCTGCTAGAATAGTGTTCTAAAAAAGAAAAATTAATATAATATTAAAAATTATTATTTCAGGTGTAATGTTGGTCACGCATCTACTTGCAATACAGTTGGACAGACAGCTGGGTTTTTCCTTGGCTATGTATTGTTTTTAGCTCTTGAATCTCCATACTTTTGTAACAAATATCTACGCACAGACCCCCAAGATAATGGTTTTGTAACACTGTCTAGTTTTCTATTTTTTTGGGGCTGGATATTTATAGTAACAACAACATTTGTTGCATTGTTCAAACACGAAGCTAGTGATGTGAATACTAGAGAAAGTGAAGTAAAAGGAATGAGTGATATTGTCAATGCTTACAAGCAATTGTACACTATTGTGAAGTTGCCAGCTGTTCGTACATTGGCTTTGGTGTTATTTACAGCCAAGGTAAATAAATTATTGATTTTAATACTGTAAATACTGTAAACCTCTGTTTTTATTTTTTTTTATTTACATATACATATAATGCTAGCTGTACATACATAACTTATAAGACTCAGAGAAATTATAAAAAGTGTAAAAAAAAGTTTTTGCCTAGCAATCACATAGAGATATGTAGTCATCTAGTGTGAAACATAATGAAATAAAGCAGCAAATTTAAAATGTGCAGTAAGTCAATGGATGCAGGTAACTCAGATCTTTTGAAACATTTTTGTAGTTTTAGAACACTTGTATTTGACAGTGCATTGGCTTGAATCACAATGATACATCATGTTTACTTTAAGGCATTTATTTTTACAGTTGGGTTTTTGCGCTAGTGATGCAGTGTCTGGATTAAAGTTAGTAGAAGCAGGAGTACCGCGAGAAGATTTAGCTTTACTCGCCGTGCCTCTAGTACCAGTCCAGATTATAATGCCTGTGGTAAGTGGTTAATTTTGTTAATTTTTTTCTATATATTAATTTTTATAGCTAAAATACTAACTTCCAAGTATAAGGATAATAAGATATTATTAGAAACACTAAATACTGTACTGTTACATAATATTGGTTTTGATTCTCATTGCAATTGCAAATGGACAGTTTTTGTATATTAAATATATATAACTATCTAGAACCAACCAACCAATTTGTCAATGTAAGCATTTATTATATAATTGTTGTTTTATTTCATAGATTCTTGCTAAACACACTACGGGTCCTGCCCCATTATCCTTGTGGCTTCGCGCTTTTCCCATGCGGTTACTAGTGGGGCCCTTAGCTGCGGCTCTAGTTGCAATCACGCCGAGCTTACTTGGAAATTCTGGTCCATCATACTCTTACCTCTTCATTTTGATGACGTTATATGTGTTCCACCAAGTAAGTCACTTACATTATATATTATTTATCTATAATTAGCATATTTTTTTATTTATTTATTTAACACTTTATTGCACCAACATAACATGATTTGTTAAAACAATTTTCAATACGTATAGTGTAGTACAAAAGGCGGTCTTATTGCTAAGCAATCTCTTCCAGACAACCTTTGGGTAGAAAGGTATTTAATCACTAATTTTAAACTGTAGATAATCTCGGTGATATGGTTAGTAATATTCTAATAATAATGAATATTAACATCATCTTTACAAGTTTACATAAGTTTTTACTTTTTTTTTTAATTAAATATTGCGTTTGTTACCTAATAATTAAAAAATTTGACAGGACCTTATATTACTTTCTTAATATTACTTTCTTGTAAAGAACTAATCTCTTCAAGAGTCCGCATTTCTAACATTTTTTTGCTTATAAATTATTTTATTGATCTCGTCTCTTTATTTTAGACATGCCTATACTGTATGTTTGTGGCCGTGATGGCATTTTTTGCGAAAGTGTCAGATCCAGCGGTTGGCGGTACCTACATGACATTACTAAATACAGTATCCAACCTTGGAACCAACTGGCCCAACACACTTGCACTCTGGGCCATTGATCATTTGACTTTTAAATCCTGTTCATTATCAGAACTTAATGATAATACTTGTTCAACGCAATTAGAATCAGAGGTAAGTGTAAGCTATACACAAATATCTACTTTAGTTATTTATTTGTTGCGTTTGAAATCTTATTACAACAAATGTTTTATTAAAATTTTCCTATGGCTTACGTGATCTACTAATACTATGTAGATATTTTTATCATTATGCAAATTTCCTTTAAAAAAATAGTTTATCTTTACAATTACGCTATTCCCTTATCAATGACCAATTTAATATTTAATGTCAAATCTATACAGAATGCAGGCATATTGTAATTATACATATATAGTTGTATTTTTTCATGTAACTGTATTTGTCTGTAAAATTTGTGGAGAAAATAAATAAAATAAAAAAAAAATATTTAGCAATTAAATATAACCACACGGTGGTTTGTCATCCGCCGTGTGGTCCCGGCATAGAATAAGCCACCCGTTCCTTTCCTGTGGATATTGTAAGATGCGACAAATGGATCTTAATGGTTGAGGGATGGGCTGCATTTGCCCCCATAGTGCCCCTATTTAAATTATCACTAAAGCCAAACTATGCTTTTCAACCCGCCTGTTAATCCTGACAATTATTGTCAAAACTTTCCTTATGGGGGTGGCCTATGTTCAGCAGTGGACAGTTAATGGCTGATATGTATGATGATGAATCATATAAATCAAATCATATGTGAGTTAAAAGTTACGAGTCTCCGAAACCAGTACGAATGAATGAAATAAGACTGAGAGTGGGTTAAATAAAAGATTTATTTATGGACTTTGTTCTCCGTGCCTATTCCTTGAGTATTAGTTATTTCTTATTTAATTTTATTTTGCCTTTTTTCCAGCTGTGTAAATCAAAAGGCGGCACATGCGATATTAGGATCGATGGTTTCTACATAGAGACTGTGATCTGCTTAATTTTAGGCTTTGTGTGGTTGCAATGGGGGCGACCAACCATCAACCGCCTCCAACGATTACCGGCTACCGCCTGGCAGATCAGTAGGTTCAACAGATAAGACTGAAAGTAATACATTCCTCTAAAATAGGAAAATGCTACCTGTAAAGTAAAGCCATGAAGGAGTCTTGCAATCATCTCAATTTTGGCAAGTTACTTCAATCTTTAGGTATATACATTTTTTATATTGATGTAAATATGTATAAATAATGCAGCCTACATTTCAAATAATTATGAGTTAAAAAAATATGAAGTGAACCATTCCTCTACTATTGCCAGTGAAACATTAATTGTATGTAGGAATAATCGAGTTGTCTTATTTGATATAGTCATGTAGGAGTGCATATGCTTAACTATAAAAAAAGAGGGAACTATGGTATATTAAAAAAAGATATCAAAATTGTAGAAACTCCATTTGAAAGTTCGGCGTAAGTTACACTTACGCACTTTGTAATCGAACTAAGAAGAATATAAATTGTAATATTTTATTATTTTTGCGTTGTTGTTTTACATTAACGAAACTAAGTAGCAAATTAGCAGGAGGACTGGTCTTTACAATGTTTACATCTATAAAATATTTAAAAAAATATAAGTGGATTTTAATTATGATTATACTAGTTTATCCAGAAAACATTTGTCCTCTGCCACCATCTAACATTAATTTATTTTTATCCCGATATTCTATCTTTCAAATTGGGACAAACACTACACAAAATTTCATTAAAATCGTTTGACTGCATTCGGATATTAGCGTGAACAAACATCATGACATTGAACTTTTATGTATTAAACTTTCTTAGTTTCCTCCTTTTTTATAGTTTAGTTCACTGCGTGTGGTGTTGTGATATATAGTTTGTTGACTAATCCTTAGTATATTGGTTAGAATGTTGTGTTGTGTATGATGACTGACTTATAATATTTATGTATGTTAATTATAGTACAAACTGTGTTTGTTTCATACTATATAATTTATTTGTAAATACCTGTTTCTTAAAATACAGGGAATAAAACAACAGTATTAGTTATAATTTCTTTATGTACACATCAACATTTTAAAATAAACCTATGTATAGATGGATATACAACAATGCCTTAGAATCTTTCTATACACATTTCAATCGTGAAATTTGTACACGAATCTAATTACATATTTCTATAGACAAATTCGTGTATAAATTTACCAATATAAATAGTCTGTCCAATGCCTGTGCTAATAATATATTTGGTATATCTAGATTTATATTTGACACAATAAACAAACTCAAATTAAGAATTATAAGCAGAGCATGGATTTGATTTGGAAGAACGTTAATTTTAAGTTTTTGTGCTCAACATTTCCGCAATAAAGCCCTTTTAATACAATAGTAAATAATATATTTTAATATAAGATATTTAACTAAAACAATTTATAAATATGAATACATTTAGAATTTTAATGATCTTGAATATCATTCCTTGGTTTTAATTACATATTTCTATTGCGTTTCTTAGTGACCCTTAAACCCATAAATTGCGCGATCTATACAGTATGAGTTAGAACATGCGGCCAAATATTTGTTCTTCACTACGCCTTCAATTATTGTTAATATAAACATACAAAAAATATTATATGAGCATTATTTCGTTTCTTGACTGCAAACGTAAACAACTTTCTTTGCAATAAACCATTTTATTAACGTTTCTCTCTCATATAAATATATCATGAATATGTATATGTACTTGTGTTTTTAATAAACATTATTTTACAATTTTATTATAATAATTGACCATAACTTTTTAGAAAATTACATTGTACTTTTGTAAAGATCAGTAAACGAAGTTTGGTCGTATATTATTACTGTTTTATGATTCATTAGTTGCACAAATTATTTTAAAACATTTTTTAATATGGTTGCATTGGATATATCCGTTTAGTTTCCATATTGTTAATAGATTAAAGTTACGCAGTATGTGCTAGATCTTTATTTTAATTAATAAAGCAAAATACTTGTTTTTTTTGACATGGCAATGTTGTTTACTGTGACAATTGAGTACCTACATACTTTAAATAAATAGTCTTTGTAGTTCATACTTTGCGTATAATAATTTGTCATACATTGCTAAGATTTTAAAGGTTTTACTTGTTTAGTTAGTATTCAATCTACATACATACTTACTATTATATAAGACTAGGTACACAATATATGAAATGTTTACATAACTCTATATAGCAAGGCAGCTCCATCTACATAATGGAGTGGAAATTGTTTCTATTAGTAAGTTATTATTAATAGACCTGATTAGTTGGTTCTTCCATGTAAAATGATTATTATCCATTTATTTTATTCAACACTATAATGCTCGTAAGAAATAAATTTGTCGTGATTTTATATCCATACTTAAATCGATGTGTTATGCATATTACATAATTGCTGTTTATAAGGTAGGTACTCAAATATAATTAAAATAAAATTACTGTAAGACTACTACAAATACTGATGCGACATCAAGATTTTAATTTTTTTTTATAAAAGAAGATTCTCAATTCGTCTGTTTTGTTCCGTTAGGCGATATCTTCACCAATTCTGAACTGATTTTGATAATTCAACAGTCTGAAGGGATTACGATCATATTTGGTTCTATAATGATTTACTCATGATGAAAATAGCTGCTTTTAGTGGAACAAAATCTTAAATAGGGCAACTATTAGTTACTGGCTACTAGCTTTTCCACCACCTTCGACTTTGTCCACGTGATCGGGATATGTGCAGTAACTGTGATAATAAATAATCTATGTCTTTCTCCATTTCATATACTACGTATATACAAAATTTCAAAGTGATTGGTTAAGGCATTAAAACATAACAAATAAACTCACTTTCACATTTATAATATTAGAAAAGATTTCCGAAGTCTTAGGAAAAATAAAATTTTATACTGAATAAACTACACGATATACTAAATAAAATAAACGAACTATACGGTCTATAAAACTAGACGATTGCTCAGACGAAATTAATTATTAGTAGTTCAGGTTTTTGTGTAAAGGCTACTGAATGTATCCTGCTTTTTCTTTGGCGTAGATTAGAGTATTAATATTGATTTTAAATTAAAGATATTAGGACTATCGTATATAGCCTGAGAGAGGATCATTTTATACATAAGCTTCAATTCAAATTAATATAATAATAAATTTACTAAATTGCATACGAATATTTATCTATTGGCACTCTAAAACGTTCCTGCTCTTCATTGTAAAAAATACGAAGTATTTTTTGTACGTTATAATAGATACGAAGTAAAATTAGTTTCTACTTGCTACTACAATTGCGCCTGCCTACCGATAAATAATTTTGTGTCTAGTGTTCATAAAACTAATATAGAAAATGTTTATTTCCATCTTTGTGGCACAATAGAATAAAAAGGATGAAGTAAATTCGTTCCAGTCACCTTAATATAATTAAGTGGTATAATAATCTAAAATAATTGTTCATTAAGAAGACTTCCTTGTAAAGAATAACAATGCCGCGATCTTCTGCCTGTTGTAGTCTTTTTTTTTTTCATAATTAACTATCTAAACTTTAATTGTACTTTTTAACTCTAACCAGGCAGACTTCTTAACAAGAGCCAAGCATTATCGTGCGACTTTGGTTAATTCAAAATTTGAGCTTAATGGTCCATACGCATTTATCAAAATTTTAATTCAGAAACCGAAGTTATTGGTACTTGGTTATTAGATATTCTATGGTTATTTTTTTCAAAATCCAAAAAATTAAAGTTATTCCTTTCCACCTTTATATCAGATATTTTACATCTCAATTCTTTTATTTGTAAAGATTATAAATAGGATACTTAATTAAAGTTAGGCAGTTCACATGATACTACATATTCTGAATACATATTTCTGTTACTACATATTTAGAATCATACACAAATTATGTCATACAAATTTCATGGTTTTTAGAATGTCTTCTCTGTCCTTGTCGCATAGATCACATATGTGTGTGTCTGACATAACCCGCCTGTTGCTGTAATTTCATATTTTGTAATCTTAAATTTATCTAAATAGCACTCCCAAAATTATTTATATAATTATTTGATATGATGATGATGAAAGATACAAAATTTAACAATCTTTAACTGAAAGATTGGTATATTTTAAAAGTTTTTGATCAAATTGATGTTTAGGGTTTTTATTTTATATTTATTTATGTGACGTATGAAGCTTATGACTTCTCCCCCTTTTTCCTTTATCACACGATATCGCACTGTTTACACACACACACAACCCTCCTTTCTCTAAAGTATAACATAATTTATGTACGGGCCCATATGAAGTTGACCCACAAAATCAAATAAATCGAGCAGTCAAAAGATTATGTTACATGAAAGCAACCAACAAACTGTATACGTGAAAACCTCGTTAGAATCACGGTTCCCGCCGTGCACTGTCGTCGTCGCATATGATCGGTTTGCGGTCGTCGCTCTTGCTGCCGCGGCCGAGTCGTGCGACGCGGCGGGCGAGCGCGCTCGTCTTCTCCACCGCCCCCCAACCGCTATGGCCGCCGCCGCTGGCTGATCGCGACAGTAGCCCTACACCCTCGCCTAATTTACTGTGATGTATCCCGTACAGGAAGTACAGAAGTAAACCTGCAAAATTATATCATAGACATATAGTTAGTATTAATGTTACTCTATTTGTCAGCACCAAAATCATTGAACATTAAGATTTTCTAATCCTTCATACTCCGTAGCATACACCATACATATGCCATTGATAATTAATTTTGATCTTATACAATGGTTATATAATTTTGACGCTAAACTTGTTACATATTTAAACTCGCAATAGTGCTATCAAAATTTAGGAATCTTCAGATATTACATGCCTACAGTAATAAAAATAATTAGATAATAAAATAAATAATATACCTAAATAACTGTTACGGGTTATCAAAGCTTGTATTATAGATACTAGGCGACTGATAAGTTAAGTGATAAATACTTTTTTTGTAAATACATACACAGTACTTACATAATAGATATTTCATTGAATGCAGAAAATAAACGATTGACGATTTTTATTTATAAGTAGCGTTTTACTCGTTACTGCGCACACGCGTGAATTTCAGAAGTAGGAAAACTAATGAAATAGACTACTTCTAGATGGTACCAAGATAAACCTACATACACCAGTTTTCAAGTTAGACCTTTAGGATCTTAACAATGAAAAAATAGTTTTTGTGTGATTCCTGATCAAACATACAGGCAGAGAAAATTTCTAAAATTATTGTTTTGGTATCTATTGGTCTTATTAAAATCCCCATCTACAGACATCGTTTAGTTAAAATTTTATTATATTAATAAGTTTTCGTGCAAATGATAGAAATAAAAATATTATGTAATAATAATAACTAACCGAATGTTATCCATATAGCGAATCTAGCCCATGTCAGTGCTTTGAGATTAATCATGAGCATTAGATTCATGACTACGCTGATGGCCGGTATCAAGGGCACACATGGCACTCGGAATGGCAAACGAGTCGGGCTTTGCTGGTGAGCTTTGATTATCAGTAAGCCTGAAACAGTGAAATATTTTTAAATCTAGGACTGTAAAATAACGTTATTATTACTATACTTAAATAATGTAACATCCCGAATACCTAATATATAGTTGAATCTAGGCTATGGTACTTGAAACTAACGGTGAGTTATTTGGGGGAGAAGGGATTGTTAGTAATGACGATTAGTGCTTCCCTTGCTAGCAATATACCCTGAGTGACCTCCTCGTGGTTCCCCCTGGAAACTATCGTGATTGATTTATTGTTAAATTTGTCACGGTGGGCTAACAGACCTGTTTCATCCTCACCTATCACTCCACATTGGTACCCCGTTAGTGTATTACCCCGCGGGCGGGGGTACCATTCCATTATCATCCATTAGACGGTAAGTTATTATAAACTTTACTTCCTCGACGAAAGTAGGATGATTTGACGAATAACGGCTTGACTTGCAGACGGTGGACTTTTTCTCTTGAAGGACCAAATTTCCCATTCGTCATAAATCTTATTATATTAAACTAATGGGAGAGCAAAATGTATACTATTATTATTTAATTTATTGTAATAATTTAATATAATATAGAATAGAGAATTTCCGCTACAGCTGTACACTGAATATGCTGTAATATTCTAAAACCATGATAATATGTTGGAGGACAGTTTTCCTCTATAAATGAAATCTTGCAAGACGCCCGACAAAACTTATTCATTACAACTAAAAAAGTAGATAGCTTAACAAGCCAATTATATTCGCCAAACTTACAAGAAAGCATAATTGATGTGAGAACGAAGTCTGGAAGTAATGCCCAGAGACCAGCCGGTTCCGACAAGAAGTGCTCGTGAGCGCAGAGGGCAGCAGCGGCCACGGTGAATGTGTAGACACAACCGGTTACTGCGGCTCCTGGGGCCCTGCCTCCTACCAGGGGCTCCAGCCACGCATACTGTGGCCGCAGTCGACCAACCGTAAGGGCTTCGAACATCTGAAATGACATTATGTCGTAAGTAGGGTAAACTTATTACGGGTTTATAATAAAATTATATATGTATATTTTGTATATTTTAGGTAGCAAGAAAAACAAATATCCATAAAAAAAAAAAACACGATAATGATTTATATCAATTGCAAGACAAATCATTAACAACCTGTTCAGTATTAGTGACGATATCGCGTAACTAAAGAAAAAGTTCCTCCGACTTGAAAACCTCTTTTTGGAGTCACTTAAACGAACTCTTAGTTACAATAAAAAATAGGCTATCCAACTACATACCTACTTCAGATTTTATATACAAGTGTATTTTATTGTATGCTCTATATATGTATTAACAGATATAATAAAGAACTTTGTGGGCGCTATGTTAAGTAAGTAGAATAAATAGTTTGTTATTACCTCAGATGAAGAAGAGCCACCATCAGTCGCCGGAGTGCCTGTAGCTGAGCTATCTTCTCGATCCCAAGGAGAATCCAATTGAGGTGCACCAAAGCTTTTATCATCCAAAGAGGGCGTAGGTCGATATCGAAGTATGATTACTGCTGCACTAACAATTGTATAGGCTAAAAGAGTTCCGATCGACATGAATTCAATTAACTTATTTAAATCAAATAATAAAGCTATCAATGCAGATGATAATCCAGATATGATAAGATTCGAAATAGGAATTTGTGATTTGTTGTTAACATCACTAAGAAAACCAAATAACAGTCCATCAGCCGACATAGCATATAAACAACGAGGCAGAGAAAACAAGGAGCCTAACAAAGTTGTTGTCATTCCACACACGGCACCGACTGCCACTGCATATTTGGCCCAATCGGCGTGCACAGCACCTAAAGCTGCTGGCAGTGCCGCTTCGCGATTTATACTCGTGTATGGTACCATTAATGTCAAGGCAATTGCAACAAGAATATATCCAAATGACACGAAAGCTATGGATAACATAGTTGCAACAGGAATAGAACGTGATGGGTCTTTGGCTTCTTCACTCGATGCTGAAATACTGTCGAAGCCGACAAAAGCATAAAAACAAGTTGCCGCTCCGGCCAAAACGCCACTAAATCCATATGGCATAAGCCCCCCATTCTTTGCAGACCAGTTATTAAAATCAGCGTAATAAAAACCGAGAAATATGACAAGAGATATGACTAGTAAGTTCAAAATTGTTAGGCCGTTGTTGATATAGGCAGATGTTTTTACTCCAACAGCAAGAATTAAAGAGGCAACTATACATATGAGAAATGCCAGAATGTCTGGATAGGTGCTGAACAACGTTTCGTGTAGTTCTCCCGTAATAGATATTGTAGCATTGCTAATTGCTCCGTCCAGCATTGTGTCTAAATAAGCCGACCATGCTCTAGCAACCGATGCAGCACCTGAAATAAAACAGTAATGTTAATTTAATAAAAAACTTCTTAGTAGCTTTTAAGTAATAAATATTGAAAATAGAAAGATTTAAAAGAATTACCTATTAATATTCCTCTTTCAAAAATATTATCTTAGGATTTCTGATTATAAGCCAGTTATAGAATAAGTAGATAGGTAAATAATCTTACCTATTATATACTCCAAAACAATATTCCAACCGATGATGAACGCCCAAAATTCACCAATACTGACGTAGGTATAAGCATAGGCACTACCAGCTCTAGGTATTCTAGTACCGAATTCAGCGTAACATAGAGCCGCTAATGTAGAAGTGACACCAGCAAGAAGGAAGCTGAGTGCCGTCGCAGGTCCTCCTATGCGACTCGCTACAGTTCCAGTCAGAACGTAAATGCCAGTGCCTACCATATGTCCAACACCTATAACAAACGGTTATAAATTTAAAACTTTTACTTATTCTTAGTGAATGAAATTAAGAATCTAATTATATGTATGGGGAGGCAATTATCCGTCAATTTTAATTTAGCGACTCAAAATTTCTTAATAATTAACAATCAATTCAATATGGTGCCCACGGCTACTTTTTACCATCGGATAGCTTGCCATCGATAGGGATTTCACCCCCATACCTTAGAGCCTGGATAACCGCGTACGGCGCGGTTTTTTTTTTAGGTGAAAATGAAAGCCCACTGTAATAAATTCCACTAAAATTACCCACGACGGTTTCCAGGAGGAACCACGTGGAGGTCGACCTGATAGATTGCTAGTAATGGAGGTGATAAATCCCCATTACTAACAATCCCTTTCCCCCGTATGGCGCGGTTTGAGAGATGTTTTCTCCCACGAACGCTCAGGCTATGCAATGAACTCTCTGTCGAGGTTTTTCCAAGAGACTTGGGGTTCTTAAAAAAAAGAGATTTCTTCAGGGTCGACAACGCGCGCGTTGTCGACCCTGTACTGCCCCTAGTACTGCAGACGTTCATAGGCTATGGTAACCGCTTACCATCAGGTGGGCCGTATGCTTATTTGCCACATGGTGGAAGATTTTATAGAGGGTACGTCGTTTATGAAGTAAGAAAGCAGAGACTTACTGCAAAAGTTATTTCAACATTTATAAATTTTCTCCTGTATTGTTTGTAGCGTATTTAAGATTATATTCCAGAACCAAAAAAATACTCTTAATCATGTCTTTCTTTACACATAGCTAAAAGCTCCGCTTCTAATCCTGGAGTGGGCACTTGGCAATTCTAGGGTGGGCATGACAACCCGGCTACTCTTTATTTAGGTATACCTATGATAGTCTCATGATTGTAATTATTTTTACAAATACAATCGGAAAACTAGAAAAATAGCATTGGAAAAAACATAGTTTACCTTTACTACTAGACACACAATTGCTTGTAATTCAAATCACAATTTGTCCTTGGCGAACTAAATATAGGTATATTTTTTCTATTTACCTAGTAAAGTGATGTCGAAGGTAGTGAGGCACCGGTTGAGTGGTGTGTCCATAGTATCGCCGTAAAGCGGTTTTCGACGATTCATCTTATGGCAAAACCCGGACAATACATGCCCGAGTATTTTATGCCTGGCTCCAGGCATAATGACTGTAAGTAAATGAAAAAAAAAATAAGAAACACAATTAAAGCAATAATTTTCTAAGGACAGTGCCTTAACGGCACTGTAAAAGGGTATTGCTTAAAAAAAAATCAAGAGGAAATAGAGACGTACTTATACAAATTAGATAGAGTACAATTAATTAGGTGTAGGTACTTAAACTAATCAATATTTTTAAATGAACTGAAGGAGGAGGTTTCCAATTCGTAGCTTGATTTGATAAATATGTAATGCTATATTTTTAACAATCCTCCGTCGATTACAATGATTCTTTATGCAGTTAAAAGTTCTGTGTTGATGTCACACTGATTTTATTTCAATAAAGTAGATTTTTTTAATATAATATTAAAATTTAAATTTAATTAAATATTCAGAACGTCACAGTGTATATATAATATACCGTGATATTCATGGTGCTAATTGTTAAAAGATGATTGCGACCACTTTTCATTTCGTGAACCGTCTGCTAATTTGCCATTTCAAATTGTATAAAATATAATTCCACTATATTTATGAATGTTTTTTTTTTCATATTTACTAGCTGTGACTCTGGATTATATTATATCTGTATAGACGACTTTTCTCGCATGAAAACTAAAATTAATCCAAACCAGTTCAGTAGGAAGTAAACTTAAAAATCTAATTATATTTGCAGTCATTCACATATTAGAGTTAGAAATATGAGATTCTATAAAGATTATTTATATCATGTCTCTAAAAAATATTGTTATCGTATGAAATAAGTATATTTTACGTTTGTACAAAAATCGATCAAAAGCAAATTAAAAAGATAGAAAGGATAAAAAATATTTTCATATTTCTTATAAATTGTACTAATAAATAAATAGCGCTTACCTCGTTAATTATGGCCAGCTGACAATATTTTATACGTACACGTTCAATCTCACGTTACAATTAGTAGATATCTACGACAAAGATGGTGCGGCGCGCGCACCTAATCGATTTCTTCATACAACCTTGTTTACATTATTATGTGGGTAGAGAACGCAAGAAGTATTTCAGGAACTTTATTAAGCTATATTGGAATCTTCATTACGCAAATATTTCTAAACTTATTTGATTCTTGCTTCATATATTATATTTCTACCCAACGCCAAATGTAATGGAATTAGCATGATAACAATACAAACCTATCAACAATTTTTCAAAGACATCAAAACTCCTTTTTGATTGTTGACGAATTAAGAATTCAAAAGTTCTCGATTCATTTATATTTTCTTCTTTTTTGTATGCGGAATATTAGAAGGAATCGTGTGCCATTTTACTAATAAAATTGTAACTTGACGATGCCTTTACATGGGAGATATTTATAGATATTGAAAAAACAATATGAAGAGTCTTAATAAGAGCAACAGAAGCCAAAACAATAATTTTGAGAAATTGTGTCTATCTGTGTTTGTAAGTTTATTCCGGTATCACGCTAAAACTACTGCACCAAATTTGATGCGGTTTTAACAGTTGTCCCGAAGGTCAACTTAAAATTTGGTATGTTTCAACTTGATACATCATCTAGAAGAAATCTATTTAATTGGTTACCTTACTTCAGAAATCCATGTGTATGAAGCAACGGACAAAAAACTACTAAGTATATAATAATAAAAGATTTATTTGCTAATATTTTTATCTGATTTTAATAAATATTTTTGCAATCGTTAATAATTTTGCTCCCATTATAATCCCATATTACTTTTACCACGTTTAGACTTTGGTTATATATAACTAAAGTATGAATAAAACGGTATCAACTTAGGTTAACAATGTTTATTTAAAAAACTATAATGTGTTTTATATAATTTTATATATTTCATAAAATATCCCATTGCACAAGGTTTATTTAAATATTTTACATTTGTTTTTGCATTTTGACACTTCTCCTGTACTATATTCATCTATGGTAAGACTATTCTTTACCTACTCTCTCTCTCTCAAAGGCCCAAAATAATCTTAATCAAATAATCAAAATTAAAAGTCTTCTTCTACTTTCATAGTCTTGATTCCATAAAGGAATCAAGACTATGAAAGTAGAAGAAGGCGTATATGTACTTTCAGACATATCTTTGCAAAGCATCGCTCGGATCCTGGGATGGACGCCATACAATGTTAGGATAGAGACAAATCAACTGCCCCGCCTCCTCCCTTCACTTAATACACCTAAGTTTTAAAGCTGACAATTTTGTGCCGCGGACTCTAATGAAATTCTGTTGTATTAATTGATTAATTTGAATATTTTGGCTTTTATTATGAAATAAAAGTTAGATACGATAACTTGAAAAAAGGAGATTTTTTTAAATCTAAAATGTTTTTATCACATTATTAAAATAAGTTTTTTTTTTAATAAAATCATAATTTATTTCATAATCCCTATATTATTTATTACACTAATAGATACAGTAATAAATATAAGAAACTATGAACAAAGGTAAACTTATAATAGTCCTTCGTAACTAAAATCCCAATAGCACACATTCACTGCTCAAGTTTGTGTCAAATGCTGTTTGAGAACTCTGAGATAAATGCCTGTGGCAGGCAGGCATATGAGTGATTATCTCAAGTCTCTAGCTAAAGACGCAAAAACCCACTAATATAAATGTGAAAGTTTGTATACTTAATCACACTTAAACGGCTGAACAGGTTTGAATAAAATTTATTGTACGGGTAGGTTATATTATAACCACATAAGATATTTTCGGTACACATATTATATATATATGAGCAAAGCCACGGGAAACAGCTAATATATAATATAGCATTTAGATACTATGATAGAATTTAGTGTCAGTTAAAAAATCATAACATCTATAGTCATCATAAAAGGTTTAAACGTCATAAAAAAATGTTTTCAATTGTAGATATACTATATGATTTTCACAATCAAAATGAATCTAGCAACGCCTTGCATATAAAATATATTTTGATTTTTTTTATGAAATCAGAATGGTTACTATTAGTTTGCTATAAGTACCTATATGTTTATGAAGTACCAGTGAGAATGAAATCAATGACCCATCATGACAAATTTCCCGGAATTAGCTATGGTGGTTTATAAGGGGAACTGCATGGAAGACAATCTGACAGTACATGAAAACAGATTAGTTAGCCCATCATAACAATTTCTACAAAAAGTAACCTAGATGATTTCCAAAGGGAACCACGTGGAAGTCGTACTGATAGGTATATTCCTAGCAACGATGCTGTTAGATCCCCATTACTAACAATCTTTACCCCCCGCAATAGGCCTCTTAACCCCAAGCCAAGCTTGTTGATAATTCGGGTTGTAAATTAATCTTATTCAGTTTGGTTTGTCCGATATTACTTGTAGGAATGAATGAATGAATGAATAAAAATTTATTTCAATAAAACCATAACACTTACATATACTTAGACTATAAGTAATAACAAATAAAAATATATATAAAAAAAAGTTTACATTTATATATTCTTTATATGTAGTAGAAATCAGTCAGTGTTATGGTAAAGAAAAAGGATACTAATTCAGCTAAAGGTTCCTGCAAAAGCAGAAACGCTGATTTTCAATTAGCACCTCATCACCTAGCCCGGTCCATCAAGATCATGATCATGAAGGAAGGTATATAACTACATAGATTAGGGGTAAGTGGATATCTATATGTGGGTGGATAATAGCGCATATATACAAGTATATACCTAGCTAGTTGCGCTATTGAAGAATGTCCATTGGATGTGTTATATCATCAGTGACCTGGAATCAATGAACTAATTTTCTTACCCTTGCGATCAATAATTGTTATTAGAAACAGCATTTATTGCTTCTATGAGCAACTTCAGAAAAAGTGAGATGAATACACAACTTTATAAAGCTCTTCTAGACACAATGACGTCATTATAAGATCAATACGAGTGTTTGTAATGGAGGCGAAAATTTTAAGTAGTTACTTAGATGACAGGCATTTAAAAATTCTCATATATTTTAAATAAGTACATAGTTAGAATAGAGCCTTGTTTAACAAATAGAAAAGAAAAATTCAACATCTTACCGACTACGTAGACGAAGCTCTTATCCGAGCGTCGACATAAAAAAAGAAATAGCTACGGTATTTTTAGCACTAAATTAAATAAATAAATTAGGTATATTTTCTTCTGTCAGTTTTGATACAAACTTGATATACCGACTTCCTATGGGAGTAAGTTAGCAATGAACCTTTTCAATTTAAAAAGAATCATCAAAACCAAGTCTAAATTGAGGAACATGTAAAATACACAATCGTATTCAGAGACTCCTGTTTTTGAATTCGTTAAAATACTTTATTTTTATTAATATTTAAAAAAAATAACCACAGAACCATTTTCTTTTATTAATAAATTTAAGTAAAGATTTTAAAATGAAAACATTTTAAACTTAATCACAATAACACTAATTGATTGCTTAGTAATATAAAATATACATAAGTAAATTAAGTAAATACTCTATGGAGGGGAAAAATAAAATTGGGTACAATTTCAACATTTTTATTGAAATCCTACTCTACATTGCATATTATAGTCATATAGATAAAAAATAATAAGTATAAAACATAAATTCATAAGTTACAAATACTTATTTAATTAAACAAATTATTATTAAGTACCAATAAATAAAATCGCAATATCATGCTAATATAGTTCTTTGTTACAGGTATATAGGTACGTATTGTCCCAGTTAATTTAGACAGCGAATTTGGTTAGGCCCTGTTTAATGTTAAATTATATATTCTAATTTGAAATTAAAATGTTCCTAATTATTACTTTTAATGAACATTGAATAAAATGTAACTTACAATTTTTTTTAAACATTTGCGAGATGATAATTAATTATAATTCGTACGGCACGCATACATTATACATTAATTCAAAGAATATTTTTAATGGGTGATAATTGAACATTGGTAACATCATCTGCGTTATCGGTATAAGCTGGCGAGGTACTAATGAATAATGACAGATGAGGTTAAAAGCAGGTCAGTTGGCCCATCCTGACGAATGCAATAGAATTAACCAGTTTTCCAGGGACCCCGTGAAAGTCGACCTAATATTGCTAACAATGGAACTGCCTTTCTGAACTGAGAACAGAATGGAATTCCATTACTAACAAACCCTTTGCCCCAACGAATAGATTATAAGTATAAAAAAAAACATCTTGATTTAATACGATTCGTACATTGATCGTAAAGATCCATTTTAATAATTATCTACTACTAAATAAAGACTACATATATACAAACGAGATATCAGGTCCATCATTATTTTATGGCATTGACCTACCAAGATGGATAGGTAGGGGAAAAGAGAATTGCTAGTAATGGCGATTAGTGGTTCAAATTATACAAACATACAGTGTCAGGTCCACCTGGAAACGTAGTTAATTCCCTACAAATAGCGCAGGCGGGATTACCATTACATTATTATTTACTAAAAAAAAAATAGGCATTCACTATTAACTTCACTATTTAAGGTACATATAAACATAAACACTGGATAGAGACAAGGTATAACGATCCGTACTGACGGATGACGGATTTGTATTTTTGAGTAAGTATATGTATAATACATATAATAATACGTATAATACAAAATACATACATGTTCACTTTTTACGCTCATGTTTATAGGCCTCTGAACAAAATAAACTATTATACATGCTTCATATTACCTACTTTTCTATTCGTCGATATACGAATGCCGAAACTCTAGGGAGAAAATATAATTTATGCAAATATTAATAAGTACATAACACCTTACGAGTACTTGCACCTCATTTTGCTTGTTACACTTTAGACAAAGTTGTTTCGATTAGCAAAGATTTTAGTAGAATGTACTAGATAATTTTAGAAATATACTTTTTTCATCTACTTAATTCCAGATTAATAAGTGCCTACCTACTTTCAATTACAAGCTGAAATTTATTCACAACTTGTATTATCAGACCTAACAAAATTACTCATGTACCATAAAAGGTATTATTTGGATATCACTTAGCTAGTTAATTTTAAACTAATTAAATAATATTGCAATGGCACTAAGAAAAATATGCGCACTTTCCTGTAAAATAAAAATAATTTGGTTCTTACATTTAATTGCTAGCAAAAAATAAATTTGCATTTCTTAATAATCCACAGTAGGATTTTAATTTAAAATCAATTATGTAAGTACATAAAATTATAATAAATATATATCACATTTAATTGTAAAACTTTTCTACCACTATTTTTTATTATTTATCTTTTGTTAATAATTATTATTAATTAATAAATTAAAATACAACACAGAAGAGACACTTTAGGGCAATTTAAAACATAGAGTACCTATATTTGATATTTAACGACATCACAGAGGATCTACGTAAATTCCTCTATCATTGCTTGACCGTAATAGTGATACTTAAATCATTTTTCATTATGTTATTGATGTTTCGTACTTCATATATTTACATAAAATTGATGTGATTATGTTTACAGTATTATTATTATTAGGTATTGTTCATAAAAAATTACATAATTACAAAAATATAAAAATAAACATTAAATAGGTACGATAGTTACAAGAAAATACAAAGTTAAATGATATGTTTTAGGTTTCAGTCTTTAGAAAATGTATAGCGTTTTGGTAATATAATGTAAACATTAGAATAAATAATTCACAGACAAATTACATTTGTGATAAATTGGCACGTATATCCTTACTAGTTGGCTTTTGTTTAATTAACATATTGCATGGAATGCTGGAAGATTCCGAAAAAAATGTAAAATTTATGTAACAAAAATAAATGCCTGTAAGGATAAAATGTGCATTTGTAAATACTTAACCGAAAATATATTTCGCAACTAAGAATACATTAACTTATTCTACCACTAACTATTATAATTTACATGTGTTTAAATAGTTATACAGTAGGTAAATGTTTTTGGAAGTACGTAGGTAAATAGTAGCAGTAGGTAATATTTACAAAGAATATTTTTAAACTTCATCCAAACATAGCCTACATATACTTACATCGTATATTTTATATAGTAAAGTATAATGGGTATCTGGGTATTGAAGATAATCAACATCATTATAAATGTTCCTAAATTTAACAGTATTTTTCCATATTAACGATTTAATGTACTTATGTACAAGGTGAATTACAAAATGTTATTTTTAGGAATTTAAAAAAAGTACAATTTTGACGTCTCATAATGGTCCCAATGTTAAAAATATATGGCTATGAATAATATATAGTATTCCAATGAATTCTTAATTGCGTCCTGATCTGACTAGATTATATAACTTATTGGATACTTATTTATAATACTTTAATTGTAAATTGTCCACATAATTAGGTACAAGACCAATGGGATTGATTGTAATAGCTGCATACCTTCATCACAGTTTGTTAGTATTAATAAATCATTAAACTAAATCATCATCAATATTAATTATTATTAGCAATAATAGTTGTACTTGCACTTAATTATCAGTTTAGTAGCATTTATTTAGCATAACCATGGCCTACTCCATAAGCATAACGCAGTATTAATTTTACGTTAAATTTAAAAAAGAAAAATATTAATTGGTAACATAATGAAATTTGGCAAAGGATAACGTAAATTAATTAATGTGACAAAAATGAATAGAACAGTGTTTTATGCAGTTGTAACTGTTGCACGTAAGAGATGTGAAATTATCTCCACGTTATTTACCTTGATAGCACAGCGACTTAATATATTGCTTCACCTTTCCATGGTTACAGATTTAATCCCGGCGCAATGCAAATATTTTTATTCTCCAGTATATTTATATATATTTCTCTGAGTAGGCGTTTTTTATATATTTTATGGATTCACAATATTCACATGTTTATCAGTTGTCTAATAAGTACTTGGCGCAAGGTTTGCAAGATGGGGCTGTACGATATATAAAATTAAAATACCATATTCAAACTCCTTAGAAACATAAATCCTTTACACTTCGCACAGTGTCAAAGATTTTTTATGTGATGTATAAATTTTTTTGGAAACACGGAAACGTGCAAAAAATCCCGCTCCTCGGGAACAAAGTCGCATGCCTATATTTTAGTATAAATTAATATTATAAAGAGAAAAGATTTTATTATTTGTTCGTAATGAACAAACTTGAAAAGTTATAACCGATTTTAAAAAATTCTTTCACCTATAGAAAAATACATGCCAGTAAAATGAGCTTCAATTTATTTGAATAAAAAAAAGGACCGTATAACCATTTAGACTACATATTATTAGTAGTACGGTAAAGGAACTGTATAACCATTTAGACTACACATTAGATCAAAGACTCGAAGTCTGAACGCACATACAGTCGAAAAACATTACTATTCTGTCTTCAGCAGTCGAATTTTTAAAGTCGGTTGAAAATTTAACAAGTTTGTTTAAGATGAAATCCAAGCGTATGAAATAAAAATACTATGTACTAATAAAGTGTAGTAGAAGGCAAGTTTTTGGCATGCTTTTTTATGAGAATCAGTTTTTTATGTTTGATTTTGGTGGGTAGGTGTTTTTATAGTTCTGTAAACAATGTAGAATTTTGTATTAACAAAATAGTTATATGATATTTAAAATATCATTAACATAATATTAATAACAACCTATTTTCTAAATAATTATATTTACTTATCTAAGTATATCTGGAAGTAGATACTTGTGTAAGTTTCAATAGTAGGTACCTATATTAACGTTAAATTTATTATACAACATTATCAAGAAACAACATAGTTGTTACAAGTCGTACTTAACAAGTACCTACAACTCTATTTTTTTCTAAATAATTTAACATTTGCCACATTACCTTTGAAACTATTCACACATTAAACTCTGAATTTGTTAATAAGTTTATTTCATATTTGCAAACTATTGCAACAATTTAATTTGTCTCTTAGCACCTTATAATTAATCTTCCAACATTATTACATTATATCACATATAAATTGCACATCCATATAACATGCACATTCACAAAATATACCTACTGAGTACAGACATGATTAAAAGAGACAAACCAAATTCTAATAACGTTCATACGATTTAATTCTCTTCAGGAAGCATGTTTGCCTTCCCTGTACATACTGACACTATCCACCAGTGCCATTAAAATATTGTGCATGTTTCGTATAGGGGGCTGCAATGTGATAAGGTGGAGGTTGACCGCGTCCATATACAGGTTCTGATACGCCGCTAGGGCTGTTGCGGTGGCTGATTACACTTGGCGGATTTGATGAAGTTGGCATAGTATCATACAGGTCATACATATTTTGACTTGTAGGAGAATTCATATGGCTATAACTGCCATCATCTGATACAAGTGGTGTATTTGTCATACGATATGGATTTGTTGTATTTGTGTGACCAGTTGGAGAATACAATTCAGGTGACTGTGAAGACACATAAGTTGGACTTGAAGGTACTCCACTATAAAAGTTAGCATTTGGTGATGTTTGATGCATAGTTGTTGCATAATGAGGGCCGTCTACTCCTTGTACAGAGTACATGTTGTTATAGTTGCTTAAATTAGGCATTGTAGTAGAACTTACTACTTGACTTACTGTATGTATTCTCGGCCCTGGTAAGTCACGACTCCCACGAGGATTGTAATTATAGGTGTCATAATTCCTTTGATTGAAATTTTTTTCTTTAGATCGTGTAAATGGTTCTGAATCATAAATATTTTCTCGATATTTACTCTCTGGTGCTGGATGAGATACAATATGATCTTTTCTGGGGTACATTGGGTCAAACTGAGGGATACTATCAACTATTCTTGAATTATATGAAGTTTCTTCAAAATTTGGTGATAGTACCATTTCATTATTTGATCGTCTATCCTGTGAAGCAAGGCTAAGCCTCTGTAATCTATGAGTTTCTTCTAAGTTGCTTCGATAATTATTATCACTATTAACAGGATAACTTTTATGTTCAACTGTGTGAACACTATAAATATTTTGAGAAATTGGAGCATTTATTCTATCCAAATCTTGTTTAGTAGCATAATTTTCATTTGATTTTGTATTGTAATGTCTTTGAGATAATATATAATGATTAGCATTTTCAAGTTTACAATCAGAATTAGAATTTACATTATTTTCAGGATACAAAGCATGATCTACACTTTTATATGTTGTATCTATTTCATTTGAGAGTTCTAAAGGTTTATCATAGGCATTTTCTATAGGAAGATTGTCATATACTGACAACTTCAAAGCATCTTGAGGTACTCCATCTATATTGTCTTTTGTAACATTCTCTATTTCTTTTTTATTATCTGAAGCAAATCTTTGTTGAAGTGTAGGTGTGATTTTAGCTGCTTTTATATGTACTGCATTCTGCATAGGAGGAGACACATCTTGTGCACCGTCTTTATGGATATTTCTAGCATGCTTAGCTAATGCTCTTAATTCTTTTGGATAAGGTGTTGGTGCTCTTCGTAATTGTCCTGGTTTTTCAGGAACTTTTGGTATTGCTTTCATGTCCACAAAACTAATATGTCGAACAGGTGGTTGCACATTTTCATTTTCAGGTTTATATTCATTGTCTGTTGTCTTCATCTCTATAGGGGTCAAAGGCACTTGAGGAAAGAGGAAACAAGTGAGGACTTGCTCATAAGTATGAGGATCTACTTCAGAATGCATAGGCACTAAAGGTTTGCTTTGATTTTCAGATAGCCAGAGGGCTACTAAATTATCACAATTCAACAAGGACTGGGGAAGACAACTTAGTGAATTTCTCACTAAGTTTAAAACTCTTAAAGAGCATAAATGGCCAATTTCTGGAGGGATCTTAGTTAATTTATTTGCTCGAAGTGACAACACTGATAATTTTGTACAGCTCCCTATTTCTGGAGGAATCATTCTTAACATGTTATCATCAATATTAAGGTATTGTAATTTCCTCAGAAGACCTATGGATGATGGTATTTTATCTAAATAGTTGCACATCAACATAAGCTCTTCTAAATTGGTTAATTGCCCTATACTATCAGGGATAGAATACAACCTATTGTTATCTAATTTCAATGTAGTTAAATTATTTAATTGTCCAATACTATCTGGCAGCTGTGTTAAACTGTTTATTGACAAACTCAAATCCACCAATTTGGTGCAATAACCAATTTCTGGTGCAATTTCTTCTATCATATTATTGCTAGCTTCAAGATGTATTAAATTTTGTAATGGTTTTATTGCTGCTGGTATGTTTGTTAAACTATTACTATCCATCCATAACTCTCTTAACTTTGTAAACCTCCCAATCACTTCTGGAAACTGCTGAAACTCGTTTTGACCTATATCTAATCTTAATAAGTCAGTAGACCGAGATAATGATTTTGGTAAAATCATTAAATAATTATCTCGTAATTCAAGTATACGTAGACTTGCAAGTCTACCAAAGTTACCAGGTAGGTACTCTAAGTACGTATCATTTAGATACAATTCTTGTAATGCAATGAGATTTGTAACGGCATCAGGAAGCTTTTCTAAAGGATTAACACTAAGGTCCAAGAACATTAAATACTTTAATGCTTTCATAGTGTCAGGTATAGAAGCTAATGTGTTTCTGCTGATATTCAAATATTGTAAATTTACCAATGATGATACGGCCGTCGGTATGGCTTGCAATTCATTATCGCTGATATCCAAGCGCTTCAATCCATGACACATAAAAAGCTGGCGTGGTAATTCACTGATACGATTACTTTGACAATACAAGGTCTCAAGTGTTCTCTCGTATACAAATACATCTGATGGGACGTCTGTTAGTGATTGATGGGAATAATCCAGTTCCACCACATCTTCCACTCCAGGTCGTACACAGCACAAGAAGTCGAAAGGCATCTTTTGAGAACTGGGAAGGCACTTCCACCCAAACACAAAAAATACTTCATGTAGAACAAATTCATCAATCACACCTAATCACAACATTTCAGAATATTGTTATAATTAATTTTAATTGCAAATACATTATATTAATTCAACTCGTATAAATACGATTAGATAAAAATGCAATATTTCCATTCGGTGGATATGAATGAATCACTTAACTCAATCCACTCACTGACTGACTTGATTTGACTGGTGAATATTGAAGTTGATTCATCAATCTATCAAATCGTAAATACACATAGATTAAGAACAGTACGTAATTAGTAGAAATTTCTTCTTCTATTTCTAATTATAATCTATGAATGGAAAGGTTTTTTTTTTTTTAGACCTTAGGACTTGTTTACACTTTATTAAGTGATGCAACGATATATAAATGTTTAAGACCTTAATACTAGTTATTATATAATTAATTGCATAACAAATATTGTACAACCAAGTTGCGGTTAATTACTTATTTTTTCAATAATTTTAATATTACACATATAAATAGCTTCCTAATTTATAAATGGATTATATAAATGGATTATAAATATGCACTTTTCTTTAATAATAAATGCCACTGGCGAGAACAAATTTATATGCCTTTTCATTCGTACCTATCATACCTCACGAAGAAATTTGTCGAGTTATTTCCAAAAATTGCATATTGCGATAACCAAGATCCACGCGGGCGAAAGCTAGTTATAAATATAAAGATTTCTAATATTAATACAGTCGCTATAAATGTAATTGACTTAGTTTTACATGAGATCTCACAATATAACTCTTGTAGTGGACATGTTATATATTTTTTTATTTTTGATGGGATTTCATTTCTTTTTGTAGATTATTCTCATTATTTTTTTCGGATTAAATATTATCTTGTTCCTCAGCTACACAAACACAGTGCATTATTTGAATAAATGAACGTAATTTATAATTATTATTTTCATTTAATGAAAATGAACAATAAAATGTCAGTATTTGTCATTTTTTCTTTCCTTTATAGACTAAATGCTAACTAAATTTAAAAACTAGAAGTTTACGAGTGTGTCAGTGATAAAATTAAAGAACTTTGACAAACATTATTGCTTCGTAAACTATACGGTATAAATATTACGTATTCAAATAGCCAGTTAAAAACAAACTTCTAGCTTTATCCACAATGAAGTTACAGAGAGGTCAAAAGTGCGGTAAGTCGCTTCGAGAAAAGGATCGGACGGCTAAGGTTGCCCTGGCAGGGGTATGATTGTGTAATAATCCTTCATATATACAAAAAAAAATATTTTATTTCACATAACTCTCAATTCCATCAGAAAGTATATTATTTGAATCAAATTGTCTCAACTCAAACATCGCCTGCATCAATATCATAAAATCTAAGTGAATATTGTCATATAAGCCGTTCTCTTGTTATGATATAACAAACTAATAGAGAAATACCAAATTTTAAAACTCGTAAACTTCGACCTTATATATTACTAAGATAGATACTTAAGTTTAAAGAATTTTATTTTCTAATAAAACTTTGTTTTACTTTCACTTAAGATGAGATAGGTACAATATATATACATCGAATGTCTGTACATAGAAAAAAAAAACGTTAAAAACCGAGTCAGGGAGATGTTAAAAGTCAAATAGAAAGCATCCAGATTTATTTCAAATTTTTTGTTTGTCTGTCTGTTTGTTTGTACGGGCTATAATCTCCGAAACTGTTGGACCGATTTAGATGAAATTTTGCATGTTGGTCCCTTACATTCCTGGTCAACACTAAATACTTTTAATCACGGTAAATTAAAGAGTTCCCGTGGGATAGCAAAGTCGCGGGCATCAGCTAGTAGTTATTAAATTTAGGATTATATTACTTTGTCTATATTATTTGCTTACCTAAGTAAAATATTTAGAACAAGTAAATATGCCAATAATGTATCCGGCTGTTGTATTTCAATTATCTTGTATTTATTGTTTGTATTTTTGTATGATATTTGTAATATTTAGTTCAATAAAAAATATTAATAAATAAATTTATGTTTTAATAATTTCATATTCCTGCCCTTATTCCAATTAATTATATTAATATGTTTTTACCCATACTACCCAAGGTTTTAACTTTTAATTTTACGACCAGCCGCCTGTCTGACGTCGTCCCACTAGGGATAATATAACAATAATAATAATTTATGGTCATTATTAGCACTTTGTTAATTAAGACAAATCTAACGACATATTATTTATAAGAATCCAACAAGTCGTTTAGTTTATTCAGTTAAGTGAAAAATATCACATTAATTATTTAAAATAATACAAGTATCAAAACTCTTTCAAATGTAACCATACCCTATTCGGCTACACGTTTATATGCGATTGCGTTGATGTGCAAATCAATGCGCCTTAGCCAAATTTGAGCGACATTATTTTGTAATAGGCCTCTTAAAAAAAACTTACTCCATAGAACAAAATAAGGTATTTTATATATAAATAAAGTATTATTTCTATTGTTTAGTTACTTTAGTGTGATGGGTGTACTTGATTTTTGATCGATTTCAATCTTAGTTCAGATCCAGCATTCAGTCGTATCCTCAGTCAGTTTCATTTTAATTGTTTAGTCACATATGCGCCGTCATGCTTATTATATGTGTGAATTAGTTAAACTGGCTCCATTACATTATTTTTGTAGTGTATCCCTACGATTAATTGGTGTAACACCCAAGTGGTGTGTGTTTTTAAATAAAACTGGCATCAAGAGCAATGAATCTTAACATTTACTTTTTCGTATTTACATATACAATATAAATAATTGTTACATTTAATGAAAATAAGCAGAGACGGGTGTAGCTCTATACGTATTTCTACCAGACTTCTTTTCTCTGTAATCGACCTTAGGTAAAATGTTACATTTATTTTCTTTTCCCGACTGTCGTTCAACTTCATTTGCCTTTCCTATTATTTTATCTGCAAAAAAATATTTATACACATAATTATGATGAAAAATGAACAATATAAAATCAGCTCATACAACATTATAAATGAGATGGAATACATATTTTTCGGGCTCTTTTACTTTCTATGTAATACTAGCTGACCCGGCGAACTTCGTGCCGCCTAACAATTTAAAATATTTTTTGTGTATTTTTTTACCGTGAATCTTTCCGAGATTTTAATAATTATTTTGCTATTCGGAACGAAGCCGAATCTAACAAATCATAGATCATAGAAATCTGTCCAGACCTTTTGAAGTTATAAACGGTATAACTAACCCGATTGTTTTATTTATATATATTCTGAACAATCGAAATGTTTGGTCCTATATTAAGTTTGTCATAACTGAAATCAATATTTTCTTGTAAAGCGTAACTTCTCTTCCAAGTATTTTAATTAAATTAATACCATTGGTCCTAAATTAAACAAAGGTTTTTATACTATACATAATATACGACTGATAGATATAATATGTAATTATATAAATACAGGTATCACAGAAGTCGACGTCAAGCTGGAAATGAATAACAGATCAGAAGTCATAATAATTATCAGAAAAATATTAAACTTAGCTTAGCCTGAACAAATATAACGTGACGTAATTTTTATATATTAAGATGTAATTACCTTCAGTAACACCTTTTAACCTGTTGTCATCACTAGCAGGTCTTAAATATTTTGGATCCAGTCCTACTTTACGTGTATGTGAATCTTGGATTCCCGGTCCTGGACTCTCCTCCACATTTGATCTAACAAAGATATTATTTGTTAGTGTTTTACTCAAATTTGATACTTATGTGCCTTTTAGACCTTAATAAAAATATGAATAAATAAATTATCTCGTAACGATACAACTCACTGCGTTGTTATTTGTGGATGAACCTTTATTATAATGATAATATCTTATAACTAACTGGCTTGGCAAATATTATTTTTTTGTAGGGTTATATTTCTTAAGTAACAATACAGATTTACAAAATTTCAATAAAATCGGTTGAGTGTTTTTTATGCAACTTATAATGGCAAGCGAGAAAGAAACAAGTGCATGGCCCATCTGAAGTAAAATTGGTAAGCGATGCCTATATAAATGAACAGTGCCATGGATATAACAGGCAGTACCATGAACGATTAGCGACAACGAACATGATTATATGGAATTAATATTTTTTACAACCACAAATGACACTCATAAATGAAAATGAAAACCTATCGTCATGAAATTTGGCATATATATATATATATATATATATATATATATATATATATATATATATATATATATATATATATATATATATATATATATATATATATATATAGGCTAATTTTGACTCATAATTCAAGTCAAACTCCAGATTATTCATGGTGGTAGTCACGCAGATTCGTGGGTACATCTAGTAATTATATAAATTTAATAATAATAAATAAATTTAAGTACAAATCTTACAATTTTGAGGTGGCATAAAAGTCAATAGATTCATCGGACATATTTCGAGAGTTTATTTCTTTGTTTCTCGAAAGAAAGTAAGGCGTAGAACTTGTTATACTCTGAACTCCACTCTTATGATTATTTTCCATAGCATTACCTGGATCATTTCCATCAACCTTTTTATGTAACCACTGAATTACTGAAATAAAAAAAGGGAATAATAAAAACGAAAGAAATTTAAATGCTTATAAAATAGACTGAATTACTGAAATAAACAACTGAATATTAAAAACAAAAGAAACTTAAATGCTTATAAAACAAACTACATATCTTAATATTTTACAAAGACCGTTAGACTCCGTCCAGTGACTGGTAAAAAATTAATGCATAATTTTGTTGTGTATTATAGAGGATATTACTCCAATGGATAAGAGGGCACAGTGGATCTTATGGTAATGATGCCGCAGACGAACTAGCTAGAAGAGGCTCAGGAACGAGGGTGGTAGGCCCGTATCCAGTTCTTCCTCTTCCATTCTCACAACTTCGAATGTGGATTCGTCAAAGATCCGCTGACATACAAAACCAAAGATGGATACAGGCTACTGATTGCAGACAATCAAAATTGGCTGTACCTACGTTGAATCAACGACTATCAAAACGTTTATTACATCTAGATAGAAAAAACCTCAAAATAATGATAGGGACATTAACGGGTCATTGTCCATTAAACAAACATCTATACACAATAGGAGCCACAGACAGCACATATGCACAATGGCCCAAGTGAGAGGCTAAGCGCGGAAAATGGAGTCTTTTTCACATTCACATTTCACATAGAGGATATTACCGGTGTTTTGAAGAATTAATTTTAGATTAATACCTGTAGAATTTTTTTTTCTTTTCATTTTTTATAAATTATGTATTTGTAAAATAAATTTTATAAATAATAGGTAATTTATTTTGACAATCAATACATCACCAATATGAGCGAAAATTAATCATATTCTTAACCAGATTACAGAAAAAAAATACACATTACATACCCATATTGTTATTTTTTATTGTTTCATCACGATCCTTGAGAGCTTTTACGTTATCCTCACATTTCTCTTTCAAATCACTTAACTCTTCTTGAAGCTTATCTATATTTTTATTTGTTTTCTGTATTTCCGATTTTAGGTCATCTATTTCTTTATTGTTAGATTCTATAACCTTTTCTTGTTCCAATGCTATAGCAGTTCTGCATAACAGCTGTAAAAAGATTGACAATGATGTGTGTTGTTAACACAAAACATCTAAAAAATATAGTAGTTATAAGAACAGTACCTTCTCTTTGATCTCAATAAGTTCAGTATTTTGTTTGGAAATGATTTGATTAGCTTTCATTAGTTGTTCTGATGCAGAATGTGCAGCGTCACTATTCTTGTTGACTAAAGACTCGCTTATAGCTAAACGTTCTTCTAAACTTGTCTGTAATTTGTCACGAAAAAATATTAAATTTTAATGACTTTATTTCTTTTAATATAATAGATATTTTATTTCACAATATATATATAGGGATTGAGGTTATTTTGTAATTTTCGTTTCGCCGTATTAATCCATAACATATATTTATTCTTTAAAATATCTTTTCTTCTATTCTTAATCAAAATAATTGTCACTAAATAGCTAATTATACTAACCTTTTCTTTTTTAATAACTTGTAAAGATTTATTCAAGTCTTTAATCACTTCTGTATTATCCTTCGCGAGCTGTAAAACAGATCAGTGATTTCATATAAAATGTTGAAATATTTATAATAGACATAATGTTCATATCATTTCTCATTTAGTCATAATTTAAAAAAATAAGGATATTTTATATCATTATTAAATATATGAACAAACAATTCACAATATACAGTTAAAAACTATAACTTGGAAGTTACAGAGCCAATCTGGTTTAATTCGATTCAATATGTAATAGAAATTGTAACACTTATTACGATGAATATTGTCACTAACTAATAATAATGTGCTATGATCTGACATTAAATATTCAATCATAACTATAAAATGTCAATTTACAGCAAAATATAATCAGTAATAAAAAATAATTTATTGGCACCTGTTCTAAGTAAACACATCTGGAATTAGCTTGATTATACTGCTTTTCTTTCTCTGCTATTTCCCTTTCATATGTTGAATTTTTTGCTTTTAAAGTTGCCACTTCTATATGTGTTTTCTGTACCTCATTTTCCAGAACAATTAGACGTTGTGACTTATCACTATGAATCACAATATATTGATATATATAGTAGGTAGATATAATTTATATCATAAAAGTATATGATAGAACTGACATGTTTTCATAGGATAAATAAACAAGACAAAAAAAAGGTAAATCAAAACTGGCAATTAAATAGATACAATTTTAAAAATATTTTGCAAATATAGTCAATTATTTTTATACTTTTGTAACTTAATAACTGACTATTATAACAAAAATAGAAACTATTTGTGTAATAATAGTCAGTTCTACTTCCATATTAGGAACATTTCATTTATCATATAATATATTTTACATAATATATTATTCAAATAAAAACTAAAGTAGTTATGTAAAATTACTTTAGTTTTTATTTGAAAATTTAAAAGTAGATAGTAATAAATATAATATATGCAAGAAAATCAATGAAATAGTTATGGAAAAGAAGATTTAAATGTAATGCCTAAATATATACCTCAACTGGTTTTCTAATTGTGTTATATTATCTCTTAGCTGTTTGGACAAAACATTTAGTTCATCAATTTGCCGATCCTTTCTGTTTATACTTTCTTGAAATGATGAAAGCTGTACTTTTGTCGTATTTTCTGTTGTCTTCTGCCACTGCAGTCTTTCCTATAAATATTTAATTTTGTTTAGACTTTCACATACACTTTACTGAACCCATCTAAAATAAACACAGTTTTTATGTATACATTGTAGTCTGCAATGAAATTTGTATTGATATTTTTACTCCATGTGGTATCAAACTGAGAAAATTTTAAAAAGTCATAATCATAGTTTAAAGATAGAAATAAAATATTTAAAAATAACTTATGTACATTAAAAAAATCGGTTCTGATACAATCTTCATATTTTTGTTGGTTTCAATATTGACTTTAGCATCTAGCCATTTTATCTTTAATTAAAATTCTAATTTTTATATGCTACTTCATCTGTATGAGTAGGCTATGTAATTAATCTAGATAAATAGTAATATCCAGAACAGTACTTATGTATATATATATACCAAATTTTATGAAGATTTTTAGAACCATTAAGTTGCAAAGAAATAACAAAGAAACTATATTTAGATGAAAGGACAAACCTGAGTAAATTTTTCATTTTCATGTTTTAAAGCCTCTTGATATTCAACTTCTAGTTTATGTCGGTCCTCCTCCAACTTAGAAACCACCTGATTTAAATCATGTACTTTTCGTTCCAAATTTAAACATTTATCATTCCATATTGCATCAGTAGAAGTTGCTGAAGTTTTAACTGCTGCCAATGATTTCTATAATAAATTTAATGAAATTTGACACTTTGAACAAAATTTCTTCCATATAAAATGCAAAAAGCAGTGTCAGTTTTAGGAAAAGAATGCCAAGCTAGTGTAACTATAGGATTATATTATTTAAGCATGTGTTAAAGAGCAAAAGAAAAATAAAACATGCTCAAGAAAATTGTGCCCACACACCCAGATAGCTAAAACTGGCACTGGTTTGAATGTTTACTTTTAAATTTGTTATAGTGTCAGCCATATGTTGCTTGATATCAGTATCTGTAGCAGGCCCCGTTCTTAATGATAAATGGACCAGGCGTTTAAATTCATTATGTTCTATAATTTCAAAATAATACTGTACAGGATTAGTTTGCTGCATTATTAAAAACCTGGAAATAAACACAAGAAAATATTACAAAGAGCCTAATGATTAATTAGTAAATTCATGATGATATTTACAACCTATTTATTGATAGTCTGTATGCATATTTTTCATGTGTGTATACATATACACAAAAAATAAATGTTACAATAAAAATAAATTACATACACAGACTTATCCTTTGAAGAGATTTTTGTGGAAGTTGTGAATGAAACCAAACACTACATAAATATATACTTGTGAATGTTTACTATACTTTGCAAAAATATTTAATAAATATTTAATAAAGCAAGTTATTTTTTTAAAAAGTACGATAAATGACTATTGCCTAGTTAATCATCAGGAAATCATATAAGGAATTATAATAAACAGCTAAAATCTGTCCTGGACCTACACAAAAGACATTTTAAAGCTGTTATAAAAAAGTAACTTTGTAGAAAGTCTTATTACAGGATAGATATATTAATGACAAAAATGATAAAAGTAACAGCTGAGACTCATACTTGCCTATTTTTCCTAATTGAAATTGCATACTAAACATCATAAATGACTGCCTGCTTTTATAAAAAATATTTTAAATTCATAAAAGCAGGCAAATAATATTTTTTCAATTATTAACAAAATTCATACTTTTGAATTGAATATTATTTTGTCATTGTAATATATTTACAGTACACAACTCCATAATTCACATGATACAAAAAATTATAACTTACAATGCAAATATAATATAAATATATATATCCTCATTCAATCAAAAACCATTACAAACTTTTGTATTTAAGATGACTGTACTGTATAGAGGAAGAGTTTTAAGTACATGTATGTTGTCTAGTCGCTTTAGTTCTTGACAGATGATGTCTGTTATCTATTTGCTAGATAAATAAATTTAAATGATTTTGACTTACATATTGTTTGATGCACACTGTTGGAGTAATCTTACAAGTTGAGATGGAAAATTATCAAAATCAATAAGAAGTCCTTGTTGTTTTTTCAAATCGTCATAGTCACAACGTGTAATATTTAATATACACAAGAAAGTTGGATCATTGTCATCTGATAAGGATATTTTCTGTAAAATTAGATTTTTTATTAGCTTTATATTTTTTACATGATAGTAGTAATTACGTATGTGATCTGCCTGATGACTATGTACACTTCAATCACAGTAACCAGTAATTTTAATACCATTTCTCACTCTTTAAATGATGACGATAAGATGATGATGAGACTTTATGTAGTTTGGTATTTACCAATGGGGAAATGTCCATTCATTTAAAAATCTCAGTAGATTCCATATCGTCAGTTAAATAAATTTTAAACAAAATAAATATTTATATCTATTTATATATTGTATATTAGCAGTTATTATAGAGCGTAGATTAAATTACTTCGCTACTAACCAAACTATCATTTTCAAAAACTTTATTAACAGTTACGGTAATATCTTTTTTGTAATCTTCGAATCCACGTTTAAAATTGACATAATATTTGCCTTTGTGAAAGTTTTTGCATGCCATTATTTTAACAAAACAGGATTATTTTAATAAATTATGAAGTTAAAAATCGAATAAATCGAAGTTTTTAAAATGAAAAAACATATTTTTTTGGAAATTAATAAGTTTTTTTACACAGATTACAGAAACTATGATAGTTCCACAGACAATAATAAAAATCTTTGTAATGTATATAGATAGCTCAAATAAGAAGTAGGTACCTAAGAACAAGAACATTGACAGTGTAATCAAAACTAACTAATGTCAATAATCTGTGGCTGTGTACTGTCCCAATCGGAATAGTGTCACAAAATTTGACAAATCCATTCGTGTCATTCTTGTCGTATTCTGTTCGTAAAATTGTTTCTCAAAATTTACCGGGAACATTAATATAATTTGTTAAACTTGGGTAACCCATTTACTTTACCTTGAAACAAAATGTGGAACGGTAAGTCGTCATTTTGTAGCCAATTAATGTTTTTGTTTATGTAATTTCACTGCAGATAATTCTTATTTGTATTTCAGATCAATCTGTGGCCGGTGGCGGCTTTTTTAATTCTCCAAATCAATTTGGGAATGCTGCCACGCCTAATCAAGCACAAAAAACTGTATGTTATTTGTAATAATATAATACTATTTTAAATTAATTACATTTGAATGACTATCAATTGCTGTTTTAGAAAGTTATGTCTAGATAAAAAATAACATAAGTAAACAGTACGTAGGTATTTTGTAGCGTCAGTTCTTAAATATTTTGCTTATACTATATCTTTGATATTTATTACCACTTCCTAAATAGAGGATTGTCAGATTATTTGCCATAGTATAAAAAATCTTTCCATTTTTGATTTTATATATTTATGTTTTTTTTTTGTTGGATGAAAATGGATTGGTAACCCCGCCCGCGCTAACGGGTTACGCTGGCGGAGTACCAGTGAAGGGTGATAGATGACAATGAAAACAGGCCAGTTAGCCCATCATGATGAATTCATCATGAAGAATTAATCATGATAGTTTCCAGAGGGAACCGCGTGGAGGTCGACCTGGTTAGGTATATTGCTAGCAATGGGATTTTTAGTCTCCATTACTAACAATCCCTTTCCCCCATATATTTATGGTTAAATAGCAATATTGTAACATAGTAGATAGCAAATAATAACAATTTTAGTAATTAATTTTATTTAAATAACATAGTAATCATCATTATTAATGCCTATAGGGTCGAAGAGCATCCCGTACTGCCCCTATTGTCATTAGACAAGCTTTACACTGTGGTGATGATGGGGTAAAGATTTGGGGGACTGAGATACAAATTGTTTCTGTAGTAGCCCGAGTAAGAAATATTAGAACACAAAGCACGAAAATAACATACACAATTCAAGATATAACAGGAAGAATGAGAGCAGTTTTGTGGTTAGATCAAGATGCCATGGATGAAGATGTATGTAAAATTATTATCTGTATTTCTTAGTGTATAAATAAATATGTTTATGACTGTATCCTTAATAATAATATACGGAATTTATTTGTTGACTTCCTATTATGGTGGTAACAAAAATGCACACATTTTATTAAGTATATTTAAACTCCATGTTACAAGAGCAAGTATACCCTCATCTCTCTTTGATTTGCAATCAGTAAATTACATCACTAGAGTCAATTGGAAATTGATACAATGTTTTTTTTAAATTGATGATCTTTAATACACACTGGACCACAGACTCATTAATGTGATGATTTTATTAAGGAATAATTTTCTTTTAATTAAGTTGTTTTCATTAAAATCCTACTGAGTCCTAAGGTATTCCTCCCATAAGAGGAAGATAATAAATAATATAAATTTTGTTTAGGATAAATCAGCACCAAGAATCCAAGTAAATGATTATGTACAAATTTTTGGTAATGTGAAAACTAATAAAGGGAAGAAGGTCCTGATGGCATTTAAAATCATGCCAGTAAGTGATGTCAATGAAATCACTTTCCATTATTTGCAATGTATTAACAATAAGGTTAAGATGGAAGCTGATTCAAAGAAGGTATGTAATACCAACTACACTTGTATAATATATGTAAATATAATATATTGTATTGTATGTATGTATTTTTTATAACATTTTGTTGAAACAGTACACTCTGTTATATCCATGGTACTGCTCATGTCTTTAGGCAACGGTTACCACTTTCCATCAGGTGGGCTGCCAGCTTGTTTGCCATTCTAAGTTGTATAAAAAAAAAATTATTATTATATTTAGAAATACATAAGTATATGTTTTATATTTTTCTGATATTTATTTTATTTTTCCCTGTAAATATGACATAACTTTTGCTATAAACAATGACTTTACCTTGAAACTTGGTGCCATTTTTCTAAATTTATGTCTCAACCTAATGTTTTGATAATTTTGCAATATTACTGTTTTATAGACAATCATAAGCTAAAATTATAATAATTTTGACTTAAGTCTATTATAAATTTAATTCATATTCAAGATTTTGGTGTGATATCAAATGAAGTTTTAATTTTAGAGATAGTTTTAGAGAAGGCACCTCACAATTGACACCATTATCTATCTGAAGGTGGAATTATATTACATACAATATATTAATACTTACATTGTATACTTTGTTTGTTAATTTTTTTCATGATTTAAATTTAATTTAAATGTTATTTATTTTCAGGAAAAAATTGTGACTAATAATGTCATATCTTCTGGACTACCAGTCAATTCTATGGTGGGCATGGCTGATAATAATCAATCTGTAAATGGATTAAATGCCCGCCAAATGATGGTTTTCAATCTCATACGAGCATCCAATTTAGAACAAGGAATAAGCAAGGATGATATGTATACGACACTGAAAGATCGCATGTCAAAAACAGAGTTTGAGTTAGTATTTATATTTTCAATTTTAATAATAACATTTCTTACATTGAAGTAACCTTTTTATATCTTTTATGAAAGTAAAATAAATCTGTTTTTGTTGCTTGTTATTTCAGACAAATTCTCGATTGGATGTGTGGTGAGGGTCATATTTATTCTACAATTGATGAAGAACATTTCCGAGCTACTGATGCTTTTTAAGACTTTTTGTTTAAAAAAAAAAACTTTCATCTAGTTTTCCCCTTTCATGTTTTTAAAAGTATATTTTTAAATAAAATCTTTATACACAGCACTTAAGTTTTAATCAACTAAAATAATTAACTTTCATAAGTACGTATTTGGAAAAATTATATTGTCATCATTCTTCAATAAAAAATGTAAGGATAGCTACAATTTAACAAAAATCTATAACTACTTGATTAAGATGCAGTTGAATAATGTAATAATAATGGAGATGAGAGAGAGATAATGTAATAATGATGGAATGATGCAATATTCAACAAAATGTTAAATGTCTATGTATTTTATAAGAATGACAATATAAAAATCTTCCTGTGCGCGCAACCTCGTAGGGCTCTGTTAATTACTATTTATTTTTCTACAAATTTCAAAAACAAATTTATTACATGGGTATACGCCACATGTTCTCTGTGGGCAAAATCGCTCCTAATTCACTAGATTTTTTTGTATACCTATATTTTACATAATATATTTGTCAATATAGCCGATTCTGACAATTGTTTTGGAATCAATGGGGGTTTTTTCTCATATTATTTCCTATTATCACGATTTTTTGTTTAAGCTTGTATGATACTTATAGTACTGAATGTATTTGTATTAAATCCATACAATATTACTGCCTACTAATTATCCCTAAAAATACAACAACAATAGGAAGTAATAGTTTTATATTATTGCGTCTTTTGCTTACATATATCTTAATTTTTACCATTTTTAATGTTCAAGGATAAAAGGGATTGTTAGTAATGGGTTTTAAGCTTCTTTGCTAGCAATATACCTTTTAAGTCGAAAAGTTTTTAAAAATTTTATTTTACAATTATTCCTGAATTCGTCAAGATTGACCAATTGACTCGATTTCATCTTCACTTATTATTATCACTCTGTATCAATGAGTCACTGATGACCCGTTTGTCTATTACCGATAGTGCAGATAGGATTACTATTCATTACAAAAATATTGTCTAACTGAGAGCAGAAAAGATCAACATGTTTGACATCGAGGACGTGCTTTGGTCTGATAGACATCAAATTCGTAATACAAAATCTCCAGTGATGACTTAAAAAGTTTCTCTTCGGCTTCCAACCAGTTATGTAATAATATATTTAGTTGGGAACGATCTTGGATCTTTTTCATTTGAAGTTCGTTTCTTAGAATTTCCCACGGTTTTGCAAATGTATATAGACAGCGCAGATAAATAATATCTATACTAATATTATAAAGATTGGATTGTTTGTTGGTAATCCATAAACTCAAAAACTACTGAATCGTTTTTAAAAATTTCACATATAGAAAGCTACAATATCAGTGAGTAACATAGGCTGTATTTTATTTAAAAAGAAATCCATGTTAAATAAGTGTTTGCCACTAGTCTTTTTTTTTATACAACTTAGAATGACAAACAAGCTGACGGCCCACCTGATGGAAAGTAACCGTCGCCTATAGACATGAGAAGTACCATGGACATAACAGAGTATACTGTTTCTATACTTATTATTCAATGAGTCACTGATGACCCGTTTGTCTATTACCGATAGTGCAGATAGGATTACTATTCATTACAAAAATATTGTCTAACTGAGAGCAGAAAAGATTGTTAGAAATGAGGACATGCGTTGCCAATCCTGAATATCTATACTAATATTATAAAGATTGGATTGTTTGTTGGTAATCCATAAACTCAAAAACTACTGAATCGTTTTTAAAAATTTCACATATAGAAAGCTCAGTGAGTAACATAGGCTGTATTTTATTTAAAAAGAAATCCATGTTAAATAAGTGTTTGCCACTAGTCTGTTATTCCTCTGTACCCTGTAAATTCACGCCATATCCCAATCCTGAGGACTCGGGTGTTATTCCTCTGTACCCTGTAAATTCACGCCATATCCCTTCAAACAAAAACACAGCCATGCAAACAACGGTTTACGGTTGAAACACGAATGGGAGAAAGGTGCCCAAGCAAACGACTTTTATACAGTCTGGTAATCTGTACTAATATCTTAAAGAAGATTTGCAAAAAGGTGGCAAACAAGCATGCGGTCCACCTGATGGTAAGTGGTTACCGTAGCCTATAAACGCCTGCATTACCAGAGCTACGCATGAGTTGCAGCACGCGCGCGTGGGGGGAGGGATTTTTAGTAATACGGACTACCAGTTCCATTGCTAGCAATATACCCTGTCAGGTCGACCTCCACATGATCCCCCCTCGAAACCATTGTGCTAGATTCTATATGTATTCATCACAATGGGCTAACTGACCTCCTTTTCATTCTCACCTATCATCCCTCATTGGTGCCCCGCCAGCATATACCGTTAGCGCAGGAGGGGTTACAATTCCATTATTATCCATTAAAAAAAATTACGCGCTCGTTTCCGACCCTGAAGAAACCTCTTTACTCCCCTTTTGAAGAACCCCATGCTGTAATCTCTTGGGAAAACCTCATTCCATAACCTGAATGTTCATAGGAGGAAATATTCGATCGTAATGGATAAAATTAAAAAGTATTTAATTTTATAAGTTCTTTCATTTATTGAGAGCTACACTATCAGCAAGTAATATAGGATATATATTATTCGAGAATTCTAGTTATCTATATGAACTGGTTGGATCAATATTTATCTCATTAAAAAATATGACTAACCAGTATACATGTAATTTCAAATCATCAATTCCAACTGGCCGCAGTGTCAATCCTTTACTACGTATATAAAAAAAAAATAAACAAAAATTTTATTATTAATTTGAGTTTTAATTAAAAATGCTTAATAATTCAGATCTATTATAATTCATCTCTTAAAGCTTTGTTTTTAACATCAGATTTCTTCCCTGTGTATGTTTGACTTTCTAACTGAACATCTTTCAATTCTTCTTGCTCTAATAAATATTCTTTAGCCGTCCAAGCTTGAGACCCATCATTGAACATAAAAATAGCTCTATCATCATCTATCAAGTACCTATAACAAAAAATAAATACATAAATGCTCTTATGGAAGTAGTGAGGTCTAGTAGAGACCCATTGCAAGTGATATACCAGACACACACAACACCATAGATGTTAATCATTTCTAATTTAATAGTGATACCTTTCTGCTTGCATGTGATTACTCCATAATCCAGCTTGCCAGATCTTTGTTAACTCCTCAGTCCTTGCTCTGGATGGCTTATTGGCTACATTAACAAACATCATTAATGTTTGGCCCTTTTTAGTAGCTTGTAGTACTGATTCTGGATTAGACATGTCCATTTTTGTTAGATCTATCTGTGGAGGTTTCCGTAGATGCTCTGGAAGTTCATCTTCTGGTAGTGGCTCTTCATCTTCTTCCCATTGATCAAATAATCTAAAAATAATATACATAAATTTACATTTAGATGTCACCTACATCCTTATACATATAGAAATGCATTAAGAGAATAGTTGAGAATGCTGCTGGATGGAATTTTTTAATGGATGATAATGAAATGGTTACCCTACCTGCACTAACAGTATATACTGGCGGGCACCAATGAGGGATGATAGGTGAGAATGAAAAGGCAGGTCAGTTATCCCATTGTGATGAATACATCTGAAATTCACTACAATGTTCTGCTTCTATGTTGGAGCAGTTCCAGCGTTATCTGAATAATATTCTTTAAACTTTAGGAAATTAATAATATAACTTTGTTATTGGTTAAAGAGAAGATGTGTGTGTATACAAAGATGTAATATTATAAACTAATTACTTATATATATATATATATATGTATATGTATATGTATATGTATATGTATATGTATATGTATATATATATATATATATATATATATATATATATATATATATATATATATATATAATTATATATATATAATTATATATTTAATTTTGACGATCTATGAACTTACCGTTCCATGTCAGCGTCGGAGTAATCTCTAATATCTTTTTTAGCCCACGAAGGTTTATCTTCATTTTGATATTTTTTTGCAAAACAGCAGTAAAAAATAACGAAAAGAACTAAATATAATTTTTTTGACATAATGTCAATAACAATAATTATTTAGGTTCACTTTAAGTACCAAAACAATTTTACTTTTTAGCTTAATTCTAATAACACTAAATATTATTAAAAAATAGTATAATAGTAACTTGTAGTAGGCTCATTAGATTACCTTAATTTACCCTCACAAAAAATAAACCCACCGGATTAATAGGTAACCTAAAAACAAGGAATGTAAATGTAAGTATATTAATTACGAGAACCCCAAATATGATAAGTCTTTAAAACCTAAGTAAGGATACTAGTCTCTCTAATCTATGACAGACGGTCACAGAGTCACAAAGCAAGTGATCATTATATTATATGAGTTGACAGTAACCTTAGAGACTATTTACATGAAACCTGGAATATTACATGTATGTTACCTTTTTGAATAAATAAAATAACACACTTTTTTAAAATAAAGTTTGTTCCATACGGAACAGACTAAGGTTAGTGACCATGTTGCCTAAAAAGTATCACACTGAAATAAATTAATATTCACAATGTTCTACCATTATCTTTTTTTTTATACCACGAAAGTGGCAAATAAGTCCGTCTAATAGTAAACGGTTACTGTAACTTATGGGCATTTACACTACCACTTACTATTTACTAGGAATGTTACATGCGCGTTGCCGACCTTGAAGAAACTTTAACGTTACCCTTTTTGAAAAACCCCATTTAAATATGCCTCTATCAAAAATATCGATAGCGAATGTTGTCATAAAAATCTATTTCAACGTATTTCATAATATAAAATCTTCAAGTTGTACAAAAAACATGGCCAATATAACAAGTACCTATGTTTATTTATTTTATTTTATTTCTATTCTGCTTTAATTTTAAATCCAATTTTTTGACAAGTGAGTAATACGCTACATTTTTAATATTGAACTCTTTTGTAGTAAACATAAATTTGAAAATCAATCTTAACAGGATAATAAATAATTATGTTCTACAAAAACTGACTCCAACTGTGACAAATCCTTTATTTTTATCTAAAAACTAAACTATTGGATTGATTTTGATAAAGTTTTTATGAAACCTATTTATAAGTATATTTTTTCACTTAAAAAACGAATTCTCTAAATCGATTTTAAACTGATAGAGTTATGAGGTAACAATATAAAAAAATATGACCGAATTGAGAACCTCCTTCTTTTTAAAGTCAATTGAAAATATATTTGTTTTTAAAATAAATTTGATCTCTAATTGTTTTTTCTCACCAATATCTAATAATTGTGTTTAAAAAAACGTTTTTATTCACCCACTGAATATTATAAACCCCGTTTTACGGTATTAAGAAATTTAATAAATTTTGTCATAAACGATGCGCTATTCTTGAAATGCCGCTATGATTTTGACTCTCAAGGTGGCTTTTCAAGTTGGGGATTATCAGCCATGATTGAACACAGCTTCTTAATATGAACTAGATAGGGGGAAAGGGATTGTTAGTAATGGAGACTGAGAATCTCATTGCTAGCAATATATTCAACAATATATTCGACCTCTTCACGGTTCTCCCTGGAAACTTTTATGGTTAATTTCTGATGAATTCATCATGATGAGCTAACTGGTCTGTTTTCATTCTTATCTGTCACCCTTCACTGGTGCTCCGCCAGCGTATCCCGTTAGCGTAGGCGGGGTTACCATACCATTTTCACCAATTAAAAAAATGAACTAAAGATAGTAACACAGAAATATATATAAATGTTATCATTCTAATTGACGAAGGCTTGTACTTGGAGTAATACGCGCTTACCACAGATTAGAAAGACTGGCAATTTGGCTATTTGGTTAACTATTTTTGTAATAGACTTTCTTTGACTTATTCTTAGTCTTTGGCACATTTTTTCTTTGCCTTATTCTATATTGTCAGATTAGTTATGTTTTCACAATTATGGGTAAAAATTTTCCTCAAAAAGAAATTTTGGAATAAATGGAATTATTAAAGAAACTTTCGTAGAATAATTAAACAAATTTGGTTAGTGTGGTTAATATTAAAGACTAATAAATACTGCTGCAGAAATAGTATCTGAAATCAAGAAATCTTTTCCTAAAAAAGTAATAGAAGCAAAAGTATGACTATTACATTTTTAGTATTTTTATCAATAATGTATATTTATATAATTGTTATAAAAAATTTTTTTTTTTATTTGTGACCATCTTTAAAAATATTTGTATACAAATACTTTAACATAGGAAGGTGATTATATTACTGTTACGTAGATGCGTATCATATATAAACGACTTTTTTTATAACAAATATGATTTTTGTTTCCCAAAAAGGGTTGATGTCGGGCAGGCAGCCGGTCGTAAAACTAAAAGCCAAATCGTTTTGTAATATGGATAAAAACATATTACGCCGACCTCAAACGATAATTGGGATAAGGGTAGAAAGATGACGATGATGATTTTTTTTATGGGTCTCCAGGGGGAACCGCGCGGAGGTCGACCTGGTTGAATATATTGCTAGCAAAGAGATTCTCATTCTCCATTACTTACAATCCCTTTTCCCCCAATATGATATTTATTAGGTTTAGTTTGCCTGAAATCTTGAATTATATTCGAAACTGAAAAACACAAAAAAATATAGATACGTTACGTAGAAGTGTGAGAGAGTATAATTGAGTGATTATAGGCTAGATTACAATAAAAGAATTTAGGTAATTTATAGGCTATTGAGATTCAATGTTTTTTTGGCATTAGATTTATTCTAGCAACATTGATTGGAATTTGATTGCATCTTAGGTGAACTTTTTTTTTTAATTTTTGGAGGATAGAAAATCTTGGAGAAATTTTTGAAGAAAAGTAAAATGGATTTAGAGAAATTTGAGTAATTTGATTGACAGTTTTGTAAAGCCTATAGCGATATATACAGTATAAGAATGAAGTTAGCATAAAAAATGGGAAAAACAGTATATATGTTAATAACGTAGTGAAACTCAATATATATTTATGATTATGTAAAAGTAAACGAAATCATATTGATTTGGATAAAAAAGTATTTGACATTTGGGTAAAAATAACAAATCGCATCTGGCAATCCCGTGTATATTATGTCTTTGATTGTTGGATCTATGAGTTGGATACTTTGTTGGTTGCGTGTCGTTCGGTTCTTTCGTTATCCGAATGTGATATTTAAATGTCAAATCATACTTCACACATTTTAACGTTTTTAACTTTTTTTCTATTATCAATTTACACGTACGATATAATGGACATATATTATTGTTTTAAATATAGACAATAATTAATTTTATTTTGTGGGTATCATATTATCCATTTGTTGACATTTTTGTAATTAAAGAAACTTGAGTACAGTATCTTGTTTAAAAGTGGTTGCGGCTGTAATAATCATAAAACTTTATTGGGTGTAGTGTGGTCATAATGAATCAGAATAGCATAACTCCAAATACTTCCAATCAAGAGTTGGAGATAAATGGAGATAATGATTCTGCTACGACACTGCTCCAGGAGAAGCAAACTAGGAGAAGAGAAACCCTGAGAGATGTCACCTTCATCGAATATATGACTGTGGGAGTGCTGTGCTTTGTCAATCTCATAAATTACATGGACAGATTCACACTTGCAGGTAAGAATAGGTGATATAATGTTTGTAGCTGTATTCCACAACTTCGCCCATTACGATATCGTAACATTGTATAGCCCATAAGAATACTTTTTTCAAAAATTGAGCTATGCAAAAAAGTTGGTTAAATCTAGTTGGTGATTCCAAGAATGAGTGTGTTTAAACAAATATTCTCTTGTTATATATATTCACTTGACCAACTCTATTTGTTATTAAATAATTGGTTTATTTATACAGTCTAAATCAATATCAAACTAAATAATTGTATGTTGTTATTCTAAGCATTTAGTTTAATTGGATCAGAGTTCAGTATTTTATAATCAGTATTACTGTGAGTCTGATTTCAATATTAAAAACAGCTATAAAATGGCAATGTATTATTGTAGTTTGGAATTATGGAAGTAGGAAAATCAATGAAATAGAAATAGTAAAACACATCAGATTTTAAATTTGTCCTATATGGACAATATTTGTCCTATTAAAACTGTATTTAAATTTTTGCAGTAGTTTTGTGTAATCCCAGAATTAATAGGCTGATTATATATATAAAAAAATATAATCTAAGGTTTTTTATATAAAAAAAATTTAAGGGAAATAAATAATAAAATAATTTAACTTTATATCAGCCATATTTAACATCTTCCTACAGGAAGGACATGATTCAATTAAGTTCTAAATAGTAAGACCTAAATGGGAAGGCCTTGGTCCAGCAGTGGGAAATGTTTTACAAACAACATTAGTCAAAATTAATTTTTAATCTATCAGATTCTGAGGAACCATTTCTCTAACTTATCTCTTAACCTAATATGTTATTTTGAAAAGTTTTTTATGCAGTTTACAGCGGCAAACAAGGTGATGTCTCACCTGATGAAAAGTGGTAACTGTTGCCTATAGACATGAATAGTACCATGGACATAACAGAATATACTACTTGCTCTGAGGAGTAAGGCGTTATGCCTTGTATTCTCTAAATTCACTCCTATATCCTACCCTTCAAACTGAAATACAGTCATGCAAACACAACTGCTTCATATTAGAAATACAAATGGGTCAGAGGTATTCAAGCAAATGACTTTTTTACTAAGTTTCCTCTGGTAAATTCAATTCTTTAATTCTGGCAACTTTCATGAAAGTACTGTTTTATGGACCATACTAATTAAATTTTTAATAATTTTTATTTAAATCTTTTAGAAATATAGTTGATGTTGGTCTTTAGAATAAAGATTTTGTTGTAATATTAAACTCAGATTTTTATTATAGATAAATTTAAAAAAATCACATGTCAGAATTTGGTTCTTTTGTAAATATGGAAATAAATTTATTTTAAATATTATTTGATACTAATTATCATGCAAAGAAGTAATAAAATTGAGTAGATATTAATACCTAGTCCATCATATTTTTTTTAACATGTTGTCTAAATATTGAACAAAGACATTAGACAAATCAATTCTAATGGCGATTAATTAATTTGATTTAATTATTTTTAGTAACTTAAGGATATTATTATATAGTAGTAGTAATAGTAATAGGGAATTTTACATTTTTTTTTTCATTTTAGTTTTTAATAGGTAGATAGTTTTTTGATATATATCCAAAATGTGCATTGAAAGTGTGCAAGTTAGTTATAAATGTATATAATAATAATAATAAATAAATTTCTTTAATAAAGGTAACTAGAATCCACATAATATAGAATAAATGTTTTGCTTTTATTTGTTTTTAATAATATATAATCATATAGTATGCACATTATAAAGTCCATATTTGTTATATTAATGCATTTTTTGCTTTTATTGTTTGCTTTGCTGCCGCCACATGCCTTGATTCTCTGGGGGTTATGTAATTCGGTGATGGTTGAATAAATGTATTTCATGTAGTTGGCTATATTATTTTAATTATGGACAACAATTAATTTTATTTTGTGGCTATTATTATCCATTTCTGATATTTTCTTAATTATGTATAAATAACCAACACATGATCGTTAAGTTGTAAGTGATCAATCGATTTTGACCCTCCAGTCATGCCTGATTTATCCTGAGACTGTAAGAATATGTCTAGATATGTAGTCACTCCATATAAACGTAATATTTACCCTTGACAGTGACAGTATTTATTACAGGAGAGAGGATATTGTTACACTGACAGGGCACCAGTGAGAGATGATCGGTGAGGATGAAAAGGCGGGTCAATTAGCCCATCATGAAGAATTACATCAAATAAATTAATCATGATTGTTTCTAGGGGGAACCGTGTGGAGGTCGACCCGATAAGGCACTAGTAATGGGGCAGTTTGACCTCATTACTAACAATCTCTTTTCCTCTAATAAGGTCATTAGGCCTAATTATTAATAATTCCTTTCCTCCCTCCTTACAGGATTGACTTAATTTTGCCACTCTTTTTTTTGTTGTTGTTTTGGCTAATTGATCACCATTCTTTTTATTTTCTTTGTCAGTGATTTGATACACATTAAATTTTTATATTCCAAATCTCTCTACAAAAGAGACTTAGCTATTTATGTACGTACATCATGGGCTCATTGACATATTTTGTTTTAGAGTTTTGTGCGCAGAATGAATTTTTTTATAGGTGAAACCTATAGACATATGTGTTGTTATTAATAAACTAAAAATAACTTGGTTTCGGTTTGGCTATAGAACTCGATCTTCTAATATTACATAGGTATTTGAGTAACCAACGCATACCTACTACATAATTAATTCATAGGCACACATGGCTGCAAGAATAAACAGTACTAAATGACAGGTCATTTTGTTTTCCAATTAACATTGGGAAGGATTCGGTAATAAATATATCTTTTAACACTCCCTGTGGCGTTTGAAATTAAGAATGTAAACATTTTAGTTATAGAAACTGAAATAAAATAGTCGATACTACGGCAGGATTCGGTCGGTTGAATTTTACAATTAAAAATTCTTTTCAGTAAAGTAAAGTAAAAAGTAAAAATGTATTTATTAGAACCATAAAAAAAATACAATTGTAGGGTAGTGTAACATGTGTAACAGTGTCTGTAACATTCATGTCATAATTGAAAAGATAAAAATCCCGAGAAGTGAATAACCTGCAATTAGATATGTTGAATCATTATTTAACATCGTTAACATTTTAGTGTTGTTATTATTAAAGACTTGATAATAGACATGATATTGATAATTCTATGCGGATTTTATGCAACTCAATCGTCAACAAATTAACATCTTCATTATTTCGGTATGTCTTACGTCATTTGTTTTACCGTGTTTTAATACTAGAAATTCGGATTATTCAATCTTATCATATCATGGTTTATTTCGACAATTTAGTGTAGTTCAAATGTTTCGACAAATTAGTAAAATTCGATATAGCATAATATTAATACAATAATAATACTAGAGGTATACTTTTTTAATTTAAGCAAATTCGTCATAGAGTATATTAGTCGCTTCAGGGGAGACAAATAGGAACTGCCCAACTCCTGTCGGCTAAAACCTCATGGTGTAGATTTTGCTTCTTAATCGGCCCCTCAGACAGATAAATAATATAGACAGATAGATAGGTTTTATACCTTTACATACAAACAATCATTGTCCACTAACGAGATAAATGAATAAGTGAATTATTAAAATATAGTAGGTAAATCATAGGGGTATGTGTATCGCAAAATTAAAATCTATTAATAAATGTTTCCTTCGATTTATTTCTAAATAGTTCTTTATTTCATGTTTTCCTATAATTATAATGTTATTGATTGAAATAACAGGTCTAAAATAAATAAGACTGTGGTGTATAGTTATTGCACAATTACCATCTATTAATTGCGTCTTTAACATATTAAATATAGACCTCCCCCTTGGAAGGCTTTGCCAGTAGTTGCAACGCTTGGCAGGAGGATTGGCAAACGCAGTTAAGCTTTAATTATGTTTTAAGAGGGATATTGCTGCTTAATCCCTCGACCATTAGTTCCTTTAGTCGCCTCTTACGATATCTACGGGACTGGAAGGGGTGGTACGTTCTATGCCGGGGCCACATGGCTTTATCGACGTGGTTAGGTTAAATTATTAGGATATAAAGTATCCAATATGTTAACGTAGGATATTTAGGTATGCTCTATCTATCTGAGTCAAAAAATCTCAAATTCGTTCTATTAAAGCTTAATCGAGCAACGAACGTCCAATATCAACAAGCGTTTCTATTTATAATATGTATTAGTAGGATTATAGTCATCATAATGGATAATATAACTGTTTTTAATTTACATTTAAAACTCATTTGTAAGTAGGTTTCGTATGATGTAGTTGCAACCTTTCAGGTTTATAAGGATTGTTTTCGAAAATGTAATTTTCCTGTCTATTTTTAGCCTTACCTAATTTGGTTGCTAATAAATTTTATCAGACTTTAAAGCTTCAAGAATTTTTCATGTCGCAATAAAGTCATCTTAGTACTCATAGTTAGTAGCTAGTTTTATAATGGGATTATGTGTATTAGCGTAGTATCCTTTTATCTTTAGAATTACGTCTAGAAAGGAAACCTGTTACGAAATATTCGTTTAATCCCATATAATGCAATAACAGTGTCGTTAACTTTATGATAGCCTCAAGTCCTTTTAGAAAAACAGTGGATCTTTATGTGCTTGCGATCGTTCTATAGCTTTTATGACGATTGGATACGACTTTACGTTGGCGTGCGATGCGGCATTGTCAGAGAGTTAAATTGTTTTCAAGCATGTTGTGTAGAATTATTAAGATGGAAATGTGGCGTGGGACATTACGAGTATTAGTTGGAATAAAATGGTTCCGTGACGTGATTGGAAATGCTTTCGGCACGTTCTTACAGTTGTGTGATATGAGTCCTGTCGGCAAGTTGGATTTATTTTACGATAAGTTAACAGTTTTATAGATAATGAAATTAGCTTATCCAGTTTGGGAATCTAATTCAGTAGTGATTGTCATTTGTTGCTTAGTTAAAAAGTTTATTCTTCTGTATAGATTTTAAGGATTTGCTTTTTAATGAAATAGGGTGTCTTTTTGGGACAACAATTTTAAATTATGTGAATATTTTTTCGTTATATTTGCTTACTTACTGACAAACACAATATCTTTAAACGTCAATAAAATAAAGTAATGTTTAAATGATATTCATTTGAACATTCCCATCGCTTTATTTATCAGATTATTTTATGAATGAGTACGTATGTAACAAATAAATGCATAACATCAATAAATCTTTATTAATGAAAGCTGAACACCCAGAAGGGGTCGCCGTCACGTAATCAGAGAACTAATCTCTAGTGTCTACTCACGTGCATAGGCTCATGGGTACCTATATTTGTTCTTCACTGCACACAATATCCCCTTTTGAATATAGGGAACAATGTTACCTACATCCGTGTAACGTTTTCACTGTACATTATTTTTGTTTTACATTTGAAGTTTTGTAACGGAAATTTTACTGTAGTAAGTGCACTTTAGAACTTTTGTTGTCTAAAAGACATTGTGTGGTAACTCACTATACAAATTTTTTAACTACATAATTACCCGCCACTTCGTCGGCGTAGCCGTAATTGACCGGGATGAGAAGTAGTTTATGTTCTTCTCCGTCCCAAATATTACATGTATTCAAATTTCATGACAATTGATGGAGGCGAATAGAGGTAATAAAGTAACATACTCACTTTCACAATCATAATTTCAGTAAGGAAAAGTATGAATAGTAAGAATAAAAAATATTTAAAAGCGATAAACCTACTATTCGTTGATTAATCATAAAATTTTTGAAAACTATAAAGCGTGCACTACTATTTTTATTTGAGAGTTAGAAAGGCTCTTTACAGCACTATATATCATAACATAAACATCTATTAATAAAGTTTTGAAAATACGCAATAGTGTAGATGTAAATAAGAAAATATATGTATGCTATAGTGTGGGGAGTGTAAACACAATATTGCCGTATGTTTTGTATTTCATCAGTTAGGGTAAAATACGAAGGGGTTGCTCTCCCCAAGGACCGATCAACAAGTTGCCACCACACTAACAAACCCTCAAATTAGCGTAATCTTGATTAAAATCTTAATAACTTCAGAGTTTCATTTTGGCAATAGCAGATGCGAAGGGATAAAAAGATGTATAGTGCAGAGGTTTGTACTTTGTGTGCTCTAACAGGTATAATAATTAAATCTCTTATGAATACGAATATATTTATCTAAGAGATATGTGGTGTTCCTTCCGTTCCTTATTTAATGATATTTCAATTTCATATCACAGCGAAACTTTATTTAATAGAACTAGATTTGTTTTTTTTTCTAATTATTATTTTTAATTCTTACTATGATTATGCTATGCTTAAGGTGATTGATCACTAAACAAAATTAAACCAGAAATGCCATCGTATAAATTAATCCGACTCTAGGATCAGGACCGAGTTTTTGGATTATGGATAAAGACATGTTTAGAAGTACTATATATGCATTAACAGTTGTATCGTTAGTGACTATTTAAGGAAATAATCCATATTTGAAACTAAATTTTATTCCTTATAAACGTTCATAACGATTTTAAGGATTTATTTAACCCACTAGGCAGCGTCGCAGGATATGGTTACTGTATGAATAAAATAGAAAATAGATTAAGTACTAGAGGCCGTTGTAGTTCCCCTGCCCAATTTACAAATTTTAATTATTTTTTATTTTAAATAGGCAATAAATTATTCGCAATATTTATGACAATGATTATTTCTTAATAATTACTTACTAGTTGTAAATGTCATCTCTATTAGCCCTCATGGGTTAATTTATACGCGCCAATCACTGTTTCTTAGCTCATTCATAGTTTTTGCTCCAATATAAACTAGTCGTATAACTAATCTGTAAAATACATTGTATTATTTACATAACAATGACAGAAAAAATACTCACGGCGGTGGCGCAAATCAATTGTTATTCTGATTTATACATACTACCTATTATTCCTAATCTTTAAGAGTTATTTGACCTTAGGTGCTTCTCTGAGCATCCATTGCGGCTGGTGAGCGACCGACGTGTGTTCGCAGCCGACGACGTTCGAATTATATGTTTTGGACGTTCGGGATCGGGTTCCCAGAAATGTTGCCCGCGGCGGGAAGCACAGCGGGCGAAGGTTACTCGTCGCACGAGTTTGCCACAATCATTTTTGTATAATAACGACGTGTGTACACCGTAACGTCCCAATATTAAAAATTAATTTTAACAAAGAAAATAAACTGTTAATTTACTTAATGACATGCATTTCTTTTTTGTGATGATAATAACAAAAGTACATAATCGTCTTTTAAAACTAACAATGTTACTAATTCTTCTTTTATTTTGTTCTGAATGCAAAGAAGAATGTTCAAGTAGCATTCACAAACATAACTGATTAGAGAACCCATACACCCGCAACCGACGGCGGCCAGCATCCTAGCTGATGCGTCTTCACATATCGGTCGCGTGCGACAGGACAGAGAACACCTGGTCTTATGGTTCTAAGATGGATTCTACATAAATTGAATTGACGGTATTGTTATAAATCCGTGCCGTGATGGAGCAAGAATTCAATATGTAATCCACCACTAATTTTCTCCCTACAATGTCCTAACAGATAGGAGAGAAAAACAAATAAACCAGATACTACTACAGATCAGTACTAGAGAAACAGTATTCAAAGTGTATTAATCCTTTGAATACTGTTTCTTTGGTTTATTTTCTGAATCTATATCAATAATTATATTATTATTTAATAGATAAATGCAAAAAAAAAAAAATTAACTGATTTTAAAATTTTTTTCAGCTATAGATATTAACTATATCAGCGAGTAACATGGGCTGTATTTAATTTAAAAAACAAAAAAAAATCGGAGTGGGTCGTTATTATTTAATATCAACGATTATAATTAATGTCTACGATATATCTGATTACAATTTATATTACTGATAAAAATTTAGATACCTTAGTACCTATGCACTTATAGGTATGCAAATCGAAACTTCAGATACTGTTAGACACAGTGTCTCCACTGAATTAATTTAACTTGATCGGTTTAGGTTAGATAAATATCTGTGTTGACACAGTAGAGTCCGTTTTATTAGTACATATTGCGAACTACGTGTTGCTAACTCTATTTCAAGTTTTTAAAAAGGTGGAAAGGGTTTTTTTAAGAAGGGACTTCATTTTATTAGTACATATATAGGTATATCACTCGCAATGTAACACCATGACTATTATATGTAATTTGAGAAAAATTTTGAAAGGGATATAAGATTTTTATTTATATCTTAATACTTTTTTTTTAACTAATCGGAGGAGTCTATCGTATAACATTTTTTATACTACTAAGGTGGCAAACAAGCATCGGCCCTTCTTCGACGCCTATAACACCAGCGATGTTACGTTGAATACGCCTCTTTTTGAAGAACCCCATGCTGTAACCCCAACTGATTCTCACTCACACACAACTTATTTGAATGACAATAAAATTATATTAATGTAATGTAATTACGGAAAGTTATACATAATATAATACATAACTTTCCGTAGACAATAAATAAATATAATATTATCATTTTAATTTACGACGATAAAAAGTTTTTCATTTGTTATTGGTAAAGGACAATACAAATAAAAAATAGGAACTTAATTTCTGAGCAGTTTGGTTTAATTTCTAACAACATAACATAGTAGGACATTTAACATACTTAATCAGATTATACAGATAAAAGTACATTATCAAATAGAATATTGAGTGTAATTTTTTATAATGCGCAAGAAATTCCAATAAAAAGATAAAATTATCTAAGTAGGTACGTAGATTGTTTGCTTATTTTTATAAATAATTGATAAATACATATGTTCCTGTAAGATAATTGTTGACTCGCATATTATTATTTTTTATACTTACATAAACTATTAGGATTTTGTTTCACAAAACAACACCGACTTCAATCGTAGCAGTACCATTTTTTATGCAACTTAGAATGGCGAGCAAGCTGACGGCCTACCTGATGGAAAGTGGTAACAGTCGTCTATAGACATGAGTAATACCATGCACATAACGGAATACCTATACTGTTTCGCCCATTATAACCCCTATGCTATTGCTATATGGCACCCTAACATTCGGACGATGGGCTGTCGTATCATAAGATTTTACTTTTGTGATACTCAGTACCAATGCAATAGACTACATTACAGTAATAATGCAAGAGACATGTCAATTTGAAGCTAATCAAACCAATTTGACGGAAGATGAATTTTTTTATTAGTATTAATTATTTAAAAATATTTTCATCGTGTATTAGAAACATGTATTTATATTTCTATGTAACTATGTTGTTATGTAAGGACATATATGTGTAATTTATGTTATGGAGGTTGTACAGAAAATATACAATACACATTCACATACCAGAAAAACATCGTTGGGTTATGACAATAAGCTGCTTAGAAATGGTTAAGTCATCTTAACACAAAGCATACGGACGATTAATTTTAGTAGGTAGAGATGGGTACGTGAGTTAGTGGGCTCCTAAAATGCATTGTCATCACTGTAGTGACATAGGTAAATTGAAAAAACCGGTCTAATGCGGGTCGATTACGTATACGTGGTTTCGATATACTAGTTATTTTTCAACATAATTGTTTTAATCCACAAAAAATCAATAAAAGTTTAGTTAAAATTAGTATAGAATCAACATGAGAATAAACGCTATCGATCGCAAATCACTGAAATCATCATCGATATAGTTACGTGAATTATATGGTACATAAATACATATACACAAAAAATGTTTGCGGAGTTATACCAGTAATGTTTAATAATTTTTAATTATTACTTACGATTAAAATTTTCAGTACACATATATATTGTTTTACTTTTTTTTATTATATTTTTATCGACGCCTCTTGCCCTGTTTTTTTTTTTTATTATTTGTGGCAGTAAGTAAAATATTATGCATAATAATTAAAATATTAAATGATTTCAAAAAAAAAAAAAGAACGCGAAAGACTTAATCTTATCTCATCGTAATCTTTATTTTTTTTTACGTATGTTCCCCGATTACTTGAAACCGCCTAAACCGATTCGGGAAACTATTTTATCTGAAAGGATATACTTTCAGATTTCAGATTCCATAGAAGTTTTATCAAAAATCCGTTAAGGAGTTTAGTTTTTAAATAATTGATTTTTTTTTAATTATACAGGACGGACTCAGCCTACTGTAGGAGTCAATGTTAAACTTTATGCTTATAAAAAAATACTTAGATAATAAATACACAATATTACTCTTTTTAGTTTACTTTAAAAAAATATCTGATTTTGCCAAGATTGAAGTCAGCTTTTTTATGTAACACAGTCTTAAACTATTATTGTAGTATATATGTACTTTTTTCAATTTATCTGTGGTGTGTTATTGTGGTATTATTCCCGTAAACGTATAATCTATCTATCCCATAAAAGTATTTCCAGATGTGCACATCGTTTAATGATTAGAATGTGAAAGCTTAGGTCGACGCGCCTCTCGCCCTTTCTATATTAATCTTTTTGTGCTATTGCGTCCCGTCACCTAACGTGGGGTTGGTGTGAACCATAGATAATAAATAATAATAATTTTGTATGGTGCAAAATGTAATCTACAGTTTGACGATGTTACAGTTTGGACAACTTTTTTAAGTACCTAATAACTTAACGATTTTCAACCGTTAATTTTTTTTTTAAATTACTAAATCCAGTGTACTTTCGCCTATTTACAAGTTATTTATTATAAATTACTATTTTATATTTTTTTTAGTTCGATTGTGTTTTCGTCGGACAAAATTTGTTAAGATTTTAATCGATTAATCTAAATTGACCTCCATGACCACAGAATAAAATAATATTACTCGTTTTATTAATCAGATAATCTTACTTAAAACAGCTTTTAAATAATTATTAAAATTTATGCATAAGATTTATTTAATTCACTTTTTTGTTAGTAAGTAGTAAGCACACATTGTACGGGTATAATGCAGGCATTTTATGACACTCGGGCTTTGAGGCAAATTGGTAGTGAAGTTGACCATTTGCATAGGCTTTAAAATGTAAAATTAATAACTCAGTAAATATATAAGTAGCTATGTAATCGTAAAATAACTTGTTTATTGCACAAGTGAAAAATCTTGTTTTGTCAAGCAGAGCTAGTTTCGGTTTATATATTTTCTTTCTATATAAAATCTGTCTTATTCAAATTAGTATAGCATGATCACGGAAGTAGATTAGATCATCAAAACTAATTCACGATTACTAAAGATATTCCCACTGAAAAATACTATATAATAAGATGAAATAAATGCAATGTACTTTATAACATCACTCAATTTAAAGTCGGTTAAAAATTTGCATTCGTTTACAACAAACACATAATTACAAAATACCCTCGTTGAATTCAAATGTGCGCAGGTGGCTATAATCGTAATATATCATAGGAGATCAAGTAGGATCAGCGGTTATATGTATTTACCTCATCTCTGGGTATACTGTTGCGGCAAAGGCTTATAGTATTCACTGCTAGTATGGATATAATCTCTCCTGTGTCAGGTGCCACTATTCTGTATTTTGAAATTCGTTTCTCACTGTACTCGACACACAGCTTGTTTGACGTTATCTAAACGACAAAATAAAATAACCATCGCCGGTTCATACCATTGTTTTCTTTTCTCACTTGAGTGCGGTTGGTAACGTGTTTTTATTTGGGTGGTCCATGTTTTATTTAAGAATCTATTAACATTTATGACACATTCAATAATAGTATACCTAAAAAAATTGGATTTACATGTAGTCGAGGTCGCAGAAACGTTGAATATTTTGATAAACTATAAGTTGAACTGTAACCATTAAATGGGGTTATAATTTTCAGTTAGGCTATAACAGTGATCCCTTTATTATACTCAAGTGATTCGATGCAGCTGCATGCAGTAAGGTGGGGCTTATCGCAGTATCTGAGCACGGTACCGCACCGGTCGAGCTGAGCTCAAGAGCCCATTGAGACTGCACTTGTAGCCAATTAGTTCCGCCGATAAATTATAATAATACATAAGTCTGAGCGCAGAATGCATCTATACATATTTGTAATTATTATAAATATTAAATACACATTAGAGAAAATACTTAAACTGATATCTGCTATTATAAAATAAATATATGTGAAGGTAATAACTAACTTAACGTAACTTAAGTAATAAAGTTAAATATAGATAAAAATAAATATCCATAGTAACACGATTTTATTGAAAACTAATAAAGTGCATCCTAGGTTGCGTAATATTTCATGAAAATTGTGTCGTATTTGAAAGTTCATACGTGGGTAAATAGTCCGTATCCCTCATTAACTGTAGGTATGGTTCTATGGTTAGTGATAATATACACTTGTATCATTTTGAGTGGCAATAAACCCACTGTCGGCGTCGTGCGCCGGTAATGGTTTGTCTATAGCGGCTTTGGTTTGTTCAAAGAACGAGGTTGACGCACCCGCTATTGGTCGAAAATAATTATAGCATGGTTCTTCACTTTTGTTATGTACATATTAGATGTAAACTTTCGGCTACCATGAACTGCACTTGGCACTGTCGTCTGCTTCGTCAGATACATTCAGTCACCGTACTAGTAACATAAGAAAATCGAATAGATTTGGAATAATGTTATTGTATAATTGTAATAAAAACCATCATAAACCATCAACCTAAGAAAACGGCAAGTACCATAATTAAGAGGAAAAAACTAAAAAAAAAGTACTTAACTAGGTGTGATTTTGCGGTATCACTAGTTATATAGATAGAATTATTTTGTTTAATTCCGCTACCATTAGTATGTGTTCAACTGCCAACACTAGAAGATTGACTACTATTATTGTTACCTAAACTTTTACAACCCTCCATATTAGTCAATTTCCGATTGTCATTTTGTCCAAGCACGTTTTGCGGCAAGTGTTTCACCTCTAAATGAGGCATATTCAGGCAAATTAATTGATCGCTGCTCAAAACCTAGTGTTAACCGTTCGGCACCCAAACTGCGAACGAAAAACACTAGAACGAACCGAAATTAATATTGTTTTGCTTTAAAAATTGATTTCTTTATTTCTCTCATTCAATATTTAGATCGCTTACTACGTAATTTACAGTTACAGATTTCATTGTACATTCTTATACATCATAGCTCGGAGTACCTATTACTACTTTTATTTATGAAAATTAATACTCAATATGCCAGAATATTAACGTTGCGTTTATTGTTTCATACGTGTGAATTAGATAACCCAGCTGATGTTGAGTTTCCTCTCTTTAACCTGTGTTTCAAGTACATGGGGAAATTTTTTGCATCTGCGGATGGCGCCTTAGATAACATCCCTTCTAGACGATTGCTTTTTTGCAAGCTAATAGCTAGA